GGACGGAGCAACCTGATATCACGTGGTGCCTCCGGGGTGGGTGTTTTGGCGAGGGCCCAAAGCGGTTTAGGGGCCAGCAGCGCCCCCCCGAGCGCCTCCAGGAGGACACTTGGTTGATTGCAGTGACGCCCTCGATCGCATACTTGGCAACTCACCGTACATGCACCCCTCGGTTCTCCTATAGAGAGGGGAGGTTTCTTTCTTGGGTTGTTTCTCTGCTCGTGTTTCTGGTTCTCCCGCTCCTGGTGTTGCTTCTCCACCTTCTGTCTATGACCTTTGGTGCCAGACCCTTCTAATTCGTGTCTGGTCCTAACTCTCCTAATCTATACCCTTTCCTTTTCCCGCCGCTCCTTTACTTTTCACCATGGTGCGTCTGAGGGAGATTCCCCGGACGGCCACTTTCGCCTGGTCCCCCGGGGCTGCGTCGCCTTTGATTGCTACCGGTACTCGGGCCGGTGCTGTTGACGTCGACTTCTCCAATCAGACATGTCTGGAGCTCTGGGATCTGGCACTTAGCCGCCATGAGACCGGCGGAGAGCTACAGCCGGTAGCCAAGATTGATACGGATTCCGGGTAAATAAAGCCTTGCATCTACACTGCATTCTGCCGTATAACGGAAGCCGGCGTGCTAACTATATCGCTCCGATAGCTTCAATGACCTAGCGTGGACGGAATCCGAAGATAACTCGCGGGGTGTCATAGCCGGTGCTCTGGAGAACGGCTCGTTGGATCTGTGGGATGCCGATAAACTGCTTAATGGTTCCGAGTGAGTTGGCGAGTGTGCTGTATACCGGGGCTGTACAATTGGCTGACTATTACAAAGTGATGCTGTGATCTCGAGAACGTCCAAACACTCAGGGGCTATCAAGGCTCTCCAGTTCAACCCCAAACACTCGAACTTGCTGGCAACCGGTGGTGCAAAGGGCGAGGTAGGCTACATATGATGGAGAGACGTCTAAGACAATCAGGCTCATGATCGGACAGCTCTACATTTCCGACCTGAACAATATCGCGAACCCATACCGGCTCGGAGGCACGGCAGCCCGCGCGGACGACATCGAATGCTTGGACTGGAACAAGAAAGTTGCACACATCCTGGTCACTGGTAGCAGTGCAGGCTTTGTTACTGTGTGGGATGTCAAGACAAAGAAGGAGAGCTTGACTCTTAACAACATGGGCCGGAAGGCAGTTAGCGCTGTGGCCTGGGATCCGGAGAAGGTGAGGCGTTCACGAACATCCCTTAAGCTTCCTAATTTGGGCTAACGCAGCGCAGCCTACGAAACTTGTCACTGCGACCCCTCTCGAGTCCGATCCCCTGATCTGTGTCTGGGATCTCCGTAATTCGCACGCTCCAGAGAGGACCCTCCGCGGCCATGAGTCTGGTGTGTTGTCGCTCTCCTGGTGTGCCCAGGACCCCGATCTGCTCCTCTCCTCCGGAAAAGATAACCGTACGATGTGCTGGAACCCGCAAACCGGCCACGCCTATGGCGAATTCCCCGTCGTCACCAACTGGACCTTCCAGACCCGCTGGAACCCGCACAACCCTAACTTCTTCGCTACCGCGTCCTTCGATGGAAAGATCTCTATCCAGACCATCCAGAACACTAGCACCGAAACCGCGCAGGCCATCGCTGATCAGAATCAGGCTCTGGATGGCGAGGACTTCTTTGCCAAGGCACAGACTCAGCCTCAGGTCTCGAGCTTCTCGTTGCCGAAGCCCCCCAAGTGGCTCGAGAGGCCCTGCAGCGCCACCTTTGGTTTCGGTGGCAGAGTCGTCTCGGTCAACCTGGTTGAGAAGGGACAGCGTGCATCCAAGATCAAGATTACCCCGTTCGAGGTTGATGAAGCTGTTGGGAAGTCGACTGAGACCTTCGAGACCGCACTCAAGGAGGGCGATCTGCGCAGCATCTGCGAAAGCAGAGCGGCTAACGCTGGCTCCGATGAGGAGAAGGCTGACTGGAAGGTCATTGAAGCCCTGATCTCGAAGGACCCCCGCAAGGGACTGGTTGAATACCTTGGCTTCGCTGACCAAGCAGACGAGGCTGCGGATAGCCTGTCTAAGCTCGGTCTGGACAAGGAGGAGGAAGTCAACGGGGAGGTGGCGAAGGAATCCCGCGGGTCGGGAGCCAAGAAGCACAGGCGCCTGCAGTCGATGTTTGATGCCAACCCCGAGGCGGACAGTTTCTTGTCCGATTTGGCTGCCTCCAAGGGAGCCAAGACCAATAACCCCTTCCACATCTTCAACGGTTCGGAGAATGAAGCAGACACGGGCATTACCCGCGCGTTGCTCCTCGGTGACTTTGAGAAGGCTCTTGACGTTGCCCTCAAGGAAGATCGCCTCTCTGATGCCTTCATGATCGCCATCTGCGGCGGCCCTAAGTGCATTGAGAAGGCCCAGGAGCACTATTTCCAGAAGCAAACCAATAGCCCCAACTACGTTCGCTTGCTGGCTTCCATTGTCGGCAAGAACCTCTGGGACGTCGTTTACAACGCCGACTTGTCTAACTGGAAGGAGGTCATGGCGGCCCTCTGCACCTTCGCTGACGAGAAGGATTTCGCTGACCTTTGCGAGGCTCTCGGTGACCGACTGGAGGAAGAACTCCGCAACAACGAGGACAAGGGTATGCGCAAGGATGCTTCGTTCTGTTTCCTGGCCGGCTCCAAATTAGAGAAGGTCGTTGCGATCTGGATCGAGGAGCTGCGTGAGCACGAGCAGAAGGCTATCGAGACCGCCGCCGATGACTCTGCTTTCTCGATTCACGTCCGTGCTCTGCAGGGGCTCATTGAGAAGGTGACCATCTTCCGCCAGGTCACCAAGTTCGAAGATACCGAACGCACCAAGGAGTCGGACTGGAAGCTCAGCACGCTGTACGACAAGTACATCGAGTATGCCGACGTTGTTGCCACACACGGACGCCTGCAGGTTGCGCAGAAGTATCTCGACCTCGTGCCGGAGAAGCACCCTGAGGCTGAGATTGCACGGAACCGTATCAAGTTGGCTACGAGACAGGCAACCCCTCAAAGAACGCAGCCCGCTGCCGCTACCGTGACCAGGGCCGCCCTCAACAAGCCTCTCCCCCAGCCTAACGCTTTCCAGCCTCAGAGAGCTTACTCACCGGCTACGCCAGCTGCTGTTCCCAGCCCTTACGCTCCAGCTGCCGCGGCTGCCAACCCCTACGCTCCTCCGACTGCCGCTGCCAACGCCTATGCTCCTCCGACTACCGCTACCAACCCTTATGCCCCATCTACCGCTTCCGCGCCGGCGCAGCCTGTCAACCCGTATGCGCCCCCAGCTGGCGGTAGCAGCTACACCCCTGCAGGATATCAGCCGCCCAAGGCACCTGCTTACGGTGCTCAGCCCCTAGGCGGTGGTGTGCCCCCACCTCCGCGTGCATCCAACCAGTCTCCTGCCCCTACCGTGACTACCTACACCACTGCCACGAATCTGCCCGCATGGAATGACCTGCCAGAAGGTTTTGCCAAAGCTCCTACACCACGCAGGTCCACCCCTGCCGCTGCGACGGTTGCGTCTCCTTTCCCCAACCAGTCCCCCACTCTCACACAGGGACCTCCGCCACCAGCAGGTCAGCGAGCACCCTCAGTTCCCCCTCCGCCGAAGGGCACTGCTCCTCCCCCACGGATGACTTCGCCACCTGCCGCGCAGCCGGCTTCGACTACGATGCCCCCTCCACCGGCCAACCCTTACGCCTCCTTGCCCCAGTCTCCTCCTATGGCATCTACCATGGGAGTCCCAGCATCCATTCCTCGGGGACCCTCTCCATACAATGCGCCGCCTACCATGCCCCCGCCTCCCAACAGGTATGCTCCTAGCCCAGCCGCTCAGGCTGCAAGCCCGCAACTGCAGACTCGGGCACCTGTCCCTCCGCCCCCGCAGGCAGCTGCTTCTCCGTATGCCCCTCAACCTCCGGCTGCGGGCCACTATGTCCCGAGCACTCCTCCGCCACACGTGCAGCCCCCGCCGCAACAAGCCCCTCCGCCTCAGGCCGCCCCGGGGTCCCGGCCAAGCACGGCTTCCTCACAAAAGAAGCCCGCACCTGCCCCGCCTAAGTACCGTAAGTGATCCCCTATACCTTGTGGTGGTCTCTGTTTCTGACTTCTCACAGCCCCTGGTGACCGTTCCCACATCCCGGCCGACGCCATGCCTGTCTATGAGATCCTCTCCGCAGACATGCAGCGCGTGAAGTCTCGGGCTCCGTCTTCGTTCAAGGCACAGGTCGATGATGCCGAACGGCGGTTGAACATCCTGTTCGACCACCTCAATAACGAGGATCTGCTCAAGCCCAACACGATTGCGGATATGGCGGAGCTGGCTCGCGCCATCCAGGCGCGTGACTACGAGACGGCTCGGACAATCCACGTCGACATCATGACCAACAGACTGGACGAGTGCGGCAACTGGATGGTGAGTATCTCTACCTTTTTAGTGAACTGTATCCATACTAATAAGCCATCAACAGGTTGGTGTGAAGCGTCTCATCAGCATGAGCCGCGCCACCCCGTAAATTCAAGTCAAGGTTCACGTTAAGAGGCTATGACAGGAAAAGGAAGTAAAACAAAGAAAGAACGATTATGAGTTGTATGTAAAGGAAAGACGAGTCCTCTTTTTATTATGCTTCACTGTACTGCTCATTGTCCAGTCCCGTTTTGCCTTGGTTGGGCTGTTTGCGAATTGTTCCTTCAATGTCAATGTTCTTACTATGTTTATTCTATTATTGATAGTATTGAAAAGTCGTAGGACTGTGCTTGTGTCTTTTTTTTTGGGCCTTGCGGAGCCTATACCATTGACTACTCTATTCATGCGCATTAATCCTGTAGAAATACTACGTTAAGTATGTGTATCGATAGTGCGATAGAACGACAGTTACAGTGCAAGCCTGATACTATTTTCTACAACGAAACATTGATATACTTTGCTATATATACAGCATCCATCCATAATCATATCTCAAATACTACTAAAAACCTAATAGTATCTCATCTTACCTCCCCGCCACACCCCCGATCCTCCCCCCACGACCTGCAGGAAAATTCCTCGCGCTCAGCAACGCCCCCTTCACACCTCTAATCTCCGCCCTAAAGTTCGCAATGGCATCCTCCTCGCCCTTCCCTACCCCCGTTGCCGCTCCACTCCCCGAATCGATCCCAGGCGTACTGTACATCCCATACCCAGAGAGCGGGTTAAACCCAGGCTTACTATAAATCAACCCATCCAGGTAATGGTGCAGTTCGTTCAAGCGCGTGCGCATTCCACTTTCCAGCGTGCCGGACTCCTTCTCCGTGTCGGAGCATTCGCGGAGCTGGGAACGGATGCTTTCGAGGCGTTTGAGGTGGTCGGTTACCGCTGCGGTGGGGTCTGCGGGAGTGTCTTTGTCTGTGCCCGTTTTGTTGCTGTTGTTGTAAGTTGCGGCGAAGTCCGAGGTGGCTGTTTGGGTGGCAACGTCGCGGTGGAAGAGCTCCGTTGGGTCGGAGGTGATGGACTCGGTGTCCGTGGAGGATGAGTCGTTTTCGATGTTCGCGGTCTTATTCTTAAGGCTTTCTGGGATTACGGAGACGTTTTGCTCGAGCTTCTCGTTCAGCTTTTGGAGGTTGCTTGTCGCTGTGGAGGCTAACTCTTGTCGTGCGCTTGTCAGGTTCGAGAGCATGGGTTTGATGAGGTATTCGCTTGCGCCGTAGAAGCTGGCGCTTATGCCGGCTGCACCGTAGAGGGTGTAGAGGACGCTGCGGAGGGTTACAAGGGGGGGTGGTTTGGTTGGCGTGGAGAGGAATTCGGGGTAGGTGATTATGGGGGGAACGTCGCGGGTATTATTGGTTTTGGGGGTTGTGGTTGATGGGGATGGGGTAGGTGTGGTGATTGAGGATGAGGGCGTGGATTGGTTTGATGATGCTGAGGCATTGTCTGTTGGTTCTGGTGCTGGTGCTGGTTCGGTGCTGCTGGGGGTAGTGGTGTCCGGGGAAGCAACCTTCTCTTCCTCGGTTGTATCGCTCGCTGTGGAGGTGGCTGATATGCCTAGGAGGGAGTTGATCTCGTCCTCTCGGAGGCCCTTAGTTTGCAAGAATGACACTTTGCGATCGGTGGGGGCGTCACGAATGGACTCATCCTCGAGGAACTTGGAAGCTTGTTCGATGAGAGTTGACCGGGAGGTGTCGTCGGAGGTCGGCGACGAGGTAGACTCGGAGGAGTTGTCAGTGTTGGAGGCGTTGTTAAACTGCTGCCATGGAGGGATTGAGGATGGCTTGGGCTTAGAGTCCGCCATGGTCTGTGAGAGGAGTTGTTATTTGGGGGAAGGAGGAGAAGGCGAGTGGAAGGAGTAAGTTGACTGAGGAGATAGCGATGGATACCCATGTGAGGGAAGATAAAGTGAGGAGAGAGACTTTGGGTTGCCCCGACCTCGGCTGTATTGGTGGTGTGTATGGGGGCGGTACGACAGGTACTTTTGGGGGAGATGTAAGTTTGGATGAGGTTAGGGCCACCAAGGCTAATTGTGGTGAAACTTGAACTCTATGATTACTGGGCGAGACACTAGAGGATGTCTTGTCAGATAGAGATACTATTATACTATGGTGGTAATAATGTGGCTGTTTACTAGCAACCCAGTATACTTGGTATTGCTCTCGGGAGGCGCTGTTAGATAGCAGTAGTAAGTATCTCCGCTCAATATATATTGTCCGATCTATGGAGATACTGTGGGAGTTGACACTGTATGAGGGTCTACAACAAGACTACACACCAACTGAACATGGCAGAAGTGATAGTAGCTGGCAAGCATAGATCATAACCAATCTAGTATTCCAAATGCCAGAATTATGTATAAAATTGAGCATAAATGTTGCGGTGGACATCCCCTGCATGCGAGACTTGGATGATGGGGAAAGGCGGCCAAGGATACCGACCGCCTGGCAGAACCGCTGAAGCCGCAAAGAAGAGGCGAAAGTCCGCGGATCTTCAAGGATTCTTCCTGCTGAAGGAAGCATTCAATCGAACCGGTTCATTCTCTGCTCTGCTCTGGTTTTGGGTCGCTCGATCAGGTACCGACACATACGTGTACTTCTCTGCCTGCCAGTCCACTCAGAACATCTGCCACTGTCGTCCAAGCCCAGGTCTCACTTGGGGTTGCATTGACGACCACTTACTTTCTACTAGAGAAAGCATCCATCACCTCTCGGTGAGTCGCCCTCGTATTGCATTGACACATCCTCGCTGCTCTGCCCATGTCTCCCTGTCGCGTCTCATCTTGTTTGGTCTTGTCTGGTTCTTGTTCTGGTCTATTCTGGCCTGGCTATACATTGTTCAACATCTGCGAAACATCAGAAAACAGATGATTACATCCCCTCCCCCCCCCTTCCCCTTTTATTTACATTAATTATCCCCGAGGCCTCATCTATTCTGCCCGCGCACCATCGGGAAACCCCTGCTGGGTCAGTCCAGGGAATAATCCCTAGGTCCGTCCGGGTTGCGCCAGATACCGCACCACCGTTGGATTCACCGCGCCTTTTTTTCCTTGACTTAAAACCCATCGGCCCTGAACATCTGCATTGAAAATGCTCCCATTGGCCCCGTCCTCGTGCTCCATGTCGCGGGGAGATGTCCAAGTGGCGTCTGTCAGAGATGTGATAGGGGTGGATGTCCTGTGCCTTTCCGGAGTGCATGGCTCATCCTGAACACTGGCCCACGTAGTCATTCTTAGCGGTGGATGATGGTAATCTGGCGCTGCTTCTGCCCATCGAGAGGATCCCATCCCTCTTGACCTCCAGATGCGCTCATTCACTCCCCTCATCTCCTTCCCCCCTCTTCCCTGCCTCCGCAATTCCACCATCCACTGGGTCATCCTGGGAAATAGCCAGATAACCCCCCCTCATCACTGTCACTCTGTTTGAGTTTACTTCCAATCCATTATCTGGCTTTACCATAACACTACCTCTGCTCCTCACTCTTGATCCGTTTCGAACTACCTTTGTTTCACCTTGCTTCACTCCTGATCTGTGATCCCTCTTTGTCTGCCTGTCGCACAGTTTATCTTACTTGCGCCTGCTTTATTATTTTATTCTGGTCGATCTATTTCCAAAATTCGTGCGGCTGGGATTGTATCTCTGTTTTGCACTCTACATTGCACTTTGCGTTCTCTGTCATCAAGAATTTCGCGGGGATCTCATTAGCAGCCACAATGCTTTTGCGTCGCTCACTACGTTCCCGCTTGGGGCGGGATGACCAGCCGAGCATGGATGCTAACATGAACACCAGATCTACGAGAGCTGCCGCCCGGGCTGCTGTCTCCACCCCAGCGGTGACCATTTCACGCGTTGCATCTGAGTTGCACGGGAATTCCACTCATAGGTCTATCCATTTGACAGTAAAGATGCCGTCCAGCAAACTTCGTGAAGTTACCAGTGGTAGCACCCGAAGTGGTGCATCAACCAGACGTTCGGTTAATGTCTTTACGGAGAATCCCATTGTGACGGGTCCCCGTACCAGCAGACCCAAAAAGAAGCTTGTGGAAGTGGACACAAGCGATGAAGATGACCTGGAAGACCAGGAAGAAGATGAGGTGGACGACGATGAAGATGCGCCAGGTGAAGACGACGATGACGTAGATGCCGATGGCGATTTAGACATGGATGATGCGCCGCCGCAGCCACCAGTGTCAAAACGGCAGGCGAAAGCAGCGGCAGCGGCAGCGCCGAGCGGGAAGGCCGTTAAAAGTGTAGAGGCAAAAGAGATGGAACTGGATGATGACGACGAGGACGACGACGATGAGGAGCTCTCGGAGCTGGAGTCAGACGCTGAAGGCGAGCCAGACGATCAAGACGAAAGTATGATGGCCAATGGTGGCGCAGAGGATTTAGAAGGAGAAGAGGAGGAAGAGGATGACGACCTGGACAGCGATGACGATACCCCGACCGCCGATCTGAGCAAGATGACCAAACGGCAAAGGGGAAATCTGGGTAACGACTTCCTGCAACTTCCTATGGGTGAGTCTTCATGTTTCGCATGGTCATTGAAAGCATCATAAGTCTGACTGAGAGCAGAACCCCAGGTGAAAAAGCACCTGACGGCCGAGGAGCGCGCTATGCGTCGTGCCGAAATGGCTCGTCGTAGAAAGAACCTCAGCGAGAAGCGGAATGAGGAGGAGAAGGTACGTACCATCTAGGGTTCTGCAAACTGCAGCGGGGTGGGCTTTTCTGTACTTCGAGTCGATGCTGACATGAGACTCACAGATGGACACCATCAACAGGCTTCTACGGAAGCAGGCACCCAAGCGACGAGGACGCATTCCAGCTGCAGAGACAGCCGAAGCAGCTTCTGCAGAGCAGGAGGTCGCGGAACCCGAGAAACCGGACCCGACGATGGTGAGGTGGGTAAGTGGCCGCGAAGGCAGCCGAGTAGGTGTGCCAGAAGAATGGCTCGGTATACCTGCAGGACGTGTCTTTGATGGCAATGGCTCGGGCAAGCTCGTGCAAGAGGTATAACTGGCTAGAATGGAAAGATGGGCGCATCTGGAGCTGGGAGTTTGAAATAGGTTACAGGGAGGGTATAGGCTTCTATAATACTAGGGTTAAGTATGTACATTCACAGAGTGGATCATTTATATAGCTGTTTTCCATTCAGTGATCATGGAAGGTAGTGTAGAGATACAGGACGTTGTTATATTTTCATATGGCTGTTCTAAGTTACTGGCCATGGATGGTCATGAGCTGTGGAGTCACAGAGACAGTGGTGGAAGCTCGTGCTATACTCGAGCTGCACATAATCTGCCTGTGTTTGTAATCCCACTGCAGCCCATGTAAGACAATTTCTCCCAGTCACCGCTAGCAGTTACTGAGGAGTCAGTGCGGGCTCCATTACTCATTCTCTATTCCAGACAATCATGAACTCGCAAAAGGACCCATGCCTTCGATGTTCTGGCTATATATCACCGACCAGCGGCGTTGCGGTGTATGCATCACAAAGCGGCTTATTCATCTGCAAGCTAGCTCTTTTGAACCTCGGGGGCCTTTGCTTCGCTGGGCTGGGTCACTGGCTTGCTTGAATCCTTATCTGAGCTGGGAGTGGGTGTGGGAGCGATCTTTTGGTCTTGCGACGGCAGAGTCCTATCGGTGATGCATTCCGGTCAGCAAAGAACGGCATGCAAGACGTTTGACTTGAGAGGTCGGCCTTACTGAGGACCCGTCTTCTCCGTCTGTAATTCTCGCAATGCAGGCTGGAAGGTATAGTATCCTGCAGACCCGGAAAACGTAACAATTAGCAAGCTGATGGCAATCACATGCTCATAAGAGTGAGCGTGGGTATCCCCAACACCTACCAGTCCAGACACCCATGCCAATGGCCATAAGGGCCGGAATCCAATTGCGACTCATGATGATGATGTAGACTAGCCAGTGGCTGCTCGGAAAGTTTCTGCGCGAGAGATTGAGCGAGCAATGTTGCCGTAGCGTTAATTGAAAGAGCTTCGCTGGGCCAAGCTCCGGCCGGACCGCCCGCTGGGCAATCGCCAAATTTGCGCCAGCCCATCTGCCGTTTAAGCCCCATCGCGTCCCCCACATTTTCGACGCGTCGCATCGACCAGCAACCACTGCGTCAATTAACCCGCTCAACTTTGACTACCAATCCCGGTGGATCTGGACCCCTAACACGACGCCCAACTGACTGGTCCGATCCTTGTGCGATTATTCGTCCGCGTCCGTCCCTATAGATTATCGTGCGCAGTATTTCGGGCCCTGCCGCCGTTACGAGGTGATGAATATCTAGGGAGATGGGCCATCCGCGCCTAGGATACAAATGGAATCATGGCGGGCGCGAGGGTTCGTACCGGACTCGGACTCGGAGGACGGACTCGACAGCCAAGAGACAGGAAACTTGAACAATGCTGTCGAAGATTCGGTCGCAAATATTGGTGGCGCAGTTGCAGTTATCGTGGAGGAAACTACTGCCCTGGATCAACGGGATGAAGCACAACATGAGGTGCAGGCAAATACCTCTCAGGACAGCAAAGTCGAATGTGACCGTCCTGTGACTCTTCCTGTGAATCTTAATGGTGCCCCTAGGCCAACAGAATACCCTGACGGGCCTTCTACGGCACCGACTGAGGCTGCCAATGAGAGCAGCAAAGCCCAGAAACAATTGCCTGGGCTTCTCGAGGACAAGGAGACACCTCGTGCTGAGGAGAATACTGAAGACCCTCACATGCCTACACAATCTTCGGAAATAGCTAACAATCGGTCAAAGTCCGTCGACGAGGACGACAAATCTGAGGAATCATTGCACGGACTCTCTAAAGATGAGGTAACTCCTCGTGCCAAAGAGAAAATTGACGATTCTCTCCTGCCAATGAAACCTGTAGAAATAGCTAATGCTAGACCGACGACTGCTGATGAGGAACCGTCGCCTGGACCCGCTGAGGATGAGGAGACTCCCCGTGCCAAGGAAAAGGATAACTCTCGACTCCCTGCGCAAGCTTCGAATACAACTAATGGTAGCGCACCACCTACCCCACGAGCCAAGGAGCACGACAGTATATGGGATTTCCCAAGTTCAGAAGACGAGCTGCAATTCGACTATCGACCGTTTAGGAGACCGCTCCATGTGTACTCAAGGAATAAGCCCGACAGTCAACCGCGGCAAGTTGAAGGGAACTATGATCTTTCGACTCCTTCATCCCCTCTGTCGTCTCTGGACTCCCTTCGCTTTGAGGAGGATGACCAAGGTGACCAGGAGAAATCAGAACAAGCAGAACAAGCAGAGCAGCCAACGAACGATTTTATTGAGGAATTGCTCCCTCCGCTCGATCTCCCAGAGGAAATACTGCGGGAAATGTCACCGCCGGCGCGGAGGTCATTACGAGAGCGTAAAGCTATCCAGTTGCATCCTTATATGTTGGAAGACGCCAAGTATCGGAATATGATGCGCGCAGGAGGCGTCAAGCCTGTACGAGTGACGCAGCCGGAATTGACTCGGGCTACAGGCGATGAGAGCCAAGGCAAAGAATACGTTGACGCCGCTGAGCCCATGTCCGATAGCTTTGGAGCAGAATTTGAGTTTCAACCCTCATCACCGATAGAGACTCGTCCTTCAGAAAAACGGCTGTCTAGGAACTCCCCAGAACCTGCGCTACAACATGGTTCTCCACAATTAGGTCGCTCTCCAGCTGGCGTGCTAGAGCGGCAACCGAAAAGGCGCAAGGTGTCAAGGCCTCATCACGAGCGTCGGCCTCCTTCGCGAAATCTGCAACGACCAAGTGTAGTAATCGTGAATTCATCTCCCATGCGTCAAAATAATGCACCGGTCTTCGGTGTTCCAAGCCCACCCCGTTCGGAAGAGAATGTTACTTCTTCGCCCGCCACAGGACCCTCCAACGTTTTTCGATTCCCTCGTGGTTATACCCCACCATCAGTGACTACCAATGTAAAACCAGGGCAGGGGGCTATAGCTCAAGAGGAGGATGGGATGGACTGGTCTGGAGGTGAAGAGGATGGTGGACCTGTTGATGCTCATCTGGAAGCGAATCCCACGCAGTCAAACTCTGACGCCGAGGATGCAAGCGCAGTTGAAAGCGAAAACGAGGACTTTGATGTCAGACTCTATCAGCGTCGAATCAAAGGGGTATTACCGGCGTCATGGCTGAGATTGGATCAAAAACAACAAGAAGGACGCTTGAGTGCTACGCAGCGACAGCGCGAAAGGATGCATTCCAGGACGGAAAATGCAAAGGGCGTTGCACGTAAAATCACGAAAAGCAACAGTGCAGCAATGGCATCGGGCTCAAACGCGAATCTTTCCTCACTAAGACAGCTTGCTGATCCAGAATCTGGTGATGAAGATGAGGCCGACGACGGGGACGATACGGTCAATTCCCGTCAACTACTAGCTAACCTTGGGCTTGAACCGTTCGATGACAATGACTTCGGAGAGGACATCCCGGAAGACAATCGGATTGATTACATGCTCCCACCAGCACCTCGTGCCCCCTCAACCAAGACCCGGCAGCCAGGAAAGAAACGGCCGACGTCGGAGGGTGATAGCATGCGCTCAGCTCATGCGCCCAAACGCCCTCGGATGAAGAGACAAACAAGGCTCACGGATCCCGCCCATGGGTCTAGAAAGCAGAAGAGACCTACGCCCAGCATGCCTAGGATTGGAATCCTGGACGCACCAGATGTTGTCTCTAGGTCCCGCGGTGAGCAACCGCTCTTTCTCAGGATTGCTGCAAGAGAGGCACGCTCTCGTCAGGACAAAGGGAGACGAAGTCCCACCCGGAAATTCTTCAACTTCAGTTCGCGCGTGGATACGGAGGACGCCAATAAGTCGCTGCACGATTGGCAAGAAGGACGGCTTCGACAGACGAAATTGCCTCCGTCTCGGCCCAAGGCTAAGGTCGCTGGGCGACAACCGCTGGCTGTTCTTTCTTCGAACCGGCCAGCCAGATCCCATGGAAGAGTCGCCGAAAGAGCGAGCGAAAACCGTAGGGTTAATGCTTCGTCAGGTCTCCCATCCAGAGCCAACAGTACAGCCGATGAGCACGCCCCTAGTACACAACCTCGCGTTCCTGGCCAAGTGGCTAAGACAGCTGTTAACTCCAGCAAGCTGATGCAACCAGAGCAACGGCCAAATAAGTGGATTGTTCGAAGAAATCTTGCTATCACTTCCCTGACCAGGCAAGACCCGCGGCCAGCAATGCTTGAGGTAGCAAACCCTCGTGGCAAGCCTGTATCACCATTGTCGTTTCAGAGGTCGCTCTCTTTGCTTGACCGAAACTATCGGCACAAACACCTACCGAAAGCACGGCAGAGTAACTTGGTCTTAGATCGCTTCATCTCAAGCCGCAGCTCATCTCCTGCTACTGCTGGCGCCCAGACCACTGGTACGAGTCAGTCTGCGAATAAGCCGGATGTCAGGCCGCCAGGGGCGCGGCCACAAGCTCAGCGCCAATTGAAGAAGCGGCCGCCGAAGCGGCTGGCAGTCAATGACAACCAATTTCAGCGACCTTTGGTTCTAGAATCAACGGATCCAGAGCCCCTCCTACAGAATGGAGATTTGCCTATAGACAGCTCATCTGATGCGCTACATGGGTTTAAACCTTCATATAGCGTGGCCTTCAACATATTTCCCTTGTCTACAGGCACATTCTTCCACCAAACCACATTTCTCGGAAGTGGGCAGTTTGCGCACTCTCTGGAGTTCCTCAAGAGAGATCTTGACAGAGATGCTGGCTTTCTCTCGTTCAAGGCTGGGGATAGAGCTTTTCGTTGGGGCTCGTGGAATGACGCGGTGTCTTCGGAGTTAGGTTTGGTCTTCGACAGCATGATTGAGACGATTGAGAAGAACGATGCCGGACTGACTGGAACACCGGGGCATACTGAAAAGAATGATTGTAGCTTATACAAGTGCCTGATCAAGTATGTTAGGGATACGCTCTCCTTCATCGACCCCGTCGACAGGATAGGGTTCGTGAGACGGGCTCTGAGCCTTGTCTGCAAGCTCAATGATACTCTGACAACTCTGGCCCCAAGATCTGAGCACGAGATAGACTACTTGGCAGCGATATGCTCGTACAATTCTGTATTTACGTACCTACTTCTTCAGATTTCCGGGCATGACCTTGTCGATGATGCACTTACCCGGGAGGTGTTGGGTTCGTTGACCCGAGCCGCCAAACAAACCGTCACCCTTGTCACGACCCCATTGGGACAGAGCAGTATCCGCAGGCTGCTAGCAAACATCGAGTCTCCTGAGAAGCGCGACGCAGGAATTCAGGGCGACCATCTTGTTGCCGAAGCCTATGTTATTGTCCGACACATTCTTCGCGGTACAGATACACTAAAAGGGTGTCTTGAGGAGCTTCTGACGGAATCCTACGCGAGTCAAGATAATGACTTGGTGAACCTGGCAGATATCAACCGGCTAGAGCGGGTGTGGCACTGTGTATTCACTACCTTGCCTTTGGACGAACTCGATGCTTCTGGCATTGCTCGAATAGGGTCGCGCTTCTGGGAAGCCCACGGGAACTGGGCCATTGTAAAGACACTGCTCCGTCCAGTACTGGACCGTTATGATGCCACATCTATAACGCAGCCGATCTCATACTACAAATACTGCAGAACACTGTTCCACAGATGCTTCTATCTCATTAATGGTTGGGGCTGGAGAGACTGCAAGCCAATACTCGACACTCTCTATGATTTCTTCGCGAAGAACACTCTGTACAACCTGAAGCACGAGGAAGGTTATAGGTCTCCTGCGTTCCTCGACGAACTCGATCAGAAGCCTTCCCTGGAAGTGCAAGCAGACGACCCATGTTTCCACATTCTGCTGAAGATCATTGCAAGTGGTCTGCGTTACTTGGTCAAAATTTACGACCAGAAGAAGGTTCGCAATTTTGCGTGGCGTCTGCTGCCAAACCATGGCCGCGTATATCCAAAAGAGAAGCCCATACGTCAGGAGGACTTGGATGCACTGAGGAACCACCATGATCTCCTGTGCACATTATATTACGCTGTTCCAGACGGGTGCCGGCCTCGCCTTCAGACAATCAGGGACCTTGTCCATCCGGCCAGCTCCCATCGTGAGACATGCAACATCAGTATTCGCTCCTGGGCTAGGCTTGTCCGCTTCAAGCTCTCGACAAACGAAGATGTGGCTGGGCTCGAGCCATTTTCTGACTGGCATAATTATTTTGTGTCCGAACTTTTGAAGCAGCATGCACTTGCACGCCAAGAAGTTGAATCACAGAATGCTGCGGGCAACAAGTTCTCCGATCAGTTAGTTGAGAGAACGATTGCACAGAACCAGCGACAGATCGAGTCCTTGCTGAAGACCGCGCTCAACGGTCTGAATAGTGCTATTCGCTCAGCACCAACATTGCAACACGCCCATAAGCTTGTCTTGGGAGCACCTATCAAAGCACTACTTGGTCTCTTTAACGCCCGGATTGCTCGTGTCAATACCACTGTTTCTGATGCGCTCCAAGTAATTGTCACTTACGTTCAGAAGTGCGACTCTCCTCCAGCAGCTGAAGAAGCAAGTGCCCCTGTGGCGGTTGATGAAGACAGCCAAGAATATGGGGACTGGGCGGACATTGCGGCTGCCTATGGCGAGTCTCCAGCGATAAGTCCGGAAGTCGAATACGTGGAGAAGATTCTTCATCCTGCTGTGTTCCAACTTATATCGAACTGCTTTGGTGAGGACTACTGTCCTGAAGATGCAATCCTGCTTAGTGTTGTGGAGTGCTGGACGTCTATTGCGCAGACCCTTGTCAAACATGGCTTGCGACATTGGGACAGCTACCTTAGTCCCTATAACGGTGACTCCTGGACATCACTCCGATTGACGATGCAAACAAGGAAGTTCACGCCTCTCTTCCTGGCAAACAGCATTGAGAAAGATCCGCGGTTTGCGGCAGATTGCAAAGTCCAGGTGATCGGGATGTGGGTATCGAGTCTGGTAGAGCGAGTCTCGATGTTGAAATACCAGCATCGCCTAACAGAAGCTTTGTTGAATCAGGTGGTGGCGGAGCCGCTATTGCAGAACCTGCCTTTTGCCAGGGACCGAAAAGAAGGAAAGTATCTGATTTTTTTGGAGGATCTAAGCCAGCGCCGTGTTTCTCTGATATCGAGTGTCCTCTCCAACATGCGTGCGCATTTGCAATTGCTGGAGGACGTAAAAGCCCGCGAGCTCTCCACTACTAAGCAGGAGTACAAGGAGATCATTCAAAATATGATGTCCGCCATGAAGGCAAACTACCTGGAACTGGGTAACGGTGCAGCCAGCGTCCAGGGCGCTTACGTGGACTTTGTTCATCGGATCGTCGCGTTCCTGCAGCAGCACAGTCGAGATATTTGCCCTATCGACCCCTTCTTTACCGACCCTGCGTCGTTTCCTCTACCTTCTGGTGATCCGACGTATATTGTGGCCCGGTTGAAGAGCTACGAGCCGAAACTTTCCTCGGAGAAAGTAGCAAAGACGCTCATCATGTTCGTCCAAAGCGTTTCTGAGCGAGCGGCGATCGATGGGCAGCAGGACTACCTCGTCAATCAGCTACACGCATCCATGGCAGACACCTATGAGGCTGGCCTTCCCAATAAGCCAACCCTGAGAGCGACCTTGTTGCAGGCGGTGTTCCCAGCTTATCTCGAGGCATCCTTCAGCAACCCAGCATGCTGGATTCTAAGCCGGCCCATCATCCAGACCATCACGCTCGTCTTCCAGGATCTCTTGTTCAATATGGACACCACGGACTCTGCTTGCGTGGCATCAATCGTGAACATCATCCACTCTATCTTCCAAGCATCACACACCGCCCTCCTGTCCATGGCAAGCAATGCCACCATGTTGAACGATCCTGTCGTGGCACTCAGCGCCGCTGCATTCATCAAGATGATCACAGCCGCCTTGCCAATCATCGACTACATAGACCGAACAACCGACATGGATCAAAGAATCCTCGCCCAGGTCCACGCCTTCCAACACTACGTGACCTTCGCCACGAGCCATCTCGACCAACCCCTCTCAACCACAGACCTGTACAATATGCCCCACTCCACCGAAGCTTTCATCACAGGAGATACCTCCTCATCTATAGCCACGAACCCGCCCTTCTTCCCCGATCTCCAGCGTTCCACAGCTCGAGAACTGAACCTCTACCTCAACGAGAGCTGGTCCCGTCACCAAAAGAAATTCTACTTCACCCGACGAGGCGGATATCATCCGCAAGAAATCAGCATCCAGCCTTCTGTCGCTGCGGGACTCGAACAGCCCCCGCAGAAGATCCTTGGTCCTGTTGTCCAGGAGTTCTTGGATGTGGCGAGAGGACTCGATCTTGATGTTGCTGGTGATGGTGATGTCGTGCAACTGGAGGATAATCTGTTTGCAGTTCAAGATTCGGATCAGGTGTCAGCGACTGGATCTGGGGATGAGAATGCGATATATACTCTCGACCTCGTCGATGTTATTGGATACTGAATGGCTGGAGACATTATAAACCTCACTGGCATGATAGAATGCCTGTGGTATTGATATTAGCATTGATAGTGATCTTGTACGATACTCCGCTTTTTCTTTAGATGATGAATTAGATAATTGAATGATGAATTGCTAGTATTCTATCATTGCTATGGATATATTAACTACAATACTAAATACATATTGCTTGCATCAATACCGAGCAGAGAAGTGAAGAGATACATTGACAAAATAAGAATAGCCCTCAAGAGATAGTATCACATGTACACCTAATCGAGGTTTCCTCGTTTGATACAGAAACAAATCAATACTAGGGAGATACCCGTATAACTTGAATAGAGACATAAAGACATGAATACTACCATGAACAGTAGAAAAGACCAAGCAAAGCAAAGCGATCCAACCCAATGAGATTCCATTCCGTTATTACCATTCCCAACTCATCCATTCTAACTACCAACAGCTACTAGCATACTCAATCATTTTCAGCCGAGCTGAACCCACCAAACAGCTTAGCAAGCGAGAATGCAGCATGCAATTTATTCTCCAAATTTCACCGCATAAGCGTAAACATACATACACATCCGTTCCATTATCATCCCGCTCATGGCATTTATAGAAGGATACCTTCAGATACTGTCGTCTGGTTGGTATGGTCCGAATCACAGTGTGAAATAGAGGGTGATAAAGAAGGAAAACACACGAACAAAGCAATAGGTAGGAGGAGCATATATGGATCTCGGAGTAGTAATGGGGAAAGGGAATAAAGATGATAGCTATAGGTATGAGATATAACATGAGGGGAGGATGTGAAGCAAGAGCAAGAGAAGGAAACCCAGCCATATAGTAATGAGGAAGGTAGTTAGGGATCGGTAGAGAAGAAACTAGGTAGTTAGATAAGAGGAAAGTGCCAGTAGCCAATATGCATGACAAATTAATTATGCACGCCCGTGCATGTATGTATGCGTGTGGATGCATGCACGCATGCGAGCGTCCATTTGATAAGTCATGAGAACCTCCAAACCGGTACCCGAACCCAAAGTTACCGTGATAGTATGGCTTAGCTTAGCTTATTTACAGCAAATCAAAGCATTGTCATCAAAGTCATCGTCATAATAGCGAGGCGAGGGTGAATAAGAGAGATAAAAAGTAAGGTAAAGTATACTAGCAACTATTGGTTCACACCTCCCTCAGCACCCCCTTCATTCTGCTGACTGCTTGATCCTCTCCGGTGGAACGGATGATGGGGATGAAAGCCTGAAAAGTGAAAGACTTTGCGCACGGCGCTGGCTACACCCGAGCGCCGCTTGGACTCGGGCGACGACGGCGGCTTATCTGCGGGTTCCTCAGGTTTGGGCCGCACCGTCGCGGTGTCTTGGAGCACGATTGAGGAAGGTTTCGGGGGCCATTGGCCGTCAGATTTCCATCCTTGGACCATGGCCTTGGTTACATCTGCCAGATTGATTGGCACGGTGGGAGTGAGACCCTGGATGACGACTTTTGAGTAAATGGATGGGTACATGGCTGGGGTGATGGAGGCGCGGATGGGGTTGTCGTTGGAGATGAGGGACGAGACGACAGGAATGAAAGGGTCTTCGCTGCTGGGTTGTTGATGCGTAGAGTCGGACTGAGTCAATCCGGTATCTGCGGAGGAAGAAGACTCTTCACCTTGGTTCTCGTCGTCCCCAGCGGGGGGAGGCGGGGGTGGTTGTTCTGCTGCTGTGGAGGGTTCTTCGCCGCGAGATGGCGGCCGTGGGAGCGCGCCATCGTTCTCGGCGATGCTGAGGGAAGCTTCAGTTCGCAGGGCGAGGTCGTTTTGGGAATTGGCCGAAGAAGCGGAGAGGGGAGGGGTGGCTGCTGTAGTAGCAGCAGGCACGGACGCATTCTGTGGTAGTTCCGAGGATGATGTCGTAGGCGTAGCAGCCTGCTGGGTCTTTGCTTCTCTTGCTCGAATCTCGTCCCTTGAGAGAGCTCCAGACCACGCGTCCCGGCGCTCTACCCATGTCCGGAGGCCTTTGTTCCATTGCATTTCCTCCTCCATCTGGCGGCGCCGTTTGCGCCTCCGCTCGGAGTCGTCACTGAGCGGGGTTCCGAGCGGGCTGGCAAGCTCAGAGGCATTGTGCTGTTGTTGTCCACCAACAGGGCTGATGGCGGGCGACGGCTGGGGTTCTAGCTCGGAGCCGGAGCTGTCATATTCGCGTTGACGCCAATGTAGGACATCTTGGCCGGGAGTGGGGGGAGATGAAAATGAAGGCACGCCAGGCTCGGAGGAGGGTTCAAAGACCCAGTCGTTCCGGACGATCTCGCGAACATAGCGCTTCGCATCTCGGATGGCGGCATCGCGGGCCTCGGTTGCCATTGCGAGGGGATTTGCCAGAGGGGCAGCAAAAGGTTAGGAGAGAGGCGCGGGGGTTCTTTTTTGTCGCGTGCGGAGGGAAAGAGAGCCTGCAGATAATCTGCAGGGTGGGATAGCAGTTGGCCGCCAAGAGGGAAGAATAGAAGCGAGGGACTGAACCTGAAACGATGGTGGCGGGGGGGAAGGAACAGAGAAAGAGAAGTTGGCGAAGGAAGAGAAAGAAGGTTGGCTGATCCAAGGAGAGCTGCCGCCTCGTCGATGTCATTCAAGTTACTGTTGCATCTTCCTCTTTTTTTTTCCTTTTTCAGTCTTTCTTCCCCGCGAACTTCACCCGGTGCCGCAACCGATTAATTCATCATCACATTTGATGGACTGGCGTCTATTATATTCATAGATAATCTTAACCCATTTGTTACGATTTAAACTGGGATCGTCTTCCTGCTGCGGTATTGTATTGATACATTGTGGTTCGTGTCGCTAATCAGTTCGTAGTATACAAGCCCAGTTCCTGCCCTTGCGTGCCATTCCAATTCCATCCCAATCCAGTCCTACACAAAACGCGAAGAAGATCAAGTTGATCTATGTGACATGAAAAACAAAAATATCCAAGCAATCCATTTCTATTTGACTCCCAATTGCTTAACGCTGTACAATCGAACCAGTTCAGGTCCGGACGCGCGCCGCATCCACGCTAGCTGCCGACTCGTCCATGCCCGCCGGCATGAAGCCCCAGCCAGGAGCCTTCTTGCGTCGGCCCTTGCGGTCGCCATACTGCTCGTCGAACTTGCGGATTGCAGAGAGAGATGACATATCCTCGCTGATCGATGCGCTGATCTCCTCCATACCACGCTCGAAGTGCTTCCAGGTCAAGGTGCGTCGCGCGGGATACTGGTAGGGCTCCTCGCCTTGGTGCTGCGCTGCCAGGTCGTTCTCTTCCCGGACACAGGCCAAAGCGGCCGCAACGGAAAGGTTCTTGAGGTCCGAACCGGAATACAGAGGCGTGCGACGAGCCAGCTCGGCCAGATCAACCGAGCTGTCCAGGGTCTCGTCCTTCAGGTGGATCTTCAGGATGGCCAAGCGATCCTGTTCGGTCGGAAGGTCCACCAACAGTCGCCGGGGGAGACGCCGGAGAACCGCATCGTCGAGATCAAATGGCCGGTTTGTAGCAACCATGATGAAGGCCGACATGTCGTTCATCCCGTCCCACTCCCGCAGGAACTGGTTGATAAGCTCCCGGTGCGACGTTCGGCTGCTGGCTCCAGTGCGAGAACAGAAGATGGCATCGGCCTCGTCGATGAACACGACGCAGGGGCTCAGCTTCTTAGCCAGCGTGAAGATGGCCTTGACGTTCTTTTCGCCCTCGCCAACGTACATGTCGTAGACTTCGGACCCGCTGACTTCCAGGACGGTTGCACCGCTTTCACGGGCGACGGCTTTCGCCAGGAGGGTTTTACCCGTACCTGGGGGCCCGTAGAGCAACAAACCAGGGATCTTGTCAGTTGCCAGGACACCGTAGGTGAACGCTTCGGGTCGGATCAGGGAAAGAGAGGTCAGAGTCTTTAATGCATCGATAGTTTCAGGTGGCACATGAACATCAGAGAATGTCGTGCGAATGCTTTTGGCATCCACGACTCCATTCAATAGCTTCTTCTCATGTGTATTGCACGTTTTCCGCAACGAGCCTAACAAGCGCTCCCGGTCATTTCCTGTCTCGGTCGCCTTCGGTTTAGGCGTTTTCTCGTGCAGCCAGTCATTCTTGACACGCTCAGTCTTCTGCATCATCTCGAGTCCTCGTCTAATGTGATCATACCCGAAGGCTTCATCTGCTCCCAGAGAACCAAGTGCCAGAGTCGTAGCCCAGTGAACCTGGCTGTATGGCCAGTACCGCTCATCAAGGCCACTTTCCTTCACGAGGGACGCATCCAAAGGCCAGGCGCGATTACGGTAAATGTCGTCCTTGAGCGCCGAAGGGCTATCGGCGAGTCGCGTTCGGAGCAGATCTTGGACGTGGCGAATGTTGATATCAAGAGTCCGCGTCCTGCGGTCTTCTGCAAATACGCGCTCTGCCACCTCCGACTTCATGGCGGGTGTGATGACCAGCATCTGGGAGAATTGATCGTCAAAGGCATTTTGCATGAGCTTGGCCGCGTCCGAATCGGGTGCAGCTTCTTGTGCCGATGTACCAATGAAGAGGACCCGGGAACCTGCCTTTCTCTTCTCCTCTATAGCCTTTTGTAACAAAGTGATGAACTTGGCGCCCTCGCGGGTGGTCTGGATGTCTCCATAATCCTGGACTTGCACGATGACGTCTCGCTCCAGGGAGGGACTGCGGCCTTCCATCACTTCATGGGCAGCAGAGTCTTCACCTCCTGTGGCTGCTGGCGAGACCTGCTTCGACGGCTTGCTAGGCGAGGAAAGAAGCTCCCGAACAAGTCGAAGTCGCCTATCCTCTGCGCGATTAACAGCACTTTGTGATGAAGAACCTATCTGGTCCGCCGGCGCATTGAACGAGGCCACCAACGACTTCAGGCCCATTAGGTTGGGAAGCGCGATATCTCCCGAGTCACGAGTGCTCTCAATAGTTATAAATTTAGGACGCAGACCCGACCGGAGACTGCGTGGTGTGTCAATGACGTCGTCCTCAGCATCCCCATCACCCATGCCGTCGTCTTGCCAGGTATCAGAGAGGGACGGCCGGTATACCTCGTAGCCAAGCGATCTGATGGGCGAAGTTGTGCCGATGTCCGCCAAATCTTGTTCGCTGCATAGCTGGGCAATGTCCTGCGCGTTGAGTGTAACCAAATCCGCGCCCAACTCTTGCGCCAGCCTCTTCACCACCGCATCTAAGAAAAGGATACCATCGGTGCCCGGGTACTGAAGGACAAGGTGCGACTTGCGTGCGGAGGGCTCTTGGGCGTACTTGGCTGGCGGCAGCCGCAACCCGGCTCGGGCAGAGGCGCACAGCTCTTCCCACAGCGCTTCCGTCAAAGCATACCGATCGTCCGGAGTATCAGATCCCCCAGGCGCAGGCGGCTCTTCGCCACTACCGCCCCGTCCTAGCTGTTGTGTGGCCTCCTCCTTCTCCGGTTCAACCTCCGTCGGTCGTATCTTCACATGCTGTAGTAATTTGACGTCACCGTCCCCCTTTCCATCATTGACCACCGTGTTTCGCTCGTAGAACCAGTCGGGAACAGTGGCAACTGGAGCAGTCCACTCCTTCGCCGGTCGTCTGTTCCGCAAAGCTCTGCGGACCGCCGAACCGTAGGGACTCGCGTCTTTCTTGTCCAATCGGTCTGTGGAAGGTGATGCAACAGAAGCATCACGGCTAGCTAGGGTGGGTTCTGCACTGTGAACAGGAAAATCACCGGGGACGTTCCCTGTTGTCGAATCACGAGCATTATGAGGATCTGAAGGAGCGGACGACAGCCATGGTCGCGAAAGATGGAACCGACGCGAATGCGAGACAACGGCGGCGGGATAGCGGCGATGCGCGATGAAGCGGCAGGGTCGTGCTACAGACCGAAGGAACCTGCCTTGGTACATTGACGAATACATCCGGGGCCAGTAATGCCACCGGAATTGGACAATCGAGTTACTGCTCACGCTGCAGGGAACAAACCGTCTGCATCAGCGTGGGTGCAAGTTGGATTGAGGCCAGCAAGACTTTCATCTTGCCTTTCTGGACTGTTCCTTGCGGGTCGGCTCTCCTTTGTCAGCGCCGAACTGTAGTATCACGTGACCAGACAGACTGGTGGCTGCTGCAAGTGCAGAGACCCAGTGGATCAGGCAGAGAGGATTTAAGCTTGATTGCAGTGATCTAACCACCAGGAAAGGCCAACACCGTAGGTGTCAACTCGACATGATGCATCATCCAGGGCGAGGCTGTTTCGCTCAGCTGCACCTTTTCCTCTCATAAGAACTACTGCGGCTTACGGAAAGTATAATTCAACGAATACCCAATCTACGGTGAACAAGAAAAATAAGAGTGGAATGATCCAGAATTGAATGGGTTTGTTATTTCCAGTTTGTTCTAACTGTGAATCTGCACGGAATGGCGCCAGCCAGAGCAGATGATCGACACCGAAGCAAAGCCTGATGCAACCGGATTCCTGTACCCCACCACTCATGCTGGTTTGACAACACAATCGACGTCAGAGAGAAAATAAATTAATAGTCCTAGATTGAAAACCTTGATGAATGTCAGCCAATACTCCCATAATATAGGATGAATGACAGCGAGGCACAGAAATGCAATAATAGTAATTTTCTCAGACAAAGTATACTGGCAAGTAGCAGACCAACCGGGAAAGGAAGGTCCGAACTATCTCCTCATGGACGATTCAGAGGATAAAGAAGAAAAGAAGGTTTTGTCATCTTCGAAATGGGGATGAGGGGAAGAAACAATTGCGGGAAAGAAAATGAGGAATTGAGACTAACCTTGTGACAACTGGAAGTGTTGCAGCACAACCTGATGTGTTAGTGTAGTGGTCTGATGTATCAGTCTCAGTATGCATTTATACTGCGAAAAGCTACTACTGGGCATAGGATTGACGCGTGGCGTATCCAAATCAGAACCATGAACATTGTAGGTGCACAGAATCAAATTGCAAATCTGAGAAAAGTCAGAAAAGCAGCCTGGCAAGAGTGTTTTTGAGCCATGAGGAGGCGAATGCTGAAGAAGAGGAAGAAGAAAAACCAAATCGCGACCGAAAATAATAAAGGCTGCCCACGCGCAAGAATATTATTCCGACTTCCACGTGATGCCGGCTTACCCGAAAGAGGCATAGCGAGCAAGTCGCGGTGGGTGGCCATCGTGAAGGATGGACGAATCACGAGCGGGAAAAGAAAAGCCTCAGCAGGCCGGAGGAAGGAAGAAGATCTCGCCATGGGCCTCTCTCTCTCTCTCGCTCGCTCTCTTTCTGAGTGCTCTTTCGCTGGCTTGTCCCTTTCCCTGCCTATCTTCTGCTTCCCGTACGGTTCCTGTTCCTCCCTCCCCATCTCTCTCTCTCTCTCTCTCTCTCTACCTCACTCTTTTTTCCTTCTCTCTCTCTCTCTCTTCCCCATCATTCCTCTCCCGCCTCCTCCAGATTTTCCTCCTTTCCCCCTCTTCCCGCTACTGGGCTGCTAGTTCTGTTGCGCGTGGTGAGTGTCTTTGGGTACCACTTTAATCTCTCTTCCCGCGAGGTTCGGTCCAGCACGCCCCGTTCGTTATCGACCGATTGAACTGGCGATCGCGACAGGTGCCCGTCTCGCTTTTCGTTGGCCCCTAGCCCCTCCACACCTCCCGGCCTCCCTAATCCCATCACTACCAACTTTACTAGTCTACCTACTTTCACTGCCCAGCATCCCATCATTTCCTCCTGCTATCTCTTACCACCACAACCACCCACCACCACCTCCCATTCTCCGATCATCCACCCCCAGCCTCCTTCTATCGCTCCCTCCCACTAACATTGGAGGTGTAGGAACCTCTCCTCCCTCCCGATCTGGTGGGCACAGGTGATTAGGCCGGTCCGATCCATGCTCCAGATCTCGTGTGGTCCTGGGTGATACCGACGCAGGCTCAATCGCCCCGTCAGCTGCGTCTTGGCCTCCGCTCCGACACTAAAAGCGGCCTGTTGTGCCTCCACGTCAAGCGCGCTCCTCGAGTCCGACGCCCGCCCTCTGCGTGCCGGATAGTCGACACGACCGTCTCTTGCCTTTCTCGCTCGACGTCTCTCTTTTTAGACCTCCCAATTTGCCTTCCTTGTGCTATATAGTCGTGCTCTCTATTCTTTCCCCCCTCCTTCCCGTCCTTCACCGACTTTGAGGAGTCCCGTTATCGGCGACTTCGTAACCACGACATGATGATGGCGCAACCGTTTCCTGCCCATCAAGGCATTCCACAGCATCCTGGCTTGCCTCCAGGTCATCCAATGGCTCCCGGTCAACATCCCAATGCTCATCCCGGTGCTGGCATGGTCCAGCAGGTGCATCCCGGAGTGTCGGCACCAGGAGGTCCTCAGGTCAGTCAAGGCGGACCGGTGATGGGTGGGATGCCTCCGGGCGCTGGCACAACTGGTCCGGGGGGTGCTGTACAGGCTCATGCCCTCTCGCATCTTGGCCCTGCTCAAGCGCACATGTTCCAGCAGCCGCATTTTGCACAACAATGTACGTTTTCTCGAGTTTTTCTTTCCAGGACTGCCCCCTTTCCGCCGTTGCCCTGCACGGGTTAATATTCTCGTTGCTTTTTCCCGTTTGTGTCGTTTCTTTTCTTATGTAGTAGCGTGCTAATTTTTTCATCACTTAGTTGCCAACAACCCTCAACTCCTGCAGCAGCACCAGCAACAGCAATATCTCAGGCAGCGGATGATGCTCCAACATCAACATCAACAACAACAACAGCAGCAGCACGGCGGGTTACCAGTGCAGCTACCGAATGGGACACCTGCCCTTAATGCAGCTCAGATCGCGGCCATGCAAGCGAATCCTGCCATGCGTCCGGTTAATCTGCAAATGCAACTCCAACAAATGCCCCATGGGCAGCCGCAAAATCTTCAGCAGCAACAACAATTCTTCGCTATGCAGCAGGCCCAGCAACAAGCGCACCAGGCTCAGGTCCAACAGGCGGCTGCAGCAGGGCAACCCGGCCAGCAGACGCCTCAGCAACGTGCAGCGGCACAACCCCAGAACGTACACGATGCTCAGAGTGTCACTCCTCAACCTCAGCCGGGACCGCCGCCACACCAGGGGAGTGCCACCCCTCAACCCAATCCCCCGCCGGTACCTACTTCGCAACCACCGCAACAGCAGCCGGCCGCTCCTCAGCCGCAACCTACTCCCAATCCGCCTCCGCAACAGCTGCCGCAGGCCCAGCAACCGGGCCAGCAACCACAAGCGCCCCAAGCTGCCCAAGCCCAGCCTCAACCTCAACCTAACCAGCAGGGTCCACAGCAGGGTCAACAACAGCAACCGATGACTGCCCAGGAGGCCCAGATCAAGGCGCAACAGCAGCAAAACCCCGCCGCCATGATGATGCAGCAGCAACAGCAACGGATGAACATGAAAGGCGCTGCAATTCTGCAGCTCAACTCTTTTGCCGAAAGTCTTAGCTACATCTCTGTATGTCAATTTCACTTCTTTCTTTTGGCTCACTGTGTCCACCTGGCCGAGTACTAACTGCTAGCAGGGTACTGAGAACGCGAGCACTGATTTCAATCAATGGCATGGCTTCGTGCTTAGATTCTATTCGCCAGGCGGTGTGCTCAGACATACCGTCTGCAACCCACAAGCAAATTCCTCCAAGCAGTTCGAAATCGCTACCCCTGCTTTGGCGCGCTATTACTTGACCCAGTGTACGAGTGGGATCAAACATATCCAAATGCTGGTTGATGGAGCGCGGGAAAGGGATTCGCCGAACGGAGGCCACATAGTGGAGAGTGCGAAGACTGCTTTTATCTATTGGTTCGCGAATGGAAGTCAGGTATGCATGCTCGGCCCTTGCACCCCCGAAATGTACGTTGTCATATTAACGTGGACTAGCTCTTTGCGCGCGCCAACATGACGGCTCATTTCGATATGAACAACAAGATTGAAATGCTCGATATAGCGGTGCTGGATCACAACGAATACCTGCCTAGGAGTCAGCTACAGGCTCTGGAGCTGTCCGACCAACAAAAACAAAGTCCCAAGGTGTCCAAGAATATGGGCAAACGCGCCCAGGCCAAACAAGCACAACAGCCTGCGTTTACCTTGCCCGAATCCATGGTCACTCCGAATGGCGTCCCCACGGCTGTGATGAGTTTCCTTGAGGTGAGCCCTTCCACGTGGTTGGCATAAAAGTACTCTTCTGACGTTCTTGTGCTGTAGGTTGCGGAAACCATTTCTCACATGCAGGTCCTATTCCAATTCTCCCAGCAGAATCCCCACTTAACACCCTCCGAAGCCCTGCGGACTCTGGTGAACACGATGCAGGCGCCGGCTCCCAATGCCGCTTATGTGCAAGGTCCCATGAACCCGGCCCTACAGCAAGGCCAGCCACGGGCTCCCAGTATGAGCATGCCTAACCAATTTGCATCTCCCGCCATGACTCATCTCGGTCTGCCGGGCGCTCAGGGCTCGCCCCATTTGACCGGCTCCGCGCATCCCAGTCCCGCCCAGAGCCACCTCGCGGGGCCCCCGGGAATGGTTCCCCAGGGTCAAGTACAAGGCAATATGGCGCAGGGGACCAGTGCGAGCGCAAGTCCTAATGTGGGCAACAAGCGCCGTCGGGCCAGCACCGTGAAGATGGAGAACGATGAGACCGGTGGGGGTCCCGAGGTTAACGGGACAGCCGGCCAAGCTGCCCCCAAAGTCAAGGCCAGTCCTCGAGTAGGGGCTAAAAAGCAGAAGGGCGGTGGTTAAGTTGTTTATCTCGACCAGCCAGTAATATTGCCGGTAGCATGCTTGCCGCTGGTCTAGGTGTGCTTGTGTCTTCTCTTTTTCTACTTCTGAACTCTTTTCTCTTTCAGTCTCACTCGGCGGGGATATGGCGTACCTTTAGGATACCTATGTGCGAGGCTCTACTTCTGCGTTCCGAACCATCTGCGGGATTCCTGTTATATGTTGAACATAGCTGCCGATTTCGTTCCCCTTTGATGTCTCATGCGAAAGATGGAGATGCGTGTTATGTGGATTTGCGTTGGGCTTACTGATTTTGCCGTATTTCTTGACTGATGTCCCTATCTGCATGTGCTTTACCGCCTGGGGATTGAGGTGCGGTTGACACATATCCTGAAGTTGAGCGTTGCAGGATTTTTGATATCCACGTTTTTATCATGGGCGATTGAAGTGCTCCGGCGTCCGGTTCTAACCTCCCTGGAAATAATTCTGTGTTGATAGTTGCTGCCGTTACTATTGTTACTACTGTACGTGTGGAAGAGCAATGCATTTCCTACTACTACTTTTTTATGAATGAATTCATGGTACCGAACATCACATCCGACTAGTTTGGCGGGGACTCTCCACTAGTGACTGCGCCTGGCATCGGCATCGGCAGTCTCCGGCCTGGGGCTCCCCTCCCAACGTGAGTTGACGAGTTGACCCCTCCATCCACTAGATACTTTCTTTCTATCTCCTCCCTCCACTTTCTCTTCGTTCTTTTCTTTCTTTCTTCACTACTATTCCTCAAATCGGACCCTCCCACCATGTCTCACTCTCACTCCCACGACAACGATGTCAGCCATTCCCACGATGACTTCGGTGGTCACGGCCACTCCCATGAGATCCTCGACGGTCCCGGTTCATACATAAACCGTGAGATGCCTCTCTCGGAGGAGCGTGACTGGAAGGACCGTGCCTTTACCATTGGCATTGGAGGGTAAGTCACAGCAATCATACTATTATCTATTATCCTCGCCTTCCATCTAACTCATCCATGTAGACCCGTCGGATCGGGCAAAACTGCCCTCATGCTGGCCCTCTGCCAGGCCCTCCGCGACGAGTACAACATCGCCGCCGTCACCAACGACATCTTCACCAGGTATACAACCCCTCCCCCCCTCCACCGCTTTTCCCCCATACCAAAAGTAATCAGCTAACCCAATACTTTTTTCATCAAAAAAACAGAGAAGACGCCGAATTCCTCACCCGCCACAAAGCCCTTTCCCCGTCCCGCATCCGCGCCATCGAAACCGGAGGTTGCCCTCACGCCGCCGTCCGCGAAGACATCAGCGCCAACCTCCTGGCCCTGCAAACCCTGCACAGACAATTCCAAACCGACCTCCTTCTCATCGAATCCGGCGGCGACAACCTCGCTGCAAACTACAGTCGCGAGCTGGCTGATTTCATCATCTACGTGATTGATGTCGCTGGTGGTGATAAGGTGCCCCGCAAGGGTGGACCCGGTATCACGGGCTCGGATCTGCTGGTCGTGAACAAGATCGACCTTGCTGAGGCAGTGGGTGCTGATTTGGCGGTCATGGAGAGGGATGCGGCGAAGATGCGCGAGGGTGGACCGACGGTCTTTGCGGTCGTGAAGAGTGGTACGAGAGTGCAGGATATTGTCAATCTTATTTTGAGTGCTTGGAAGGCGAGCGGTGCTTATGAGCATAGTCTGGCGAGGTGGAAGGCTGGTGCGAAGAGGGGGTCCGGGAGTGTGGATGATGCGTGATTTAAATTAATTTCCATATATAAAAAAAATTCATTTATTCATTTCTGTTTGTTTCTATTGTGGTGGTGGTAATTCTCTATCATGAAACTTTTGATTGATATACAGTCCCAACAAGTCCGGTTTTGTATCTCACCCCAACAAACGCCCTTATAATGCAGACAAACAGACGACACCAGTTGCTCGAAAGAAGGATCGTGACACAGACGACAACAAATAGGGAGAGAGAGAAGGAACCAGAGAAATCCTCTCACGCGATGGTTAGATAGTTAAAGCAGGGTATCTGAAAGTCGTCCTCCAGCAGCCGCGGCAGAACGACAAGAAGAATACTAAACACAAGTGCAGTCATCCCCGACAGAGACGAAAGAAGAAGAAGAAGAAGAAGATCCCTAAAATCAAATCTCCTTCTTGGCGAACCTCGCCAGCGCGGGACCCAGATTCTCCCTCTCGGAGCGCAACTTCTCCTTGTGCCGAGCAGCATGCTCCTTGCGCAACATCTCGGCCTTGACGCGCTTGTCGTCGATGACATTGCGCCGACCCTTCTTGCGCAGATACTTGCGCAGTGCACTGTTGCGACCCCGACCACGGTTCTTGAGCTTCTCCATAGGGTCTTCGGGTCTGCGATCGAGATCGCGCTCCTCGCGGTTCTTCTTGTCGCTGATGGTGTTGAGCTTTCCGACAAAGTTGGGGTCCAGCGAGATCATCTCCGGTTGCAGCTTGTTCAGGAGTCCGCGTACTTCGGCTTCCTGGCGCTGCTTGGTGTTCTCGTACGGGTTGGCCTCCAGGGCGTCGAAGTTGGGTTCACCCGCGCCGGGGACGATGATGCTGGCGAAGCCTTGGTCGTGGCCCACGCCGAGAACATCTTCGAAGGGGCACCAGCGCATGTTTTCGATGCGTTGGCCGTCACCGCCCCAGGCCATGTAGGGACTCTGTACCTTGCCTTGGTCTGCGGCGGCGGCGTCGAAGAGACCCCGCCATACGCTGACTTGCGTGCCCCAGCCTACGGCTGTTAGGTTCCGGTCGCTGATGGACACGGATGCGCCGGGTTGGTAGCATGAGTAGCTGTGTACTTCGCGGAACATGCGGATGTCCCAGACGTTCATCTTTTGGTCTTGGCCGGTCGATACCATGTATCGGCCTTGGCGATCGATGGCCATCGAGCGGACGGGGCCGCGGTGGACAAGGGCCTTCACGAGCGCGGTTTGAGAGTTGGGAGACCAGAGAGTCACGGTACCGTTTTGGTGGCCGACGTGTAGGATGGCGTTCCATGGGTTCTGGGCGAGGGAGGTGGGTGCACCGAGGCGGGTAGGCAGTTCGGCGACCATTTGGCCCGTCGAGGTGTCGGTGTATTTGAGGTAGCCGCTCATTTGCTAGTGAATGATTAGTTAGGACTCTGTAGTTGTAAATTGGGAGGCAGCTGCACTCACAGCGCTCGCAAGGAGGAAGTGGTAGGGCAGGAATTCAAGGAAAAGAGGCTCGAGATGCTTGTTGAGACAGTGCAGTTCCACACCGGCGTGGTCGTAGATATAGACGGATCTCTTCTGCGCCACGGCAAAGAACTGATTATTGTGCAGCCACCGAGCATCGCGCACAGTCTCGTTCAACTGCAACTCGCATCCCAGCTTTCCATTCCGCCAGTCCATCGTTGCCACATGCCCTTTGCGCCCGGCCAACAGCAATTCGCGACCGTTCCTTGTGTAGTCCATGCGGTAGGGTCCCATGTCCGTCAACTTGAGCTCAAATCCCTTCTTGGCCGTTTCGATACCGACGCTCTCGCGAATCTCATCCTGTCGAACTTTGTACGTCCGTTCCAGCTCTGCCTCCGGCTCGAGGAATCCGGCATCGTGCTCGAGCAGGATTTCCGCATCCTTGGCCTTCAGGGCTGCTTCCTTGTACTTGTCTTCCACGGCTTTGAGGTTGCTGCGCAGTTTCTTGTCGCGAACGCTGTGGGTGTGGATGGATTTACCCCGGCCGTAGGTCTTTTGCGCTTCCATCATTCTTTTGCTTTCCTTGCGCTTGTTGTCGGCCGGCGCAACGGCCGTCGTTGCTGGTCCCGCCATGGGCGTGGGCTGTCGAGGAGTTGAGTAAGATAAGAGGGGGATAGAAAGAAGTCCAATAAGCGACTTGGATCAAGTCGAGAAACAATACAAATGTCGTACAGTCAATAAAAGTTAAAGCAGCAGACGGAGGCTCATCGGCAGCTTTTTCTGCGGGTCAAAAGATGAAAATCCGTGCCGAGCGGCTTTGCTTTCCTCGCTTGTTCCTCCACCGCCTAATTTCTTCCTCTCCAACCGCCGCCGGAGTATCAGGTCCAGATCCCTCTAGAGGCCACTCTTTTACTATTTGTGATCTCTGGTATTTAGGTGCTTTGCCTTATTCCGGCTCTTCTATATATTCACGCTGGCCTCTCTTCCGTACCGATTCAAAGGGTCCAGTGGTGCCAACATGGCGCCCACCCAGACGGTGCAGCATCACCACCGATCCACAACCAAATCCGCCAATAAACCATACAAGTCTCGCCATGCCTCCAAGAGTGCGCTGAAGGATAAGGCCAAGGGTATGTGCACCAGAGAATATTACACTGTGTCTGTTTTCTTAAAATAGCATCATAGACTGACATACATGCAGGCAAGGTTGAAAGACAAGAGCGGGGCACCCGCAAGACCCCTCACCAGCAGCTCAAATCCAAACTCGATCGCCGGAACCAGGCTCGCCAGAAGCAGCAATTGAAGCATCAGGAGAAGGCTCAGTCCATCAGCATTTTCTCCGGTCAGAACGGTGCCCCCCGCCATGTGGCCGTTGTGCCGCTTTCCGTTGATATCGATGTGGCTGCCATCATCCGGGCCTTGAACGAGAGTGTTGATGTTTCCGCGGAGATCTCCCCAGACTCTGCCACCCGGGTTCGTGTCGATCGCTTCCGCCAGAGCCTGCAGTACATTCCGGCGAAATATGACTTGATGAACGCTTTGGATGTGTGCCGGATGGCCGATTTTGTGGTCCTGGCCCTCTCCGCACAGGTCGAAGTGGAGGAACAAGGAGAGCTGTTGCTGCGGTCCATTGAGGGTCAGGGTATCTCGAACGTTATTGCCATGGTTCAGGTAGGTTCAGTTTTCCTGTACATGGGGTTGAAACCTTTTCTTACTGACTGGAACTTGCGTAGGGTCTTGACCAAATCAACCCGGCCAAGAAGCGCCCGCAGGTGGCAGCTTCTCTCAAGTCTTTTGCGAACCACTTTTTCCCGTCCGTTGAAAAGGTCCTCTCCGTGGACTCTCGCCAGGAGTGCTCCAACGCCATCCGTTCCCTCTGCACAGCTACACCCAAGGGTATCCGCTGGCGTGACGAGCGCAGCTGGATGTTCATCGAAAACGTTGAGTGGCCGGAGACCAATGCCGAGGAGGTCGACGATGTTGTCGTCACTGGTGTTGTCCGCGGTAAAGGCCTGAAGGCGGACCGTCTGGTTCACATCCCTGGATGGGGTGACTTCCAGATTGGTTCGATCACAGCAGCACCACTTGCTGCCGCCCGCGGGAAGCGTGATGATGCTATGAATGTCGATGAGACCGAGGCTCCGCAGCTGTTGGATGGACCCTCTGCAGATTGCGATGATTTGGCCACTGTGGCACCAGAGGAGATTGAGATGGAGGACGACGACTTCCCTGTTGAGGAAGAGCGCAAGGGTGTCCTCCTGGACGACCACCACTACTTCTCCGATGACGAATCTCACATCCCTCCGAAGCCCAAGAGGCTACCAAAGGGTACCTCGGAGTACCAATCCGCTTGGTTCTTGGACGATGTGTCCGACTCCGGCTCTGACCTTGAAGACGAGGAGGATGTTGAAGAGATGGAGATGGACACCGCGGGAGCGCCCGAAGACGGTGTCTTCCCCGATAACAGGGATGCCATGACGGAGGCTGGCCCATCGGAGTATCCCCAGTCAGAGATGTTCGTCGACCCGTCACCAGAAGACGAGGCCAAAGACTTGGAGGAATACCGTGCGAGCCGCAGAAAGGAAGCCAATGAAGATCTGGAGTTCCCTGACGAAATCGAGCTTCACCCGAACGTTCTCGCTCGGGAGCGTCTGGCCCGCTTCAGAGGTCTGAAGAGCTTCAAGACCAGCCCCTGGGAGACGTCAGAAGACCGTGCCTACGAGCCGGAAGACTGGCGCCGCCTGCTCCAATTCGCGGACTACAAGGGATCCAGGAACAAGTTCCTCCGCGAGGCTCTCGTCGGAGGTGTCACCCCTGGTGTGCGCGTTGATGTGCACCTCAAGGCCGTGCCAGCAACCCTCCGCAGCCGGCCTCAGCCCACATCTCTCTTCTCTCTACTCCGTCATGAGCACAAGCACACCGTTGTCAACATCAACATGCACTTGAACTCCAGCGTCGAGGAGCCCCTGAAGTCGAAGGAGCAGCTCGTCGTCCAGTGCGGTCCTCGCCGTCTGGTCGTCAACCCCATCTTCTCCGCCGGCGACAACACCCCCAACAACGTGCACAAGTTCGACCGCTTCCTCCACCCAGGCCGCAGCGCCGTCGCCTCCTGGATTGGTCCTTTGACCTGGGGCGCCGTGCCTGTCCTCGTCTTCAAGAACAAGTCCAACCAGGACCCCGAGATTATGGACTCCGCCGAGGACGACTCCCTCAACAACTTCGACAACCTCGAACTCATCGGAAACGGCACCATCGTGGCCCCCGACCAGTCCCGCGTCGTTGCCAAGCGCGCCATCCTCACCGGTCACCCATACAAGATCCACAAGCGCGTCGTCACCGTCCGTTACATGTTCTTCAACGCCGAGGACATCCAGTGGTTCAAGGCCCTCCAGCTCTGGACCAGACGCGGCCGCAGCGGTTATATCAAGGAATCCCTCGGTACGCACGGTTATTTCAAGGCTACCTTCGACGCCAAGATCAACCCCCAGGACTCTATCGGTATCAGTCTGTACAAGCGCGTCTTCCCTCGCAAGGCTCGTGCTCTGGAGGATGTGGTCTATTAAAAATGATATTGGAGATCGTGTTGTGTCGTTGTTTGTTCGTTTGCTTTGGGAAGCCTTTTTGGGTTTAGGGCACATGATATGGCATGGCATGACATGCAGGAACGATATAGAGATATTACTTACTTACATACATTACATACTTCACCTACTTACTCATGATACCACAAAAGTTCGCTTCGGCATGAATTGATGAACTGTTACTGATTATGAATATCATTTGTTGATGAGGTGGTTCGATAGATAGATAAATACAGTTGGCGTGAATTTTAGTATCTAGTTTGATTTGACCCGAGTGGTGCAACTTGTCTCGTCTATTTAGTTTATTCCTGGAATTAACTGAAGCACACTATTCAGTATAATAGAAGGGTAATCTACGGTATTAATAGATAGTGTCGAGGTGGCAATTTTGTTCATTCACGAATATCGATATCTGTCAATAAGGCAGGCCACGCATCTATGTGTGTAACCTGAATGTGAACAATGAAATATGGTAGGGCGGTTTAATAAGCAAAACAAGACGGAACAGGAAAAGGACAGGCAAGGGCACCATGTATATTTGCACGAAAGACAGACCTCAAGCAATTATACGATGGCACAGCATCCATCTACCATGGGACCAGCCAACGGGGTAAGGGTAGGGAACATATAACGTCTGCCTAGTTAACTAATCCACCAACAACAAGCGAATGGATGAACATATCGAAGTGAACCAGAAAAACGATGATATTGTTGCTGGGAATAGAATAGAAAAGAATAAGTCTAAGAGAAATCCTCGCCCTGCTCCTCGATACTGTTCTTGATCCGCAACAGAAGAGTTGTCTTCCACTTGTCCAACTTGCTGAGCTGGTCGAATTGGAACAGCTTGTCGGCGAATGCTTCCTGGTCGCCGGCTTCGATGGTCTGGATCAGGTCGACGAGGAGCTGGTGCTCTCTTGTCGAGGCGAAGGTGGTGTCGATGTCGCGGTAGTTTTCGAGGGCGCGGTTGGCGGCCACCAGGTCCTGTGTGGAATCAGTACTGTGTAAATGGTTTGGGCAGATGAGAACAGCCGTACATTCGTCGCCAAGTGGCAGATGCCAGCCTTGAGGAAGTAGTCCTTAACGGACCATTTCATCAGGTTGTTATTGATTGATGAGCGGCCGATCCGCTCGTAGTGCTCAATAGCCTTGTAGTAGTCGCCTTCGAGAGCGGCCAGGTCCGCTGCCTTAAGGTAGTGCTTGTTGGCAAGTCTGGAGAACAACACATCAAGTTAGATTTGTATATGAAAACGCCGAGGATAGACGTACGCTTCAGCATTGTCACCGTCGAACCACTCCGCCGCTTTCTCGTAGGCTTCCAGCGCCTTCTTCGTATCTCCCAGTTCCACCTCATAGACCTCGGCCAGATGTTGCTGTTGCGTGGCCGCGCGACGGAGGTTACCCTTTAGCACGTAGTGTTGGATGGCACTGGAGAGCACGCGAGCGGCGTCCTCGGGGTCGGATTTGCGGTAGACCTTGAACGCTTCAGTCAGGGTGTTTGCTGCATCGTCGGGCTCGTTAAGGTTCTGGGTCTGAATGGAGGCAGCCTTTTCGAAGGCAAGACCAGCTTCCTTGTCTGTGTGTTTGGCAACGAGTTAGAGCTCGTTGATCCGAGACAGGGGGAGATCATTGGCTTACTCTGCTTCTGCACTCGGAAGGCGTTCGCAGCTTGTGTGTAGAGATCAGCCGCATTCTCGTACTTCTCTGTCCTTCCACCGAAGAAGCTGAAGCCACCAGATGCGCTGCTAAGCGCTTTGTCGGCCTAATGTACGTCATGGGGGTTAGCGATCGTCGAATTCCAAGCATAGCGATGATGGACAGCGGGGTTCGGGGGGATTACTCGTTGGAGCAGAACTCTGGGATCTTGGGCCATTTTGTGAAGAGATTGGCGGCCCGAGCAGGTGAAGAGGAGAGTGATGCTAGAGGTCAGGTTGCGGGCAAAGAGAAGTGGGGATGATTGTCTAGAAGATGAGGAGAAGCAGTGCGAGGATGGATCTACTTTACTGGGCAGCCTCGCGGAATGGCGAGCTCCCCGCCGCTCCGTCAACGTAGGCGGTGGCCACTTTCCGCCCGGTCCATTGGACGTGCTTCTTTTCTTGCTTCTCACTTGGTATTTCGATTCCCATTAGGATCTTTGACTGTCGCAAAAGGAATCAATTGCTTCAATTGATTGTTCCCTTTATCGTTTATTTTATCAAGTATTTAATTTTATACCTCTACAATTCCCTCAACCATGTTCCTCCGTGCAACTCTTCCCCGACTGTCTGGGTTGATCGGTCGTCAACCTCTGGGTTGCAGCACCGCCAGGCGCATGTACTCTGCCTCCCAGTCAGGCGACGCAGATATTGATGCCATGCTTGCGAAGCCTACGTGGTCTGTTCGCTCGTTGCTACCGGAAGAGTCCACCAAACAATCTGCTCCATCAGTGACCCCGACGCAACTCCGCCATCTGCTTCATCTCTCGGCTCTCCCGCAACCCGCGAACGAGGAAGAAGAGAAGAAGATGCTTGAAACGCTCGAATCCCAAATTCACTTTGTCAAGCAGGTCCAGCGCATCGATGCCACTGGCGTGGAACCCCTGCAGAGTATCCGGGACGAAAGTCCAGAAGCGGTGCAGGAGAATACAATCGGACTGGAACAGCTTAAGGAGGCCTTATCCAAGGAGAGAGTGGTTGGTCGAAACAAAAGAATCCAACGAGTGGAGAGTCCGAGGAACGAGCGGCCCGATGGGGATACCTGGGATGGAAACGCGCTTGCCTATGCATCCAGGACCAAGGGGAAATTCTTCATTGTCGAGACGGGCAGCTCAGCATAAGCTAAGCTGCCCATTAACTGCGACACAAGTTAAGTGAAGTTGGGTTCAGCCTGTCTGACAGGTAACCACAATAATCGACGAACCCAGTTGTACGCCTGACGATGGTCTGGGCGCTGAGTCATCCATGATCTCATTGCCAATGCTGAAACCGACAACCTCCTTATTCCCTGTGCAACTTGTGAGGTCCCTCCACGAACCATCTGTAGCTGAGGCGAAAGGCTAGACAAAATAACCCATTCTGGAACGTGACTTTGGCGCCATTTGCACATATGTGGAAGTCATTCAAGGAAAAGCATGCTAGCAAGTTCGGATCCGGGCCTTCGCCCTCGCCCGCTCCGCCGAAGAGCGACCGCGACCAAGACTTGACTACCATCTTGGATCGCCCCCAGCGAGCCGACCTGACAGTTCTTGTCGCGGAAATCACCCAACATATGCGAGATGCCATCGTCCGGAACTTTCACGGTCCTATTCAAAAAGAGAATGACACCTCACGTGACCAATCTACACATGAACAGGACAAGGACACTGATCCCTTGTCTGCTCAGTCGGACGCGCAGAGAGAGGAAACCACAGCTGTGACTACTCAATCGGAATACAAGCTCACCGCGCAAGATCTAAAATCAGAGGCCAAGTCTCTGTCTAGCTTTGATGACTGGAGAGACTCGGTCCTATTGAGAATTGGTGAAGTTGTGAACCGAGATGAGGAATCTGAAGAAGACCCCAGCGAATCAGACTCACCTCAACAATTACGTGAACCGGATATAGATGAGGACCAAGGTTCTCTGGAGAAGCTCTGTGAAGTGTACCTACCTGTGGAGACTCCTCTTACGCAGCTACCCAAGGCTAAAAGGCTACTGATTCTCCATTCGCTACTGCTCTTAATGCTTAGTCTTAAGCACTACAATGCTCGCTCGCGAGTTCTAATGCTGTATGTAGCGTCAAGTCTGAATCTCGATGTCACCATCCTCAATGGTGACGAGAGCAAGGTCGCACGTGGATTGCTTGACACTGCTCTTCAACTCGCGAACGCGGAGGAAGGCCAAGACAAGAAACGTGATTCCTCCAGGAAATGGAAGGTTGGGATAGCTTCTGTTGCAGGAGCTGCACTGATCGGCATTACTGGCGGACTTGCCGCGCCACTTGTTGCAGCTGGCCTTGGAACAGTCTTGGGAGGCCTTGGTCTCGGTGCTACCGCTGCTGCAGGATATCTAGGTGCCCTCGCAGGTAGTGGAGTGATCGTGGGTGGTCTCTTTGGCGCCTACGGAGGTCGAATGACGGGACGCATGGTCGACAAGTATGCCCGTGAGGTGGACGATTTTGCTTTCCTGCCTATTCGGGGCTCCCGACAGAGGTCTGAAGATGAGAGGGAAGCTGCCCAGAATGATCACATGCTCCGGGTCACGATCGGCATTACCGGCTGGGTTACTGAAGAAGACAATTTCGTTGTTCCCTGGCGAGTCATTGGAGCCGATTCCGAGGTATTCGGTCTGCGCTGGGAAACAGAGCCTTTGATGAAGCTTGGAAATGCTATGAATCTATTGGTCACGAGCGCTGCCTGGGCGGCAGGTGGACAGGTGCTTTCTCGGACCATCTTCGCACAGATCATGAGCGCCGTGATGCTGCCTCTTGGTCTTCTCAAGGTTGCCCGTGTGGCTGATAACCCGTTTAGCATTGCCAAAGCCCGAGCAGACAAAGCGGGTGAGGTCCTGGCGGATGCGCTGATTAGCAAGGTTCAGGGTGAGCGGGCCGTCACATTGATAGGCTACTCGATGGGCTCTCGCGTCATCTTCTCCTGCCTGCAAAGCCTGGCGAAGCGAGGTGCATATGATCTGGTGGAATCGGCAATTCTGATGGGCTCACCCACTCCCTCCAATGCACCGCACTGGCGTCGTCTGCGAAGCGTTGTTAGCGGTCGGCTGATCAACGTGTACTCGGAGAACGACGCCGTCCTCGCTCTTCTCTACCGAACCAGCAGTCTGCAACTCGGTGTGGCAGGTCTACAGCCTGTTCAGGATGTGCCCGGAGTTGAGAATCTGGACGTCAGCGAGACCGTTAGCGGCCATTTGCGCTACCAGTTTCTCATCGGGCGCATTTTAGGACTTGTCGGCCTGCAAAGTGTAGATGCCGAGGAGGTGGCTCGTGAAGAGGCCGCATTGGCCGTGAAGGACAAAAAGCAGGAGCAGGAACGGATCCAAAACGAGCGTCGTGCTGGGGTTAAGGGTGACGAGTCGGCACAGCGAGTGTTGGACAACGGCGATGGAACCGAAGAGGAAGCAAATCATGCCGAAGTTGAGCAGGAGACACAGGATCGACTTTCTCGCATGGAGGTGTCTGAAGAAAGCGAAAACCAACCAGCCCGATCTGAGTTTAAGATCAAGAGACGCCCACTTCCATCAGAGCAGAGTTAGATGTTTATGCCTTGATGATTTAATATTAGTGTCATTTTACTGCAACGTACTCTTCTGTCAAGATGGCAATCATCGAATAGGATTTCAACCCGCCACTGCAGAAAGTTGGCGCAATTCGCATAACCACTGTCTTGATGATCGCGATCGATAACGGCGAAACCATGCCGACCGTTGCGACACGCGGATCAATAGCCATATGCTTACTTCTAGCCTGGCTGCAAGACATGCATAAGCGCAACGGTCACTGCAAAAGCCTTTCGTAAATATAAGCGACGATCTCAACGTCGACTAGTAGATATTCTCTCTATAGCTGAAGCCAATCGTCACCCAAGGTTTACCTTCCCGGTTAGCCCTGTCACACATTTTCTCTCTTACCAACAACCCCTGACCGTATTCCCTCTCTGCTACTATATACGTAGTAGGAGGTAGGTAGTACGATAACAAAGGATAAGCGCAATAATTGAGACCATCATCAACTACATGGCGCTCGCTGAATTTCTTCCAACTCCGCAGATCAATTAAAATAACAACAGGGATGTGTGTACATAACTAGCGCGAATCCTTCCAACGCTTTCAATAGTTGCAGCCACGAACAAATGAATGATCTTTAGTTTTCCCATAATGCCACTAGCTTCAATGTTTTCGCTAGCAAGCCAAAATTAAGCTATTCATTGTCGTTATTCGGATCGCTTCTTTCTCATTTGCTGAAATTGACTCTAGCAGTATCATGATACAGAATTGGCATGATCGCAGTAGGCTACTGGTAGAGCAGACTAGATATACTCCGAATTCTTTCACCCTCCAACTGCCTACTTGGTATTCATCATTATGTATGTAAAGATATAACCGACACAAGACATTCAAGCCAGTAATTTCGATGATATGGAAATGGACTACCTCTCATATTTTAGGTTATAAACTATTCTTATATCTATTGGATATTTCGTAAATCTGGTTTCTATTTAAACATTGACGACTAAACAATTAGTACTTTTGTCTCAACGAATAGTCTAATAACTTAAGGCACCCCCGATCTTCTACTCCAACGGCGCAAGACAACTAATATAATAACAGTGGATTCGTCCGAGACAACTTGTCAAAAAGTACTACGTACTAGATAATTCATGTCATATGGAGGGCGGGGAGAGCGAGCGGGTAAGGAAGTACTAGTAGTCCAAAGTGGAGTTGGGGTCCTCACGTCGGAGGAACTTGGTTGTCTCACATTGATGAGGATTGAATGTGACATTAATAATAAATTAATCTGACGTTTTTAATATGCAGAACCGTTGGTGCCTATTTTAAGGAGAAAACATGATGCTACTGTGTTGTATTTTACTTGTGTCTTTGGTTGATGGATCGTTTTTTTATTGATGGCATTGGGTTGTTGCATACTACTGATTGTGTTATTCTAATTGCTTCGTAGCCGGTTTTATAGTAGTCCATAGTGAATGGGATGCTATGCGACAATCAGTGAAATCGAAGCTTGGAGCAGACAAGATGGATCATGGTGTATCTACATGGCGTGTGGTGTTTTGGATTATGTCGTTGTTTGGTACATTTTTCTTGGTATACTCGGGTCATGACTCGGTTCAGGACCTTGGGAGGGGTGTGTCAATGAGCTTGGTACTTTTGCCCAGAAAGGGTGCAAAGCTTGGTTGGACGTTGCTTTGTTAGAAGTTTTTGTTCTTAAGGTGTATATGGAAATAATAGCTTGCGTGTCAAAGCTGCAACACGGCTGGGGGTTTAAGAGAGGGTGCTATAGCTAGTAGACTAAAGTGTTAGTTGGCGGAAAATGAGTATCCGCGTCCGTAATGTCTCAAGACTCATTCAATATATGTTATATGTAGTATTACTAGTCCACGGGCTGTCAATAGTAATAAGTGTTCACTCATGCCGGCTTATCAGAAACCGTGCTGCACGCTGCTGCAACATGGTTTCAAAAGTACTACGTCAGGGCTGAAATATAGCTAATATAGCAACGCAAGTGATCGACAACACAATACGTACGACGCCTTTCCCCGATGGCAAGAAAAGAGGTTGATAACTTAGTATGATATCTTATAGTTTCATGCACCTACAACCATAGACATCCGAAATTCTATGTAGCCAACATTTAACATGGAACGCTTAGGTTGCATCCGGTCTATCTACTAACAGTAAGTGCTTACTATAGTGTTCACACTCTAAGTTACTTTCTTAGTGTATGTGAAATCACAGTAATCATTATCTACATTCTGATCTCAACAGACTGGCTTCCCTTTTACTCAACTAATACTACTCATACCACTCAATGACACACATACACACACTCTCTTTCTCTCCTTGACTAAATACCGACCAACTCTAAAGAACAAGAACAAGAACAAGAACCATTCCTAATACAACAAAATCACCAGTTCCCGACTACCCCCTTAGCACCCGCCCTCCAAGTCCCCGATATCCCGAAGCTACACTACACTACACTACTTTAGTACCCTCTAATCTAGCTTCTTCTAGTCTCTCTCTCTGAAAATCAGGAGCAATTAAGTAGATGAGCCTTGGCATCCATCCCGTCGGGGAGAAGGAAAGCCCAAGGGCGGAAAGGAAGACGGAATTTCCGGCGACCTCGGGATGATCTTCTGACGTTCTTTCATCTATTCATATGGAATCAATACCGTCGGAGACTAGTCTACACTCTACTAAGTAAGTTGCAGTAGGCTAGTTACTTGGTGGAGATGGCTGCATACTAAAGGAATGCTCGGTTGTGGTGTGGCTTGCGTTAGGTAGATTGTTATGGGGAATGGGTTATATTGACCGGTGGAGAATTGGTTTTGGGGGCGTAGAAGGATTAAGCGCGTGGCGGAAATGGCGGGCGGGAGGGAAGGATAAAAAGTCGCTTAATATTGCTGTTGCGGTGTTAGTTGTGATGATTTCTCGTTTATTTACTGTGTTTTTGGATGTTGTTGATAAGTAGAAGAAATGGGAGTTGTTCGTAAGTATATGGCTTGTGGTGTGGTGGCAGTGTTGGGAAGAAAGAAGTGTTGAATTGGTGTGGTTTCTCAAACAAGTGGCGAACAAACTAATTGTACTATACTACGTAATAGTATGTCTACATACTACTTTAGGCAGGCTGTTATAGTCAATTACTAGTCTCTTCAAACTGTGCAGAAAAAGCAACTCTCTTTTCCCTCCTGCATGGAAATATTCTAGCCAAACCCAAATACAAAGTAAATAAAATCTCCCAGACAATAAAGTTCGAACATCATCCCTTGTCTCCGGGTCCTTACTCAGGGTCTGACTGCCTCTCTGGCTCACTATCTATAACAAATTTCGGTCGGATAAAGGAGCAGCAAACCTAACCACCCAAAACACCTTAGTCTAACTGTACCACTGGTACAACGCGGCTTGTTCCTCCTACTCTACCAAAGTTCCAACTGCCGAGAGGAACAAACACAAATGTCTGGACCTCAATCAACCGTTTCGAGTATGACGGAACAATCCGAAAGATCCAAAGTAGGAGCCCTTAAACGAATGAAACAAACCGGAAAAGAAACCATCCAGTAAAAAACTGCGTGAAGGAAAGCGACTAATACCGAAACAGAAATTGCTCCATTGGGTAAGTCGGGAAAAGCGGACCTGGGGCCGAACATAGGCTTTCACGGGCTGGTAACTCGCACGAGAAGAAGGGGGAAAAGACAAATCAGCGCTTCGCGTGCTTTGGAAGCTAAGAAACCTTAGCTACGCGATCCGATGCTGTGGAGACGTCTTTCCCCCAAACCGGCTCGCCCAAGCTTCGATCCAAGTGGGCATGGTAAGCGCTGATCGTGATGCTGGAGGCGCGGTGGCAGCGCTGATTGGTTGGAGGGAGGGCTTCACGGACGCTTCGTATTGTGTGGTGGTTCTGGTGGATGCTACGCGTATCACGCCGTCGGATTCAGGCAGAATGGCTGAAATTGAAGGTAATTATTCGTCGGACTAGTTCATGTCAATCCCTGAGGGGAGCTGAGGATTTTCGTCAAGAGGAAATTAGTGATTATCTTCAATTATTAGTAGTAGTAGTAGTATCATGTATATACTTGAAAATAGATATCATGGGGTCTCTCGTGACAGGGATCGTTGCATGGTGTATGAAAAATAAAAAGGAAAAGGAGAAAAAAAAAGAAAGGAAGGTATAAAAATGAATGTAAAGTGGTAATGAAATCGCACAGCCATCCGCCCAACCTGCTGAAGCTCCACCACCCACAATCACCCGCTGTGGCGACCTCCCTTCTGGAAGTCTTCCGGTTCCGCTGGCTCGTGCGAAATCTCGATCGTCGTCTCCTGGTACACTCCGTGGCCCAACTCGGCCAGCTCCATGTCCGTCTTGCGCACAATGTCTTCTGTAGATGAATCGCGGTCGTCTCTGACAGTGTCGTTGATGCTCTGCATCCCCATGCCCCGCCGGAATCGGGATCCCATCCGCACTTTCTTGCCATCTCGGCCCGTGGTGATGTGTGTCTGGTATGCGTTCGATTCTGTGTAGTTGTACATCCGGTCCGTAGTACTGAGTTCGGTTTCGAGCAACAGGTGTCGGCGAGTGAGCGTGTACACAAGCACATCAACGAAACCCGACAACGCCATCAGTGAACCGGCCACGGCAAAGTACGCTCGACTGGGAATGATATGTCGTGCCGTTGACATACGTCCGGCGGCTAGCGGCAGGGAAAGCAAAAGATAGACAAGCGGGTAGATAACCATGTAGATGACGACTCGGTTCAATCGCTTCAGGTTCTCCTGGTGGTTTTGTCGGAGCGTGGCGGCTTGCTTCATTCGGCGTCGCAAGTAGAAAAACATGACTCCGTAAAGAACGACCGTGCCGAATTCTGCCAGGAAAATCCAGAGATAATGCACCCAAAGACGTTCTGTTTCATGGTCGGGACCGATCCAGCACTGCAAGACAGCGTAAATTAGTGACTTTGTCCATCTGTATCACATCCTTGCGGTCGCTTACCCAGCCAGCTTCAGATATCACAAAGGTCTCGGAGCCAAACATTCCAACGGGGATTAATCCCAGGATAATGATAAATATCCATAGCCCAACAACACTAGCCACAAATATCGGGTACGGTAATTGTCGACCTCGTAGCACAACGGCACATGTGTGAAAGGCAATCGCCAGAACGAACAAACCACTTCCGGGATCGCCCGTTTGAATCCACCATCCTTGAAGAACGCATGGTGCACTGGGATAGTAGACATGACCTTTTGTTATCCAGTGGAGACATATCAAGAAAGCTGTTGCTTGTTGCAGATCGACCAACAGGAGGTTGTAAATGAGAACGACATATTGGTTCTCCGCCAAGGGCCGTTTGTAGTATTTGCGCCAGAAAATGAAACGGTAGGTAAGGAATGACAACAGGCCAAGGGCCGAAATGAACGAAATGAGTGCAATCACTCCCATGGCAATGAACCCTGCTCGGTCGCTACCCTCAACTACCTCGGTGTTTGAGCGACTAGCGAGGTGCGTGTGGCCAGCACCATCGCTGGCTAGCAGCCGTGACAATCGTAGTAGAGCGAGCATTGTTCATCACCCTGAACTGTAGTTTCGAGGGGAAGAATGTCCAAGGGTCCAAGCGAGGCTCGGAAACGAGTGACAGGCAGCGTGCGTCTTATATTCTACCATATAGAAGTAGAGATTGGAGTATGTTTTGCGGACCAGAAAATGAGTTTCTATGGATCGAGAAGTCTGGGCAAGGACCCGGCCCCATAAAGGCTTTTGCAGTATTTTTTTTCCTTTTCTTTTCTCTTTTACCCGTTCTTGTTTTTCATGTTTGCTGTCCCGCAAAGAGAAAAAAAAAAATTAAGATTTGGTTAAGGGGCCACAGATCGCTAGATAATCTTCGAGGGGGTGCGAATGAGCAAGGATGGGCCATTTTAGTGAGTAGTAGCGTGTGCAGGAAAGGGACCGAAGCTCGCATAGTGAGTGTTTTAGTGGGATATAGTCCGCACGGTCTCTTTACCAGACCCACCACTGGGTCATGGTATTCTCCGCCGTGCATCCAACAGTGAGTCAAGAAAGTGGTCGAACGTTCCCACCTTAGTGTGCAATTGCCGATCTCCCAATGGTCTGGGAAGGAAAGGGGTGATTGTGCTTAGATCGTTGACCTGAGAGCCTCCATGCCCTGTGGATCAATCATCGGATTCTGCTCCTCGGCGACTATGGGGTAAACACCTGAGAGTGCAATGTGGCACACACAATTGAGGATTATTGAAGATGGCCGGTGGGTGGTGTAAATGTACTCCTACACAACACGCTTATCCTGAGCGTGAACTATTTCGGCCCGGTATAGTGCATCCGCCACTTCGGCAGTGACAGAGTCCCCTAACGTTTGCCTGAAGACGAGCTAGACTAAGGGGCGGAAGTATTCTTTTGCAGAGTCGCCTGCAGTAAACGGTGATGATCTGCATGTGTCTTATTAAGCGGTGTTGAGGGACCCCCTGGTGCCTTCTGGGCCATTTTGGTGTCGCGCAGACCAGGGGAGTGGTAGATGATCTCCGGACTACGATCTTTAATCAGACGGAAAGAACCTTCCGATGCGGTGGCCTTCACCGAGGGCTATAAGAAATCGAACGCAGCCCTGATTGGATACTACAGAACCAAAGAATATCGGATCAACAGTGCGTCGACTCGAGGGGAGGGGCTGAAATAGCACACGGTAGAGTTAGCGTGACGGCGCGTCGAAAGAAAGTTATCGAGATCCAGCAAGCTGGGACCAATAATCCCAGCGGGTAAGACCTGGGATACCAGTGCCTTCCTTTACAGGCAATGATGTCGTGCTTTGTGGAATCTCCAATTGCATATAGACCGTAGAGATACAACGAAGTTGTGCGAGTGTGGAAGATGGGAAAGCTGGTATAGGACTTGAGGCAAGGCAAATGAAGAGGAGTTGAACACTGACTCCTTCTGGCAGTCACCTGAGGGCAGCCGAGCCTCACCAGCATTCAGCTTCTAATTTCCAACCTCGCTCGCACATTGTTGCTGGTAATAGCAACAATCACAAGCTTACAAATATTCCATCATCTCCACCTCCCGCTCTTCGGTACCAATTGTTCAGCTTGGCTCCATAGTTGCAATATTACCCTCCAGATAATCCCGCGCAGCTAGAAGTTTATCACGAATATGATCTTCGGAGCATGGACACAAGTTGAGCTGTTCCTGGCTATATCAGTATCCCCGCGACTTTTCATTCAAGAACGGGTAAGAAAAAGAAATAACCTGCAGCTGTACCCCGTTGTTGGGTGAAGATCTTCAGGAGAGAACGAGCATTGGGTAAGTGTGACCGAAAGCTTATTCTCGTCGATTCACGTTGCTAAGATGCTGATCCCATAGATTCGATATGACTTAGTGATTTGAACCAAGGACAGCAGCGGGGTGTAGCTCGAATGGGCACGCTAATCTGATGAGCTCATCCAAGGTCGTTCGGCAGTTCTGGAATGGCCGTGCAGCAAAGGCTGATGGAAGGTCCTATCCGGCCAACTCCTAGCACAAAACTAGAACCATGGTTCGAGCAGTAATGGTACCTCTCACCATGGTACTTATCCGATGGTTGAGCATCTATAAACTACTTCAATTGACCTTCCATCTATGGCATCGCAGCTACTCGGGCCTGGCACCTACACGCAAACAATGAGGGACTGTAAGCTATAGTCGCCAAAGATCTACATTACTCACTCGTGATCTGCTGTTGACTTGATTCAACTTGGGCAAGTCGATGGCTTTTTTTTTGACCTTTCGGTAATACGGATGAGCCGCCCAATTGCTGTCTCAGCTCGTGGAAGCATCGGAAAGAAAGAAATTCAACAGTCGCGGCCGAGACCTCGTCGTATCGGCTAAGAGGTTTGTTAAGCACTAGCTGAGAGCGGCCTCATATGGTTTTAGTGTCATAAATTAACTACAAGTTCAGACCTTCGCCACGCACCATGTAACGTAATGTGTGTCCGTTCTTCCACTCTGAGAAAGCATTAGCCAACCTGTGTATGCATACCCGAAAGCTCACAGGCCTATGTTCCGATTTTCGGATCCGGAAGGATTGATCGACAAGAAGCAACTCTTGACTCCAGGGCTAGACAACCTTTCTGGGAGCCTCTCTGTCTTGGCATACGAATGCCCCATTTAAGGCGCGCAGTTCGTGAACCTTCTATTCATTAGTACATAGTTGGAGAAGTCCTCATTTTCGAGTGCTGTAGTCAGCTTGGATGCTGCAGGGCTTAAAGCAACGCTCGCATATGCTGAAAGCCACATTTCGCAATTTTTGAACGCACAGGATTCTGGTTTTCGCTAATGCCCGATAGGGAACTGCGGGCTTCAATGTGCGTCGCTTGGCGGGTTGTTGCATGACCCGGACGTGTCCGAAGCATAGTCATGCCACTTGGGGACTATGAATAGGACCTTCGTCTATAAACGGACCATCTGCACAGGACAAGTCACCCGTCTCATTCCAGCCGGAGGTCCCGGACAGATGACAAGGCTCTAAGGCTGTATGTCTCATTCAGGGTCTAGCCGTGCCCGCTCTTATTGGCCCGGACGCTTCACGCCGCGATTACTGCGCCCCCGCATGTCTCTCTCTCCGCTCGCTATCGATGCGGTGTTTGCCCGCCATTGATGGGAGGAATGTCTCACTTCGGGCTTGTGCTTCGCAGATCCATACCCCTCAATGACCTAGTATAGCAAACAGGCGTGATGTCAATGATTGTGTTTCTATTCAGAGCATCAGGCCTCCCATGTCTATACCTCAGTTATGGAGCCTTGGCCGCCTTGGGTAGGCAAGGCCTCCCGGGTATTCTCATTGCCATTTCACCGCTACTGCAGCTTCAAGTGAAGAGAAAGAGGGGAAAGAAAGGATATAAGTAGCTAGACAATCTCCTGCACATCCTTCTCTTTAACTCACATCAAACATTCATTCTTCACTCCTCAAGAGTAAACCACTACTACCAAACACACTCTCATCTATAGCTCACGAGTACCTGCATCACTCATCTACCACAATGAAGACCTTCACCACCGTCACCTCTCTCCTCGCTCTCTTCTCCTCGGCCCTGGCCGCACCCGTCGACACCGCTGAAGCCGCCGGCACCACCGTCTCTGTCTCATACGACACTGCCTACGATGTCTCTGGAGCTTCCTTGACCACCGTCTCCTGCTCGGACGGTGCCAACGGCCTGATCAACAAGGGCTACTCCAACTTCGGCTCCCTTCCGGGCTTCCCCAAGATTGGAGGCGCCCCTACCATTGCAGGCTGGAACTCTCCCAACTGCGGCAAGTGCTACGCCCTGACGTACAACGGCCAGACAGTCAACATTCTGGCCATTGATTCCGCACCTGGTGGCTTCAACATCGCTCTGGAGGCCATGAACACCCTCACCAACAACCAGGCCCAGCAGCTGGGTCGTATCGAAGCTACCTATACTGAGGTGGATGTCAGCCTTTGCACATAAACGCCAAACATTCAGCAAATGCTTGGGGGATGAATTCGGTCATGGCAAGGAATGGTTATAGTTGGATATGATTTCGGGATTTACGATTGATACGCTTATTTGGGATACTTTCCTTTATCTTACCTATTGTTAATAGCATAATACGGAGCATAACATACGTACATACACACACATCAATATAGTGATATATGAACTTGAATACAGAGCTTTTTTAAAATGAAATGAGAGATTCTAAAGTCGTATCTACTGTACATCATTGTCTATATATAAACACACATTCATCATACAACATCACCCCAAAACCTCGAGCATCTCCTCCACCCGCCCAAACTTATCCCGAATCTTACCCTTCTCCTGCCCGCGCTCCCGTTCCGCACGATCAATTCGTTCCCAATCAGCCCACGACGTAGCCCTCAAACCCCGCTTTTCAGCTTCAGGACGGACGCCCTCCCAACCAAGTCCAGAGCTATAACCCGGCGAATTCAACAAAGACGCTTTACCATCCTGACCAGCCACATCAGCAGCAATAGCATCAGCCGTACTGAACGCATCCATCATCGTCGTAGCAATGACGCCCGTAGGCCCGCGCTTGACCCAGCCAGCGCAGTAAAGGCCTGGGAGATGCGAGATCAAAGATCCATCGGGGAGCTGTTCCTTGTCGCCGGTGTTGGATGGGGTGGTGATACGTCCGAACCCGTCGTTGGGGATCACTCCGCGGCGTTCATCAAACTGGATACCTAGGTCTCCTAGTCCGGGTAGTGGGAGGGACTTGTAGCCGACACTGCGGAAGAAGGTGTTTGCGGGGATGTCGACCTCTGCGCGCTTGCCGCTGGATAGATACTTGGGTGTGACTTTGGCGCTGGGAAGGAATGGGTCTGAGGGGTCGAGCTCGTTGCGGGCGAATCTTACGTGGGATAGGCGGTAGGGGTGGACGGGGGACCACTGCAAACATTCGGGGGAGAGGAGGAAGTCAAGAGACCAGGATTTGGCGGAGGTTGTGGGGTCGTTGGTCGATCCTTTTGCGAGAAGTTGGATGAGTCGTTTCTGCGCTCTTGGAAGAGCGGACATGACGTCTTCCGGGGGAAAGAGATCTTTCGGGACTGGATCGAATGCTACGCCTGGTAGTTGGAGTAGTTCGCGGAGTTCTTTGATGGTGAATGCAGCCTAAGACCAGAGAGATGTAAGCATGCGATAGGTGTAGTATCTGGGCCGATAGAGCGTACCTGCATCGGTCCTCGGCGGCCGACTACTCGGACACGCTTGACTTTACTCTTTGACAGCTCCTCAATAGCATACTCGGCTATATCCGTCTTCCGCAGAGTATCCACATCCGACAACAAGATACGAGCAACATCCAGGGCCACATTTCCTTGTCCGATGATTACAGCATCTTCACCGGCAGTCAGGTCCGGGGCAAGATCACGGTGCTCAGGTAGGCCGTTGTACCAGCCAACAAATTCCCTAGCCGAGTAGACGTTGCGGATTGCCCTTTCGCCCGGAATTCCCAGCTCCTTGTCCTTCGGGGCACCGTATGCGAATAGGATGGCATCGTAGTGTGGCTTGAGAGAGCTGAGGGGAAGGGTTTCGCCGAGTTCAACATTGCCGATGAAGTTAAAGCGCGGAGATGCTGCAACTTCGGTGAATTTCTCTTCGCAGTTCTGGAACCCGAATAGTGTAAGTTTAACCGTCCTTGTCTTCTGACTCATGACATGGCAATTTTACCTTGACTTCCGGATGGTCTGGGGCAACACCGTACCGCGCAAGACCAAATGGCACTGGGAGCTTCTCGTACATATCTACCGAGGCATTGTCTACCTTGGAGAGGAGTCGATATGCCGCATAGAAGCCAGCCGGGCCTGACCCTACCACGGCCACGCGGAAAGGCCGATCATTCTGAACGACTTGGCTGTACTGACGCGATTGAGTTGTCAAGCGCGAGAGGATCTGACGTGGAGCATGGCGCACAGGCACGCGGCTAATCCGCGCCGTGCAATGGCCACAAATATATGGAGCACGTTGAATATTCATAGTGCAGCAAGACGAGGTGGGAGGAAAGAAGCAGAACCGCCGGGCCGGAGGAGAGACAGTTAACTCCGAACGGCGATGACATAAGAGGGTCCAACACGTGACCCTTATCAAAGTTGGTTGCCGCGCCGACAATCGCGTGTTGACGATCCTCCCGATCAACCCGTGGATGGAAGGCCAGTAGTCTCCGGCAGATGCACGATGGATGAGTGCATGTGCTGCTGCTGCTTTCTTGCTGTCGCTGCTGCTTCGTCTCCATCTCCTGTCACTCCACCCGTCCCACGGTTCGTACCTCTCTTTCCGTGGTATCTGTCGCCACAGAGCCGTCCGTCTATCTACCTCTAGATAGCTGTCTAATCCGACATTCTTTTTGTTAAGCTTAACTCGTCTGTGCACATTCTTTTCCCCCGCTCGTCGCGTGGGTCAAGCCTTCGATATTAGATTGGGGCTTCTACCATAGCGATCATGGGCGACAATAACAATTCTTCATTCCTTTATGGTTATGCTTCATCCAACCGGTTCTACGGTTCGCCCGAACCTCCCTTCAACCCGAAGGCTGTGACTCAAGCGAGCTGGACTCGACCGGAGCCAAAGCCTGAGTTAAAGGGACCGTTGGTTGATCATGCCAATACCCTTCCTGATGTGGTATGTGCTTTGCGGCTCTTTCTCAAAACTTTCCTTATTCAATGATTGCGTACTGATGATCTACACAAGCAATGCAACACCCCGAGTGCCAAACCGCGATGGACGCCGATGAGCCCAAAGACAAAAGGCCGTGTGGTCTATGGTCGCAAGGTACAGCTTGCGCTGCGCGTGCTCGCTCTTGCCGGAGCTATTGGATCCCTTTTTTGTTCGATCGTTATCAAGAATGCCGCGGTAACCGTGATATGGATTGTTAGAGTCGGGGTAAGTGATGCGATAAGACTATGTTACGTTGAGACAGCCTTTAACACTCTTCAAGCCAGCTGTCGCAATTTTGCACACTCTCTACGGCATATATACTTTGAGTCGCTCTTCTATTACAAGGCCTCCAGGATCGCAGGCTAGCTACATGTTCTTTGCCGCAACATTCGATCTAGGCCTGATCCCATTCTACGTATTTTCGGCCTACCTGGGTTACGGGCAATATACCGATAACGCATACGACTGGACTACAATGCTAGGGTCTGATGTTGACATGACAACCAAGATCGCAGAGGCTACTTTCCTGTTGGGTATAATCAACGGTGCACTCCATGCGATTTCCCTTGGAATATCCATCTTCTTGGGTACCATCTTCCGGAAAATCACCCGACTACCCCCAGATATGAACCCGCTAGAAGACAACTTGACTGCACGTCCATTTTCAAGAGCCAAGTCCGAAATAATTGAAAAACGTGCCAGCAAATCTACCTTGGGCTCAGACAACATCTCCAGCGAAGACCCACTGATTGGTGTTCCGCGAAGTGTGCCTTTCATGGATACTCGCAGTAATCCATCCTTCCACAATGACTACAGCCGATTTCCCCCTACTTTCGCAGACAGAACGCCACCGCAACACACGCGCTCTTTTCATCGCCCGTCACGCATCGACACCATCCCACATCTACCTTTCCATCAACCAAACGATATCGATGATGCTACAACTATCGCGTCACCCATCGAGAACCCGGATATCTTTACCAGGGCAACTACGTCAATCCCGCGGGGTGCGCCAGTTCGCGAGCCATCCCCAGACCTTCCCAACAGATCTCAATGTGTGAGCCCAGCTTCAGAGAATTGGATTGTCTATCCGTCCCGGTCTACGACTCCTGTGGAGGAAGCCAAGGATGAGCACCCAGCTCCTCGTGACCCATCCTCTGTATACAGCCGGGCCGAAACCCCAGCCTCGTCTAAGGGCGGTGTTATGGATTGGTTCAGTCCACAGCGATATGGCCTCAATATAGGGGAGGCTATCAGCGAGAATAAGCGCGGGGAATACGAGTCGATCGCGGCGAATGAATTTTATGGAAACGACGATGACGTTCATGACATTCTGTACCGAAGCGGATTCTACGATAATGCAGAGCAAGACCTTGGCGACCACCGGATTGACATCTTCCAAGATCACGAGGAGCTCGACGAAGACACGCGAAACTCCTTGAAGGTCAATCCATTAGCACTGAACCCGCCCTCTCCCCTGCCGAAGCCGGATGAGGTCCAAAACCGCACTCCAAGCAATGGGCGCATGGCCCTCACTGACATTCCCAATCTCTCCCCCAAGCCTCCTGCCGAAGAGCCGCTTCTTGACAGTCTGCAAAAGAAAGGAAGTTTCTATGGAGAGCTTCCGGACAGTTTCGGACTTGATACTCCACGGAAAGTCAGCCACGACCAATCGAAGCTTACTCCAAAGAAGAACAAGCTCAACATCAAGAAAAGCCAGAAGTCTAACGCCTACGGCGCACTTAAGCAGCATGATGATGGTGACCTTAACGGCCTTGGCATTCCTTATGCAGACCCTGTGGCTATCGATGGTGATCGCAAAGGTCGCGTCGTTAGTAACTCCGGAGCTGATGCCACCCACGCTAACTCTTCATTGTCGTATGGCAACTACATCGCTGGTCTGGGAGTGGGAAGACGGCGCGATGTCAGCGGCAAGATGGCGGAAGAGGGCCGTGTCGAGACCAGCAAACCGAAAAATGAGAACGCAACACCAATCCGAGCGGCTGGATGGGCTCGCTTTGCGGGTCTATAGCACCAATACGCTCGGAGCAGAAATTGCAAAAAAAAGGAAAAAGCATCTACAACAATTTCAAGACGAAATACGTCTTTCTTTCATTGACTTTATGAAGCATATGGATATGGCTTGCACATGTTGGACATGAGGATCTTTTGACGATGATTGATGTGATTTTATATTTGTTTTATTGGTGATACTCCCCATTGTTTTACTGTAGACAATTACAGGTAGTTACGTAGTAGCTTAGCATACCATACAAAGAATATTGCAAACTTTCGAATTACTAATGTCTTATCTTACCGTCCGGACTCGGAATCTATATACAATTATTCAAACATATATACAATGAGAAATCATCACACCGAATTACGAAGGCACCCCCTCATATTCCCACCCCTTGATCACCCTCTTATTCCTCCTGGAATTGCGCCGGTTGGCATTACACTTAACAAATAGCGTCAGCGCAGCGATAATACAAATCACAATCCCAGCAATAGCAGCCACCAAGACCGTTCGTCTCTCCAGCTGTTGCGGATCCGACGCGTACGGACACTCCTGATCAGGACCTCCGGTTACCCAACAAGACTCCACATCAATGCAATTCATATCTAGCCAGACCTTCGTCTTGTTCGGAATTGCAGAGGTCGGGTCGAGAACGTCGGTCCGTGTCAACAGGTACTGGTACAAATAGGTGTTCTCAAGACCGGTGCGTGGAACGGCCATGCTGGTATTTTCTGGACAGCCGTGGTCGTAGGCGTCTCGGAAGGTGTATGGGATTGGGGATAATTGCCACGTGAAGGGGTTATTTCCCACGCGACACGCGGCGTAGCGGACTTGGCTGCAGTTGATGGCGCGCCAGTGGCCGCTGTTGGTTAGGTCTATGACGGCGCAGCGGTCCGTGGCGCTGAAGCTAGCGGAGGGTGAGTCGGCGTTGGCAGGTTGACCGATGGACCAAGCCCAGGAGCTGGATAGGGATATGTCTGTGTAGGGTTGAGGGTGAGTGTCGGCTGTTTGGTTGAACAGGGTGTTGTTCAGTGCTGGGGTGAGGCCGCATGCGGTTAGGTTGGAGGCCACGAGGGACATTGCTGCGATTGTTGAGTTCTCGCTTAACCCTTCTGGTATGGGGATGTAGTCGGATATGGCCCAGGAGTTGTTGGCCTGGGATACGGTGGTCGCGCCGGAATCATAGAAACAGCCGGTGTCGACGCTTCCGTCGGAGTCAAGTGATACGGATACTGTGGATGTGAGGTAGTTTGGTGGAAATATAACGTCACTCATGTAGGAGAAGTTGTAATCTTGGAGTTGGGAATCGATGGTCCCGTAGTCAATAAGAAGGCGCTTCTCTTGTGCTAGCTGAAGGTACTTCACGCAAGGCCAGCCATCAGGAGTACTTTGGTCGCCATTTGGCTCTTCATGAATTGTGAAGTACTCGGTGATGGGCTTATAGCCGTCTTCAACCTGGTACCATGACTGATTCAAGTTGGCGCGTTCGGAAGCGAGGGATGACGGCGTGTATATGTAGGAGGACAGATGCTCGTCAAATTGATAGCTGACAAATTCTGAGCTCGTAGGTAGCTGCGATCCAGTCACAGTCGATGCTGGTTCGTCGGGACTCGTCGCGCTCCCAGCCGCATGCAAATTGAGAGAGATGTATCTCGTAAAGACAGTCAGCTCGGAGGAATACGCCTGGAAGAAGCCTCGAAACACATTGATCAGGTCGGACAGGTCAAAATCCAATGAACAACGGTACGGACCCAGCTCATATAGAACCGAACCCGACGATCTGGCTACCGCAGTGACAGTGGCTTTGATTGTCTCGCTCGTTGTCGTTGTTGTAGTCGTTGCAGTCGTCGTTGCGGTTATTCCACTCGTCGCAGTTGTCGTTGTCGAAGAAGCAGGCGATATCGACGACACGGTCACAACGGGAACATCCGGAGAGAGCGACAACGGGCAGAACGTCCAATACCGTTGGTCAGACGACCAGTAAAGATCCACGAGAAAGCGGCGGTATCCGACAACCAGCAAGTTGGAGATGCATCTGCCCGCCGCATCCCGGTCGTAAATGTTGTCGCCAAAACATGCTGCGCGAAGTGATACGGCGGATGTGGTGACGAAGTTAATTGGAATCTGGCCAGCTACATCTCTTTCGCTCTGAAAGATGTCAGTAACCGGAATGGGGCTGCTGTATGTATGAGCGCGATTGCGCGCAACTTACCAGGAAGACGGCCGCCTCCGTTGCATTCAAGGCCACATCTGAGGAGAAACTCAAGGACATGGGGCTGCGAACTGCAGGCAGCACACCGGAACCCGAATCACATTAGTCGAAAAGGAGTGGAATCTGCGTGGAGTGGCCTGATATACGTAGTGAATGGAGAGATGAACATGAGGGGAGATGGATGCGCCGAGTGAATGAATGGAAGCAGAACGGAGTGCGGAGAAGAAGGCGGTGGACGGCGACCGGGAGACCCTGGCGGCGCAAGTGGAAGGGCAACTGGAACACCATCTGGCCTTTTCATCTCCCGCCAACTTCCTGCCATCTCATTCATCGCCCACCCAGAACGTCCACTCGGTTTTTGCAAGTCACTGCGCTGTGCGCTCTTGCATCCCCTTTTTTCCGAAACCATTTCAGTTCTTACATAAAAATCCATACACTCCTTCACCATGGCGGCGCCCGGCCAGCCGTCCCCTCAGCAGATTGCGGCCATGCAACAGCAGTTCGCCGCCGAAGCTGCTAGGCGCGGACTGACCCCCGAGGAATTTGCCAAACAGCAGCGCGAACAGCTCACTGCAGAGGCAGCCAAGCACGGAATGACCACCGAACAATATGTCACTCAGCTGAGAATGCGAGCTCTTGCCGCTCACCAGAGACAAGTCGAGGCTCAACGACAAGCTGCTCAAGCCCAAGCGCAGGGCCAGCCACAAGGGCAAGGGCAAGCACCTCCTCAATCGCCAGCCCAACCAGGACAGAACCTGCCAGCACCCCCACAACCTCAACCCCAGCAGGTGACCCGTCAGGTCCCCGTGAACCCTAACAACCCTCCTGATCCGAAGGCGCTCGCTGTTGCCGCGTTCCTGCGATCGCAGAACCTGAAGACACGGACGTGTATCATGGACGGGCAGCGGAAGGAGATGTTCAAAGGTATACCACTCTTCATAAATCTCGTGTGTATGGAAGATACTCATAAGTTACAGTGAAACGTGCCATTCGCGCCATCGAGTCCCCAGCTTACGCCAAGGCGGCTGCCAAAAAGAACTCTCTTCTTCCTCCAGTCACCGATCGCGCCTCGGCAGAGAACGTCTTTAAGCTTCTTCCCCTATCACTTCTTGCTCTGCGCGTGACCAAAGTCGACCCCCATGCAGGCCACAACCATGGCAAGTCCAAGAACCGTGTCAAGGGACTGTGGACGGTGCGCATCGAGCAGCACCAAGAAACCGATCCTATGATGCACTACGTCTGGCTGTGGGAAGGTCCGCAGTGGAAGCAGAAGGTTATGGCCGCGGCTGTAGTAGCAGGTATCTTTGCGGTGGTGCTCTTCCCCCTGTGGCCGATGATGCTGCGTCAGGGTGTCTGGTACCTGAGTGTGGGCATGATGGGTCTGCTGGGATTGTTCTTCGCCATGTCCATTTTCCGTCTTATTCTGTTCTGCATCACAGTTATTGCGGTTCCCCCTGGTCTATGGCTGTTCCCCAACCTGTTCGAAGATGTTGGGTTCGTGGATAGTTTCAAGCCCCTGTGGGGTTGGCAAGAGGTAAGCCATCTACCACGATTATCGCAGAAGGAATGGCAATCTCTAACCTCTATATCCAGACCAAGAAGAAAAAGTCCAAGAAGTCCAAGAACGTAGGAGGCGAGGAATCCCAAGCCGCATCCGCTCCGTCCGCCACTACAACAGCAACAGCAGCCCCGGATACTTCAGGCACCGTAAAGCGAGACCTTGCGGCGCGCGTGGAGGAAATCACCGAAGAGTAATCGATTGATGTACCTTGATTCCATTCCATACAGTTGACTGCGGAAAATCATTGAGCATTTCTTCTTCATACACGTGAAAGAGACACATCTCTTCTTTCTAATCCCATCCTATCCTTTTTCATATCTGTACGGTAACTCTTGCACCACCTCGTTTCTACACATCGGTCGCATTTCCTTTCCATTGTTTCTGAGTTAGGTAGGGGTATTCGGGTTTTGGGTTTACAACTTGCTTGCTAGCCATGATTGAATTGCTTTTACTGTTGGCACAAAATATATGAGAGAATCTTTCACATACAAGCTCGGCATGCGTAAAGTGGTACTATGCTGGATCTATAGTATAATTACTCATTTATGATTCACTACATGCGTAATAAGGTAATTCACTACGATACTATACATATATGATCTTCTGTTTGAACGCTTGCCCCTCAGGAGAGGAGAGAGAGTAAAAGAGAGAAATACCGGAGTATATTCCCAGTACTATCAGCACTGAATAAGTATCAACTATGTACATACTAGCAGATATCCATTATCCCCTTTGTATCAATCAATAAGTTGAAATATGATCAACATCTACTACCTACCCATTACATAATAACCCCCTCGGAGCCAAGGCGGGTGATTCTCGGGATTCTCGTGTGAGCGACGAACCCCAACGGGCCGGGCCGTTTCGTTTACCAGTTGCGTGCGCATCATCTACGTAGTTGCCAAAGGTACTCCGTAGATAATAGATATCTATAGTAGTGTATGTTGGCGGTTCTAAAGGAAGAAATCTTGGAGAATGGAAATTGGGAAGGGGTAGGCCGATTAGGAAACTGTATTGTTGACTGGCAACGGTATGCTGAGCTCATAACTTCAAGGAGAGAGATGTAATGATTGGAGCCTGGAGTAGTAGTAGTAGTAGTAGTAGTAGTAGTAGTAGTAGTAGTAGTAGTAGTAGTAGTAGATCCCTGTTTTGTATTATTGTCTAGTATATTCGCTCTGGGATCACTGTATAACAGCCTGTATATGATAAAAGTAAATAGAATACAATCTCAGAAAGTGAAGTAGAATGAGTCACAAAACAGAGAGCCGCCACGTCTATCGTTTTGTCAGGAGTAATGCATAAAAAGGAAAAAGTAGTAGTAGCCTGTTGGGTAGTAGATGGTAATAGTCGACATGTGTGCCAGTACATTCACGAATGGTATCAGGATGTATAATAAGAGGGAGTAAATCAGAAAGAAAGAAGGTAGAACAACGCTGGATCGCTATGTAATGATACGATGATCGACATCGTCGACTGTCAAAGTCGACGGAAGCAAGTCGTGCCGTGGCGACGTGGAAGCATAATGTGTAGAAATAGGATAGGATGAACATGTACAAGGCATGCAAGGGTTCATCATGCGAATGGGCGAATGTATGTATAGTAAGGAGTGATTAGAGGCTGACAGATTAGATCTGCGGCATTCTGGAATGCCGGGACACGCTCCGACTTTGCATGCCGTGGCCGGCTGGAATTGGAGCGGAACTCTTGCGCTGTTCCCGGATAGTATGTAGCGGGGAAGGCGAGATGCACTGTCGGAGGTCGGCGGGTGCATCACCCCAGTTGGACGATTGTGGGTCGACTGGAGAAGGGATCTTGGGCAGTGGACAGTTGGGGGGTGGTGCAGCTGACGGTCCGATCAGCCCTGGCATACTCTTCCGGCGACCCATGGCCACTGGGGGCAGACGGGTGTTTGGATCTGGTTGGTACATAACAGATCCTCGGGTCCGCTGCTGATCACGACGTGCGTCTGAGCCCACAAGCAACGTGGTATTCGGCCCTCCGCTGACAGCAGTTGTTGGACGCAGGACTTGGGCTGCTGTACTGGGTTGTATGCTTCGAGGCATCCGAGAGAGACGATTGTTTCTGGGATCCGCTATACGCTGATTATCGGCTAGCGAGTCTTGAGAAGTGGAAACGCGCAGTGGTGGTCTCTTAGGTTGACCTGCATGGAGTGGCCACGGCTTCTTCGGTTGCGGCTCTAGCTCTTGCGGTTGTTGCTGCTCCTCGCTGGGCTCCTCCGGTAGGAAGCCGTTCGGAACCTTGCCTGGAGATTGGGGTGGAGAAGGAAATGCAGAAAGAGCAGCAACCGTACTTTTGCTGCTTGCATCCTCCACGGCTGGGGGAGCCTGAGAGACCTGGGGGACCTGAAGTGGACCAAATCGGGCAGTGAATCTCTTGCTGAAAGACGGGACGCTGAAGTTAGGTGCGGGCGGCGAGGTGCTGCGGAGCACTGGATCCGGTTGTGTCGATTGTGCCCGTGGGATCTCAGCAGCCATCTCGGCGGCGGTCTTGATCGTTGATGGCGACGATATGTTCAACGACCGACGCTTCGTTGAGCTTTTGACGCTTGGACTTGCTGTGCCGTCTAAAGATGCTGCTACCATACCACCGTTGGGTGGCGAACTGGGGACACTTGCGCTGGGAATAGACGAGTAGAATCGTCCCGTACCGCTCACAGGAGATGTTATTTCTGTATGTGTGGTGGATATAGAGCCCGAGCGGGATTCTGATGCAGCCGGCATGACTATCGACCGGCGATTGAGAGAGATGTAGGAGCTCCGACGGGATTGGTCGCTAACGCTGACACCTGTGTCCTTGTCTTCCTCAGACACAGACTGTTGAGGTTTCAGTAGCATGGAAAACCGGTTTGGATCTTTGGTCACCATTTGGCGGATACTGGGCTTAGTCTGAAGCTGAGGCTCTTCCCCATCATCGGCTGCCTTTTCCGAAACATACTTCTTGCCCCCTCGTGCTTCGATCTGAGCCCGAACGGCCAAGAGCCAAGAGCTCATATCCTCGGGGTGGTCGAATACAAGAAGGAAGCAACGCTCAAGCCGCCGGGCTGGCGACCTGTGAAACCCGAAGCGAAACCGGGAAGGCTTAGTCGAATCCGTGCCGTCTTCGTCGGTATGCGATACCTGCAGCACCCAATGCTTTCCAGGAATCGCATCGCTAGCAAAGGCTACAGTCCGAGGACCGAGCTGTAACATTTTCTCCGGCAGCCTGTCGTATTTCCCTGAGCCGGAATATTGTAATATATAGCCAGCGGTGGCCAGCACATAGACTTTCTGGGTCCAGTCTGCTTTATTCATGGTCTCGGAGAGGGTGCGCATATGCCGTTTTCTCTCCTTGTCTTCCTTTTTCTTCCGAGCCGCGCCATCCTCCGTCGATTCCCCGTTGGCGGGCTCTTCTTCACGAGCGCCAGCTTTAGCCTTTGATGTGGCATGCATGCGCATGATGGAATCCACCGACATGGCGGGGACTGGAAGAGTGTCATGCTTGATGGCCTGCGGATACGCCTGAAAGAGTGGTGGAGGTTTCCATCCTATATCACCCCCGGCAGGCTTCTCGTTACCTGTTTTCGTACGAGATTTGGACGGAAGCCTAGACTGTTGTGACCCCGTCGTTATCGGCGATGTGGGGAGCGTAGCCGTCGAAACGGTGGTCTTCGGTGTGGCAGCAGCTGTGGGTGATTGAATTACCGGAGCTGCTTCGGTTGCAGGTTGTGTGCTTTGTTGTTGCAACTCATCGATGCCCGTGAGCTTAGCATCGCTGGCTTGCTTTCGGGAAGACTTGTCGCGTCCGAAGATGTTCCGCAGGCTGGACTTGGAAGTTTGACGCTTAACCGGCGTGGCCTGCAATGGGACTCGCTCACCTGCCTCCGCATCACCCTGGTAGTCTGTGGGCCGTGGGCGCTGTGGTCGGCCGGGTGGAACCTCCACCGGACGTGCGGTAGGACGACTGAAGTTGGTTTGTAGAGGGGCCAATCGCTGGCCTCTGCGCTCGCTGACCGATTGTTGAGGGGAGTGAATTTCTAAGGTCATCCTTGGTCAGACCTCCACTGTATGTCCTGAAGGCGGACGTCGGATTTCCTGCGGTCTATTTTGAGATGGTTGAATGGGTATATAGTAAACAAAAATCACGCGCATCAATTGATGGCAGTAGGGTTGGGTATAATTAACGAAGGGAGAGATCGAAGATTGGGGTTACCAATGAGGGTCTCATTGATTGATAAAGAAAGACTAGAGTGCTCGAAAATGAGAAATTTGTCATCGCAAGTTGACGATGCTAATTCAAGCATAGATCATGTCCGACCGTGTAGGGGACAGCAAAACTCGTTTAAAAAGGAGAGACCTCGGATAGATGTGGTGAACTACACCCAGCGTGAATCCTTGGTGGACGGTGAATACGAATTAAACTCGAGATCTTGTCTTGGGGCGTGCGCGACAGGGAGTGACGAAGTGGCCGTGTGGGATCAACAGACAACCAAATCAGGGAAAGCGATTGGGAGTCAGACACACGTCATAGTCGGCAATTGGAGTGTGGAGGCCCGTAGATTATGGATTGCGAAAAGACCCAGGGAGCGAAAGAGAGAAGAGGAATTGAAGAAGAAGTAGTAATGTGTATGAGAGTGATTGTGTGAACGAGAAAAGAGAAGGAGGAGATGGAAGTGTGACAAAGAAAAAACGGACCAACGCGAAACAAGACGAAACAGGCTCCAGGCAGGCCAGCAGCGCAAAGTTTCTGGGATTAAATTAGATTATTGATTGCCCGTCCATAGAACCTGCCCCGTCGGGCCTAGCCAGCGACTAGAGGGCTAGTGGTGATGACAAGCAGATCTGAAACGGTCTGCGCGCGCAAGCGAACCCCCTGAGTGGAGGGGAGGGGGATGAGCTGAGCTGGGGATGGGCTGGAGAGAGAAAGAGGGATCAGTCTGGAGTAGATTCGCACAAAAGATGGATAGTATGTGATGTGAACGCGACCTGCATCTCTCCCGCCACCGAAGTTGATCACCCAACCCAACATATCCACTCCTCCCTCGGGGGAGAGAAACCATAATGAAATTGCAGAGTCAATGTTGATGCCCCTGAACTGAGCCAAACCTTACGGTCCCCACTTTCCGGGCAACGGTTGTCGGTTGATGAGCGAACTAGAGGCCTCAAGAGGGGGGTAGTTCGGTTAGTCGTGTTTGATTTTCTCCGGATGATGAACACATCAATCGCAAACATTGGATGGAGACGGGGGAGGAGAGGAATGCTTACCTGCAGAGTGACAGGACCTCCCTGTCAGATTAGATGTCGGGATAGTTGGTTGGTTGTTTTTTTTTCGTTTCTTCACATCGGGTCGGCATCTGGTTGGATGGCATGACCCGAAGACGGGCAGAGACTGGCGCATTCCAGCCATTTTGCTCAGCTGAAAGTTCGACTAGACTAGCTTGACTGACTGGCTGGATTGATTGTTGAACTACGCCTTTGGGTCTAGTTTGTTTAAGTTATTGTCCACGAGGAACCTAAGCGCTGACTAAGAAGCTCCCCCTCTCTCCTCCGCCCTTGTTTTTGATTGTTTGAAAAATAATACTAATGATGATAATCAATCATGTTGGTCAAATTGGCTGTGGTGGGAATATTCCGCTGGCAAGTCACTAATCAATACTAAACAATCACACTCAATATTAACATGAATCTCCCTCAGCTCCTTACGCCACACAATCCCCATTTTCATCCAACAATGGGATTAGTCTCGACCCGGAGCGCACTTTTTCCCCTGCCCTTGTTCCACCGACCCCATCAGCTCCGCTGCCTCGTCGCAATGCTGCGCCATTTCCAAGTCCTTCTCACTTAAGCCCCGGGGATGGTGGGTAGTCCAGTGGATATCGACCGATCCGATTCTCTAATATGATTCCAAATCAGCCTCAATCATAACCACTTCCTTCCCCCCCCTTTTTTTTCTCTCCCGGTGATGTGTCACACTTACCACAGTCATGGTTGGATGGTGCTTCTTGGTTGAACTCTGCGATGCGACCACGTTGACAAAGCTCTGCAAATAATTCCAGATCCGTCAGATGACCTTGCGCCCGTATCATATCTAACATATCGAAGGGGGGCCAGGAAACAGGGGGGGAGGGGGCCAACATACCACCGCCTTGAAGTACGACTTGAAATAGTACGTCTTCTTCACGCCCTGTCCGTCCTCATCCAAGACCCATCCCTGTTCCTGCAGCGACTGCAATCCCTGGCGCGCCTGTTCGGGGTTGGTCCCCTCAGCAAACTGTGGGTCCGCCATCGTCGAAGCGTGGCGCAAAGCTATCCGATACAAAGGGGCGATTTTGGGGAGGTTGGAAGTGAAGGTGTTGAAGGTCGCCGCAAGACGAGGTTGTCCGAGGCGGTGGGAGGAGGGAGGGATAACGCGAGAAGAGGAGGGTCGTAGATGGTAATTGCGGCGGAAACAGTAACGCTGGAGGCGAGTGACCACCGCTCGGGGCTGCTGAATTGCCCTAGATACGTGGTCCATGCTGAACGGTGGTAGAGAAGGGTCGATCAGACTATTTGCATGCTGGCCGTCGAGTTGTCGCAACAGCAGCTCTCACTAAGCATCGCTCCGCGGCCACCGACCGTCTGGAGCACGTGACCGGGGGTGGCTGCGGACGGGTCGATCTCCCGCGGCAAGCGAATTGGCCTGCATCCGCCGTAGATAGAGTGAGTGAGGACTCTTCGCCACGATACGCTGGTCGATGGCTCCATATTGACCACATGATCTCGAACCCCCCCTGCTTGGTACGTCGATTAGCTCGAGTCAGACTCCTGCTGGCTGTACTGTTCTCTATATTTAGCCGTCGAGCGCAATACAAGCATTTGGTGAGCTATGACATACTAGAGCATACATACCACGAATAAAACTGATTGCAGTGCGGTCATGTCATATAACAACAAGAGTCACAAGAATGTTTTAATCAATGGATATCTCACTTAAAGAAAGCCATTTCTGAGCAACATTGTAGGTAAAGGAGCCATAGAAAGCGTTGAACTCCCTTGAGTCATTCAATAGTGAGAAGCCAACCAATACCCTTACATCCTCGGCAATGCCACCCGAACGACCCATTCGACGGGGCCACCACATCAATTCATTCTAGAAAAACCGGCGAATGTTTCGAAACCCCAGATGGCAAACATGTGATTCCTCAAGGGCCTGTAGATCTCCCGCAGGGGTACCTGCATCAGCAGCCTCCAGAATGCAGAAGGTATCTCATCTTCTTAACGGTGAGAAAGGCAAAGCACACAAGTACCAGTGTCACTCAGGTTATGGTGAGAAATAGTATCGAGCTAGACCAAATCGACATGGGTCGTCAAGCTCAGCCAAGCTTGAAGGAAATATCACCCATGGCTGGCTTTAGAATTTCATCCCTGGGATCGGGGGAGGGTATTCCGAGGCTGCCGAATCCGATGGCCCCGTCCGGATCCAGATGCAAGGTCGGTGTCTCCACATTCCAACCATCGGCATGGCTCGGCCATTGCTTCATCTGTAACCTGATGCTTCCCCCGCCATCCGAGTCTGTTCGGTACTGCTTGACCCGGTTCTCCATGGTTCTGCTCCCGCTTGGTTGCATTGTCTGGTTGCATCCCATTGATGGTTATCTCCATCGAGATCATACGGGACCCGGTGTGGGTTCATAGGCATTTATGCTTCAAGAATCAATTGGTTTCCAATCATGTTTATTTTTTTTTATTGATCGTCCCAAACACCCCATCTGGTATCTCTTCGAGGGTGAGACCGTGAACGGTCGAGCCTGCAAAAGCTCCTTATAGCTAGATGTTCGAGCCAGCCAGAAATGGCCAAAGCTAACCAAGACAACCAAACCAGCAGAAAGCTAACCTAGTACTAGTACACGCTCCAGAAGCAAAGCTAATACGTCCCTCATTATTTTCCAACTGCCAGCGCCTTGCCTCGAACTGAAAATGAATGTCACGCACATACTATTGGGTTTTGTAGGCCCAACCCGTTTCCGGACAAAATATATAAGGGACAAGTCAGTGGATCATAGAGAGAAAAGCAAACAACGTTTATGACCTGCAAAGGCATCGGCCATAATTGGTATCAAAGCTCATTAATCGTCTCAGTGACATCGTAAGAATGTATCCGAGCGTTTCATGTCGCATGCGCGATGATTTCGGCAGAAGTTTAACGAGAAAGGCTGTTTCTTCGCGAGTTGACCCGGGAGTTGACCCGGGAGTTGACATTCGAGGCCGGGCGGGATGCTATGTAACTGCCAGGACGACTTCCGAGCGTGTGACGAATGCGTAGGTTCTGTTGCGAACGCGCAAAGGAATTTGCCCTTGAACCGGAAGGAATCTTAGACAGCCGTCGGCCATGAGTCTGAAGCTCGACTCTTGCGTCCGACAGCTGTTGGGCAAACGGCGATCGCTTGCGAAGTGCTGGTCCGTACCAGTAGATAACGTATACTGCAATGACCAGGAGGAAAGAGATACAGACTGAAGTAAATGCAGTTAGTTTGGAAATCCTTTTGAGTCGTAGAGCATATCGAGGTTATGACTTACATAGAATGGTAGACGCGTATTCCAGGTGGTATTTACCGCCAATGTCTAAAAATCATCCGTTAGAACCCCATAGAATCTATGCCAGTAACAATTTACTCACTTTCAAAGAATGGTGTGGCAGGGATGGTGAGCACACCAGCCAAAAAGTCTCGCGACCATCCGTTGCCGCCCGTTGCAGAAGCCGAGTACGGTCCGTATGCGCAGATCATGTAATCGATAGTGGCCATGTAGATGCTGTAGTTGGCAATACCGACGATGGCAGAGAATACCATGCTCCCAATCCAGTGGACAGGAGGCCCCAAACTGGTCCACGCGAAGCCAATCAAGCCAATGGGCAAGCAGGGGGCTGTATAGAGAAGGAACCAAAGCCGAGACTCGTACTGAGCCCGCTCATCGTCAAACTTCCTGCGTCGCTCCTCAATATTCCTTCTAATGACTGGGATGAAAGCGCCCCATGCAATGAAGTAACCCACGAGGATGGGAAGGAACGACAGTCCTAGCTCCACGGTGCCAAACCCCCACTGGTCGTACACGAGGCTGAACGACTGAATAAACATGAAGATCAGGGCATCACTGAAGCCACTCAGAAGAGACAGAGTGAGGACAATCGGCTCCGTCAAGAACATCTTAAAGGGACGGATCCAGGTGATGAGGACTTCGCGCATCGAAAAACGTTCCCTGAAAGGGACGAGCTCGTTCGGTCCATAGATATTGGGGTCTTCGCCGCTCTGCCTCCGCTTCTTCGCGATACGGTCCATCATGATCGTTGTCCGGGTCTCAGGTACCAGAAGCAAGTGCGCCACCTGCACGAAACCCCCGAATATGAGCTGAATCCAGATGTTCCAGCGCCACGGCAGATATGCTTCCACAAATCCTCCAACGACTGGCCCGATCACGGAGCCACCCACAGAAGAGAATACGACGCAGGCGACAGCATATTGCTGGTCATCTGCTTCCCAAAGATCCGCGATCATACCCAGGGTAACTGAACCACCAGCTGAACTGAGACCTCCAAGAGCACGTCCCACCATGATCGATGCGAAATTGGGGGCGAGAGCAACGGGAAGTTGCCAAATATTCACAAGGAACAGACTGAGCTGTAGGATAGGCTTCCGACCTAGTTCCTCACTCCAGGGAGCCCATAGCTCGCAACCAAAGGCGTAGAGGACCAAGAAAATCATGGCACCACACCGAGCAGCTTGCATGCTGACTCCGAATTCTTCGGATATACCGGTGAGGGCATTCGAGTAGAGACTGGTGTTGAAATTCATTGATGTTTGAACAAGGAAGATGACCGAAATGATCATCCACTTCTTCCAGCTGGGAAAGGCATAGCCGAGTTGGTCGTAGCAGTCTTCCTCAGTCAGCTCAACCTTTTCGGACGCGGCATTCTCTAGTTGGTGTAGAGTAGTTCCAGCGTTAGGGTCTGACGGAAGCGTTTGAGGCTTTTGTTGCTGTTCCAGAGCCTTTTCGGTCGCTGGATCAAGAATGGTGTCGGTCTGAGTAGAAGACGAGGCTTCTGACTCATGAATCTTTTCATGATTACTCATGTCTTTGTCTGGGCGAGAAGCCATGATGCGCACTGTAATATACTGAATTAGTCGCTGCATGGTGTTTGATTCGGAGAAATGTAGACTGTGAGAATAGTGGGAAAAGAAAGCAAAGCATGAAGTGCAGAGATGCTTGTAATTTCACGCCATCATGCAACAGTCACATTGGTGTATGAATAGCGTGTACTTACAGCCGACCCAGACTAGACAAAGATAGAGAAGACCAGGCAATTAATGCGAGCAAGTGAGAATGGCAATAGCAAATCACTGGACGGGAGAAGGGAAGGAAGGAACACTGAGAGGTTCTTGTTAGGGGAGGACTGGGAATTCAGTATAGGAAGGAAGGAGAAGAAAGAAAGAAAGCAGGTGAGGGTGAAGAGGGAGGAAGAAGTAGAAGTAATCACAAGCAGTAGATGACGGTAGATTGGGTTAGGCCAGAAAGGGAAAGAGCGCAGGAGGACTGGAGAAAGAGATCAGGCCTACCTGGGACTAGTATCAAAACTACTTTTTCAGGCAAGTACCCCAGAAAAGGCAACCGCGACGGGGTTCTCTCACGGTACTTATATCCAAGCAACCAGTCGTATCAGGGGAAGAAGTGGGTGATGTTACCGCAACACCCATGGATCGCACGGGCAGCACTGCAGGAATGACTCTGCTTTATATCAATCCACCAGTTTTCTCTCCTCCCCCCAATGAGAGCTGGCGATTGTACATTAAGAGTTCAGACGGTCCAGGCGTCTCCGATGACTCGGGGCATGGGGACTTAGTTCACTTTGACCTTTCATTTCCAATTTACACTTTTTGTTTTGTTCTTGCTGCAACATCAGCCTTCTGCCCCTTTCTACTTTGCCACTCACCATTATTAAGCCCCTACTCTCTGTGGCTTGTAATAATGATGAGAGCACTCGCATGAATTCTTGACAGGACTGGCATAACTCAAAATTAAGGGAGAGTGGATGCATATTTCCCGGATGGGTTGTTGGGTATCGGTTGTCTTTGGCCAAGCAGCCGGCCGCACACGGTTAGGGCCGAATGATGATGCATTTGGCCTGCCGAATCAGGACCGGCGTGGTAGGTACTACATACCACCTAAACCAGACTCCGAAGAAGCCCACTTGCCACGCTGACAACGGCCAGTCATCTTCCGGGTAGGTCTGGGGCGATGCTGATGGACGGATCCATCGTGCTTAACTCCGTCCTTAACATCATTCCTTAATCACTCATCGCCTGACCCTTGGGGGAAACCGGGTTGAGTTCCCAGAGCCAGGAGTGGTCGGCGCGACCACCACGGCTTCCCCACTTCGGTGGTCGTCGATATTCATTACTGCCACTGGAGCCGTTCTGGGCCGACAAGACGGTCTCAAGAATGCCCGCTTCGGGGAAGCCTGCCACGACACGGGTGCGGGAGGACTTCTTCCTACGGTGAGAGATGGCGAGTTATGTTGAGGATACTGCAATTTAGACTTTGTGCGCCAGTCTCTACGTTAAATGAAGAAAACGCCCTGGACAGGCCGAAACGGGTCCAGCCTGTCAATAATGCGGGCGCAAAAAGTGTGCCCACGCAAGGGGCCGGGGACTCCAGGTGGCCACGAGCGCTGTACATGACTGCGTGGTCTCCCGAGCGGATGGGTCATGAAAGCTGACAACCATGATACCGAGCAGAAAAAAACAAGAGATATACACTAAATACTGCTAGTGTTCCTGTCCGGGTTTTGTAGTCCGGGGGGGAGGGTGGGCTGCAAGAACAGGAAGCCACAGCATTGGTCTGTGTTCCGCGCATTTTAGGCGGTTTCCATGTTGGACCCATAATTCCACTTCGCATTTCCCACGGGGTTGGATTAGCTGGTCTCGGGGTAGCCGGGGGTGACGTCAAGCCTCCTCTGACCAAGACGATCGGCGCCCCCAATGCTTTTTTTTTTTTTTTCTTCTTTCTCACGTATTACAAGTGTGTCATCGGCTTATTCGAATCCTGGGGTTTTGTGTTCCTCCACTACCGTCATTGACTGTTCCAATGGACATCTATGTGGTCATGCTCATGTATCTGAACATGGAGGGAAAGGCAAGTAGTAAGTTAATGACCACGCTGGCCCCTGCTTTCCAGAACGCTGTATCGAAACCTGTCGCCGATCGAGCGCCATCACATATGCCAAGCGGTACTGCACAGGGTTTTTCAGCAAACCTCAAAACTCCCACCAGTCCTACTGACATACAAACAAATCACGATGACTACTCCGCCACCAACAGGGTTGAACCCCCGCTATCACAAAAATGAATGGATTGACCCCTGGCCATCTAGGTGGAGATGGCGAAGTCAACTTCGATGAAGGTACTAGACATTTCGGTAATCTGTACCGATTTGGAGCACAACCAACCAGTAGGCTGTTGTTTACAGCTGCTACGTAAAATTTTCTGTCAAACCAGGAATGTTAAAGGATTCCCACCTGGTCAGCCAGGAAGCAGTAGCACCCCTCTAGTAGGTCCGAAATTCGGGACATGGGGTACTGCTATACCAAGAGCCCAGCACCGAGGCCATTTCATCCTGGTGGCTTCTGTGTGGTCGGGTAGTGCCGCCATCCCACTCTCAAGGTTGGTTAAGACTTGACGCCAAGATGGTGTGGCGGACGATCCCCTGGTAAGCAGGCAAAATCGACTGTTGAGTGTAGAAAGTACTGCCCGGCAAGTCGGGTTCTCTCTGCAGGGACGTTCAAGTCCCAGCAAGCATTCCTCAGGAAGGGGGCAACAGAATGTTCGATTGCATTGTGCTGCGATATCACTTAGGCTTTTTATCCACTGTCAACCACTGAGAAAATTCCCCGAAACATTCAGATCGATCTGTTCACGTGCGTGGGGGTTGAAGTGGTATTCGGGAGATGACCGAAAGCCGGACCGGCTTTGCAACACCGTTTCCAGGGAAGAAGCGACTCCAGTCTTTCCCCAGGCCAGACCGATTTGGTGCCGGATCCAGTATCTCGTGAACTAGACCGAATCTAGGCATCCCGTGACCATCGACCCGTCAGCAAAGCGTCAGTCTGACTTGAACACTTTGATGTTGACCGCCTTCAGTTGCAGGAATGCGGCACGCCGGCTCCAGCTCTGCAATCCACTGCAACCAAACCCATTGTTTGAACCAACCGGCCCGTGGCAGCAAGTGGTCGCAGACAGACACACTGTTCAGATAACGGTTCTTGACAGAAAGTGGTGGTTTGAGCTATTCAGTTGGACCTCTCTCATCAACAGACCCACTGTTATCCATTGGCCGGCCCCCTTTAACCTGCCCCCATCAGTCATGTCGCCCGATATCAACTCTCTGTCCCCGACCTGGTCCACTGCCTCTTCCCCGCGTCAACGTCGGCTGCCCCCGACTTTATCCGATAACTTATCGTCGCAGCATACCCAGCCAGACTTTCCTTCTGCAGCCCTGCCCAACATGAATAACGGTTCATCAAATAACCATAGCAACATCATAGCCACCGATCTGCCTCATCGGCCCTCTCATAGTCACCGCTCCAGCATGTCAGGATCGGAACGCCGTCGGTCCCGTACCGGTTCCAGTTCAATCCTGAACAATGGCCATACCAACGCTAGTGACTCGGCCCCCGGGGAACCGACCACAACCCCCCACGACCACCACCGGTCTTCCTTTGGCCATAACGGGCTTCGCACCTCCAGTCCGCTCAGTAATGTCGGGGGAAACCCGACCGTTGCCACCGGGGACCCGCATCATCAACGTGCACCGTCCCTGGGGGAGCTCCATCAGGAACTAGAACAAGAACAAGAAGCACAAGTGGTATGATCCAACTATTGTTTGTGCCACTATTCGCCGCATTCTTCGTTGCTATCGCACCACCATGAGTAAGAGGAAACCACTAACCACGATCCTTGCAAATGGCTAGAACCGTCTTTTACACATGATCCGAAGCCAGCAAGCTCAGCTGCAGCACCTTCAACAGCAACAGCAACACTCACAGGCCGTGGTGGATGACTCTGGTCCTGCTGCGGAACGGCTGACCCCATTCCCCCCAATTCCCCCGCTCCCCACAACCAGCAGTCGGGCGTCAAACCAATTGCCTTCCTCCTTGTCCAGCCGGCGACCCTCCCGCCCGTCTAGTCAAGCCGCTTCACCCAATCTCCGACCGCTGGCCGAGCCGTCGTGCGGGTCAGAGGGTCCGGATTGGAGTGCAGGCCCCGGTGAGAGCCCAGCGCGGCGGGGAAGCAGGGATGAGAGCGCATTTTACCAGGCGGAGGCAGCGATGCTGACGCGCGAAAATCAAATGCTCCGACAGCGAATCCGCGATTTAGGTGCGCAATTTCCCTTCCCACCTCCTTCATTACTATTCTTCATATCCTTTTCCTCCCCTATTACTGAGGCGCACGGAGCCTCAAAAGAAGCCTCTACTTAGAGTTTTGCGCTGACGGCGTATAGAACGCCAAGTTAGTGAGCTGACCTCTGGTGCCCGATCCAGCGAGATCCCTGCGGCACCTACCGCACAAGGAACCGAGGCCGTAGATCACCCAGCGTCCGCAGGAGTGGGATCGGCGAACGAGTCGTCAGACAAGACCTGATTGACCAAGAGCCACATGGGAGGCTTTTTATTCCTAACACTTTGTATCTGTGAATTACGGAGTGCATTCGTCCCGATCAGCAGTGATCAGCATGTTCTTGTGATGGATGAAAAAGCCACGTTCGGTATCTGAGCGGGAGTTCATGCGCAGCAAAATGAAATATACCTCCACGATGCTTGTCTGCGCATGATCATTAAACATGTCTACATATTGTTGTAGTGGCTGTGCGGTGGGCATATGATTTTTCGAAACATCAACTCCCGTAATTAGCCGCGTGTACTCAGGCCCCCGATGTGTGGGGTACATACATGTCCACTAAGTGATGAGTTGCAGGGGAAGTGAAAAGAATGCGTGACCACCCCCAGCTTGCCCAATGAAGACAGACGATCTTTTTGTCCTATGTACGGAGTACAGTCACATAGTACATACATTAGTGCATACGTTGGAAGTCATCTCCATCTCCACGGGGGCCCGCCACGCGGTCTTTTCCCTTGCTCGAAAGTCAAATGTCATAATTAAGTTACTAAGTTGTTGACACTGAGCGCGGTTTTAAAGTTTCCCCCCTAGCATTTAGTTAATGCTAAAGCTTACTTAGCATACATACACCGGTTACTCAACGAGGAAATTCCACGAGGGCGGTGCGGTGCTGTCTATCTTTCCTTTTTTCTGTCTTGGTACTCCAACTGAAAGAGTGGATTATTATAAATTTGTATTGAAATGTCATTGTATTTTTGGATAGAATATACCGGGGAAAAGTTTATTTGGTAAATGTAAGATGCGGGGGTTTATGTGGTAGTTGGGGTTGCTAACTGGAATGGAACTGAAGTGAAAACTAGGGTCGTGGATATTGTACAATGACGATAGATAGATTTCTTTGGTTTGCGCAGTCGCTGATGGTTGATTACTAGTAACTGTGCGATAGATAGCGAGTACTAGAGCCACTTTGAATCCAAGAGGAACTCATTACTAACAAAACTGAGAATGTGATAAATCATGGACGTAAATTTAGTTCGGATCTTGTAATTATGCGATCCCTCAGTGTTGAGTATTGCTAGACTTCCAGACTATTTATGCCAGATAATTCAAAATAATGAACTCCTACTCATGGATCTCTTGGAACCCTTCGTTACTATAAGAACTAGATTTGTATTGTCTCATACCTCACACCTGACTCTTCCTCGTATGTGAAAGACATAAACTCAATCAAATCCGGTGCAGGATTCTATCCTCGACGACCAACAGGTAACCAAGCGAGCCTAATGTGCAATAACAGCTTTTTCTCAGGGTCGTTCATGTTGTGTTTTGTAGCTTTTCTATACGATCGCTCGAATGAGACGTTGATGAAGGAGCAGCCTAGCGGGATTGTTCTTCGAGGTATCACCAAGGGAAGTTCTATCTCGTGGAACATATCTTATTTGATTTCGATGAAATCTGGTTCCTGAACTAGTAGCTTAGATTTCTGAAACTTTGTAGTTCGGGTCATTGTTGGTATGAATTGGTCTGGTGCATTGACAAAATTCGTATGGCCCGTGGAATGGGTGAAATCCGTCCCGTTGTTTGTTCATAGTCCAGTTGGATCAGGTAGCCCTTAATAGAGTCGAATTCCCTACATTGTTCGGTTCCACCCATCACACTTTCAGTTCTATGTGGGGTGTCCTTTCCCAGAACGGCCCACACATCTCTGATGCAGAGCAACCGACAGATCAGACTGACGAGGATGATCATGGTCGTTATATCATGCAGTGGGAGCATGACAGCAAAAGGGTTAGCTAGTAGTGGCATATTTCCTGCCACCCGGCCAGTCGAGTGGAACAGGAAGGTCTCAGTATTTATTCCCTTTCCTTAAGGAGATCGACTGTTTATATAATGCACATCTCTGGCCAAGTGCATAGGTGGGGAAGTAGTAGATCTCCGGCTGATTCTTGATCGCTCCGCTTTCTATCGCACCCTGCACAGTTGATGCTCATGTATCTCCTATATCCTGGTATGGCGTTCGTGTTATAAGTATCAGCGATGTCTCATACCAGCCGTAGTTGCTGTAGCCACCTTAGTATCCCAATGGGACGAGAGTTCCTTGTGCTCAGCTGCGAAATCTGGTCAAGAAAGTAGAAGGAAACAGCTTGTAAGTTGTGCGCATGGTATCAGCGGAGTTGAGCAATGAATAGGCTTTTGTGTATATTTCTGGCTTGTAGTGTCTAAGTCCTTCCTTCCAATTGAACCAAGGCGTTTATCAAAGCAGGACACAGAGGGAAGAGGAAGAGCAATGTTTGCCATCTTCGTCTGATTAAGAGATCAATGTATATACTGACTTTGCGGAGTGGATATATATCGTGTGTCTTGTAATAGCTCCTTCAAAGCACATAAGATGCTCAGGTGAAGTCGGATGTCGCGAGCTCTCCAAATGAGATAGAATATAATATCACACTGTTTCATTTCACTTTGAAGTCGCTCGTCTCTTCTTTCGCTTTGTTAACATCTTCAAAACCGTATGGTTGGAGGTGCATACCAAACCAAAATCAATTGGGCGACGAATGATTGTACATCGTCGTTGGTGAGCTTCCCTGATATCCCATGGCTCTGGGCAAAACATAGTCTTCACTTTGCCCGATGTCGATACTACACACGTTCATCCAAAGACACATTCAACCGTTCAAAATTAGATATCGTGGGTCTGATACACGCGGGGACCAGCATTCGTTTGAAGACTACGCCATCGCTACCGGCAGATGGTTTAGCGCCTGGACCGTCCATGTCTTCAGTTGTGCGCGATTCTGGTGACGATGCGAGCGTCTAATCTTCAATATGTTAGGCTGGATTATCATCAACCTGCTCCTGATAGTAGATGGTTCCCTTGGTTATAAGCGATAGTAGTGTACTTTCCTAGACTCTTCATTCGTCATCGGGGTGTTCAACATCCTTCCAAATATGAGGATTAGCCATCTTCGAGTAGTGACATGGCGTTATAGGTGTAGCGATGCGGTAGACTTAGAGATACGCCCTACTCAATATTGGCGAGGTTGGTCTGTCGCAACGGTACTCATTGTCAATCCATGACAAATGTAGCCCCCGGCCACCCACCCCCACGCCATCAGTTGCGCCATGAGCAAGACAAACTGGTGTATTCCGAAAATCGCATGGTCATAAACCTTCATCTTCTGGTAGGCATGGTCCAATTAGAAACGGAGTTCTGCACTTGACTGGAATCATCGGGCCATTTCTTGTGACGTAACTGACTTCATGCAGGGAATAGAGCAGACTTTCTTGATGAATCGATCGACTACCACAAAGACCGAATCAAATTCATGTTCATCAGGAGGAAAGAATAGAAACTCCATTAGGCATGGTCCGATTAGAAACGAAGTTCTGTACTTGACTGTAACCATCGACTGTAGAGCAAGTTACCTTCAAGCATATCCATTGTAGACACCACCAATACTGAACATTCAGCATGTTGACCACTATTCATTTCATGCAAAAACCCCACCTCGGCGGCATTCCCTAGAAAATGGGATTATTTATAAGCGTCATCATCGCCACCAGACAGAGCTTGAACAGGTCCCCAATTGTTAAGAAGCCACATGGCCAGTAGGCTGCGAATACAGGCCAGACCTCAGCCTCAGCAGCGCGAGCAGTCTCTTCAACTACCAGAATCTCCAGACTGATGTCTTCCAGGCAGATGGCTGGCAGGCACCAATGATGGTAGCCATGGTAATCTCTGCATGCTGAGTACTTCTTCTAGAAATCTTGGTAGCCAATATAAACTTCACCTTGTCATCCAGCGAAGGTCATGCCGTCCCGGTAATAGTTCTCAGGAAAATAGACTCTGTTTTCTGGGGGTCGAGTGCAACTCCGTCCGTTGAGGTAATGAAGCTGAGATACTTCATTCGCATCACATAAGATTCACACTAGTGGATGGCCTGTCGTGGAATATCACCTGCATGCTAGCGCAACGAGCCGTGAGGCAGACCCTTACTGAAACCATGCAGATTCTTGCTCCATCTCATTGTTGCTCTGAATAGTAAGACCGCCAAAGTAGACGGTGACTTATCCAAGTAATTCATATATACCTCATTGACCAGGCGCTGACATGCCGCAGGGCTGTTGGTTAGTCCGAAGGGCAACACCTTATGCTTGTAGGTTCCGTAGCGAGTGCGCAAGGCAGTGAATTCTCAAAGTCTGAGTAAACATATTCCAAGCTTAGTGAAAATCTTGGCTCGGCTGATACGACAGGGGTTCTCATCCGAAAAAAGATTATGTTATCACTCGAAAGTTGCCGATGCTTCCATCCAGCACACTGTACCTGGAGCAGTGCCAGAGACAACTTTCGGAGCAGCCGCGGAACGGTCCTCTAGGTAGGTGGTAGGTGAGGCGAAAGTTTTGGTGCGACAGGTATCATTTTCATTAAGAGCGTGAGTAATCTGGCCGTACTTTGCCAGGCTCGGACTCCGGAGAGTCAATATAGCCAGAAATTTGGAAAGTGTGATATCCAAGACTCTGCTCAATGTTCTTGACGCGCTTGTCAGGAATAGGAAAGTTTTGCGCAATCGCCTTTTACTGCCAATCTTTCAAGCATATCTACATATGCATCTCGACAATTGTCACAGGTCTCTCATTCGTCGCAAGCGTCGTTACTGGGGGTGATGGGTAGAATCCAGTGATGAATGTTTCCAGTATTGCTGAGGATCTCGACTGGGACGAGAGAAGGTTTCAGTCCAGAAGGAGATATTTGCTAGCTGCGAGTTCTGAGTCCCACGGACAGGTGAAATACTGTGACCATTAAGGGGTTCAATATTCAGGTGATTCCCTCATGCCATGGTAGCGTAGCATCCATCACCCACCGCTGGAGAGCTTCGTTTTAGCTAACCTTAGATGATGCTATATGCACCGGCCAGGGATTTGGTATTGTCTCCATTTGCTAGCTCGAACCTTGTCTCAGGACTTCTCCAACCTTGTCATCTGTTTCCGAATCCGTGATCTATTTTGGAGTTAAATGCAGGCTATCACCGGATTCCTTTTTCTTCATCGACACAAGCAGAAAAAGGGACAATAGTCCGTGGCGAACGACGTACCAAATCTGGTCAGGAATTTGATAATGCATCCATTCTCTAACTCGAACCTCGTTGAGGTCTTTGCGAACTTCCAATCTGTTCCTGAATTTCTGTTGGTGTGAATGCATCCTACCACCGGATTTCCTTCTCTATCGGCGCAAGAAGAAAAGGGAAGCAGTATCCGTGGTGAACGACGTATCTTCTTTGGGACCTTTCCTGCAACCTCAGTAGCACATAGTTTACCGACGACTGAGACACCATTGTTGTTGTCATAGCCTTGCTGTGTCCAGGATTGTCAAGGGGTGTCTCAGATGCAGAAAACGAATTTATATATAAATATCTCCGGGCGATTCTAGCTGTCTTGGTTCGCTGAAGAGAGCAAACTGATTGTATACGGTATCCGAGATAGCAGCACAAATGCGTTGCTGATAGCAGACCTCCTCTAAAAGTGATGATTAGACTTGCCCACCCGATTGCTTGAGGTATTCCAGGTAAACCAAAGGACATAGCTAGGGTCTGGCTGGAAAAGCTATATGGTTGGCATCAAGTGATTCCTCCTAGTTGTGCAGAAGATTGCAAGTTGGGAAGTATATATTGTATGGACACCAAGAATGAGTCAGTTTCTTAGTGCTTGTAGAAACAACCCTCAAAGCCGGTTCCATGCGAGAGAAAACCAGCCTTGATGTTGACTGCATCCTTGCCTGCCCCATCAGCCTCAGTCTCAGTGATCATATCCGTGGTCCTCCAAGCATGGGTATCGCTAGACGTTTTGGATAATGACAACATTTGATAAGCTTTTCCTGAGATGCACTGTGAAGACCTTGAGCAATGAAGGATGAAGAGGGCCAGACAGAGGCACGGCAAGACGATTGATTGTTCTCACAGGTCGAGATGTTGAGTGGTTGCTGTTTTATATATATAGTAGTAATATACGAAAAGAGACACTCCAGCTGCGATACAAGTGTCTCGCAACGGGCTCTGATCTTCTAATGTCCTTGTTGATCAGAGAGCCCAGTGCTGTCGTTCAGAGTCACGGACTTGTGCCCTGTTTGTTGGCTGCCGCCAATTGCGATAATGACTGCCCATTGGCGTATGATACAGTCATAGTTTTGCATCGAAATATATACTATAATGAATGCATGATAGGGAACTGGAGGACTGCCCTCTGAGGCTTGTTCTTCTTCCTTTGAGTTCCTGATCCAGCCACAAAAGTCAAAGGGGTTAGGGAGGTATTTATACCAGTTCTGACACCACAAGTCCATTTTCCTAGAGCGGGAGACCCCACTAGTCAAGGTAATCTCTCTATACCAGCCAAGGAAGTACCCCTAAATTACCATCTCATGGCAAGGTAATCTCCGCCACTGCTTTCCTGACCGGAAATGGCCGACAAAATGGAGTTATTCGACAGCAATTGTTAATAAACAGCTACCACATAAATCGCACGTCAGACTCTTCTCTGTCAAACAGTGAAGAATCCCGCTACCTCAAAGATGCCAATGAATATTGCCTACGCTAGACCGGGTCCACCCCACGTAGCTTGGTGAATCCAATCCTCACTCACGTTTATATATACGACCTCATCCTCTGCCACCAGTCATATCAAGCACCCACCCCCACAACCCCAAGCCTTCTTCTATATACATACAAACCCACCCTATACTACTTCACATGTGCCTAATCAGAATCACCATCGCCCGAAAGATCACGCGCCATCAATTCGACATGTCTACCACAGACCACACCATCGCGGAACTGATCCCAATGTGCAAGTTAGCATTCCAGAAATGCCTCACCTTTCCTGCTCTCTACAATGACGAATGGGCACAGCATTGTCTTCTCGATTTCAACCATTGGGTGTATCGGATCGGACCTATATTGCTCTCGTCACAGAGCTCCGACTCACAGGATATAGTTCAAACTGATAAGGCAAAAGACGCCTTATTGTCGCTGCATCAGTCCCTACTGGCCTGCGCTCAATGCGCGGAAGCTGGTGGCTCCTGTAAGGAGGCTATTCGGAATGTTGATTCGGCGCTTGAAAGTATGGTTACTGTGGGGAAGGAGGTTCAGCAGAGGGAAATTGAGATGAGGGATATCGAGGGCAGGTTTGAGTATATTGAGGCTGGGGCTGAGTATATTGAGTAAATTGTTCATAGGATTATATGCTGTGGGTTGGTTTTGTCGATACTACTATACTATCACCGGCAGAGTACATACGCATCAGATTGGATAATCTGGAGTTGCAAGATGCAGAGAGTGAGGTGTCTATGTTATGCTTAGCAGAGATGGTTGCTATGTATATAGATCGAACTTGCTTACGGAATTACATAATGAACTAATATTGCTGTCGGTTTATATTTGATCAAATAGAAACAATGTAGTGATGGTTAAGAGTAGTAGTCAGTGATTACTGTGGCAGATGTTTAGTCCATGGTTAGTATGCGATATTACTTCACAGCGGGAGCAAGCCAATCCGCCATCCACCCCCATATTAACAATCCTAAACACCCCGAAATATGACTTTTTGGTTTGTACGCTCTCGCCTGGAGTCATTACTAGTATGCCGCATTCCTATTAATTCCTCCCAGTCTTCGGTAAAACCTTCTCCTTCTCCAACTCACTCAAACATCCATCCAACGCATCCCAAGTATCCTCCCAGTCGCGGAATCCCAGCTTCCACGCCTTATTCATACTAATTACCAGATCATAATTCCTTCCCAGCACAAAGTTAAGGAAAAACCATGTCGCCTTCTCAAACGCATCTTTCTCCAACCCCTCCCTCTTTGCCAACCTCTCCCACGCAGCCTTCACATCATCTCTCTGTGCCCACTTGGTCAAATCAATGCGCATACGCACCTCACCCTTCTCAACCCTCCCTTTGAGTCCACTCGTCCGCACGTAATCATTCAACGGGGGGTTTTCACTCAGCGGAACAACGTTCTCGTCCTCCGCCTCGAACTGGTCCACTGGAACAGTGAGCCCGAACCGCTTTGCAACTCGGGGCCACATGGTCTGCCAGGACTGCGCGTCGCCGTTCACAACGTTGAAATTCTGGTTCGAGCAGCCAGGCTCGGAGATTGCCCATGCGCAGAAGCGGGCATGGAAGCGCGAGTATGTGAATGAGTCAGTCATGGTGTAGAAAGTGCGTGAGCCGGGGAAGGTGAATGGCGCATTGAGTTCCTTGGTGATTGCCGCGTAGAGTCCGACGGCTGTCACTAGGTTCATGAAATTTCCTGGCCAGTGTTATCAGCATTGTGATGATTGTACAGAGTACGTAGAAGAGAAGAGAAGGTAGTGCTCACCCTTGGCAACCCCAATAACATCATTCGGATACGTAACCACCCAATCCCACCCCTTCCCCTTACTCATTTCCTTCAGTATCCTCTGCTGCCTATAATAGAAGTTCGGCGGCCTTCCCTCTCCCTCCACCCACGGATCATTCTCTTCCATCGGAGACTTCACCGGTCCCAAATGTACCCCGTAGTGCTTTGCCCCGGTCACTAGCAACACGCGCTTCAACTTCTTTTCTGCACCGCTGATACTCAGCGCCTTGAGGAAGTTCTCGAGCATGTCGCCGTTGAGTCGCTCGAGGTCCTTCTCGTCTCCTTCTTGGAGATACGCGGTGAAGAAGAGGTAGTCTGCGGAGACATTTTGGGTGGAGAGTTGATTGGCTACTCGTTGGGTGAGGCGAGAAGGTCGATGCTGGCATGGTGGACTTGTGCTGGGTAGGTATCCTTCTTGCTGCGGGAGAGGGCGTAGATGCTTGTCCAGTCGGGAAGGTTGGAGAGGTGGGCGATTATTTCCCGGCCAAGGATGCCTGTGTTTTTTTATGGTTAGTATGCTGTGGTGAATATGGGTATGGCTAAGACGTACCGGTTGCGCCGGCGACGATGGCGGTTGGCATTGTGGATATAGATGGCGATGTATACGTGCAGAGAGATCAATTGGTATAATTGCCTGGGGCCTGCCTATTTGAAAGAGGAAGGGATCGATGATAGAGCTGTGGTTCATATAAGTAACTTTTTATATGTTTGATAATACTACAAGGATGAAGGTTGCATGAACTCAATGTGATGTAATGAGCTCGGTCGTGTCGGGAACAATTGCGTTGTGAGTGGGCAATTTTCTGGTTTTGGTTACGCTTGATTTATAATATAACATCCCGTCTTATCAGGTATCAATAAAAATATCAGATATCAATTGAAAATGCTATTGATATGAATGAATGCAGCTTTCTGGAATGATGTCAGTACTATAGCTCCGCTCTCTTGTAGTTATCCATCGGATGGTGGAGCAATTAGTGCCAACCATGGTATTTACGACCAATTAGTAGCAACATGCGGATTGGGATAAATAAATACAGCTCACAGGTGTAAGAATTTAACTTATCTGCCGTATAGTAAATGATATGATTTATTTCTGCACTCCATATTCTTCCAACACAGACCATTGGATCGGACGCCTGCAGCATGTCGGCAGCTACCGCGATTAATAGGGAATTAGGACGGCCAGTGAATGAGAGTAGAATTCATGACGGAATCAGCTTGACGACGATGTTAAGCAGGCGGTAGATCCACAATAAAGTACGAGGTGAATAATAGCTCTGTTATGAGGCGATTGGCCATGCTGTACTTTCCACCGGTTACTGGTCAGGGCCTTTTCCAAAACCACTTATGGGCACTGCTCACTAGACTGGGAAGTTCCGGACAACTGAGACAATACGCATTGATCCAATGCTAATGTGCGGTGAGACTACTAAGTAACTCACAAAGTCATATATATAGTACTCAGACATCCTTAAAAGCTATACTAAGATGTCCTGCCTGGCTTCAGGGACAATCCTAGATGACTCGTGGATGACAAATACGTGAGATGCTTGAGTAACTCGGTTTGGTACTGTGAGAAGTCTCAAATGTATAGATACTAAAATTCATTCCTTTGGAATGAGCTCCGTTTTGGTTACAAATGGAGCATGATGATATGCAGCTATGCCAAATCCATTATGTCATATATCCTAGATAGTAGTGCTTCAGTGGGAGCAATGTTATTGACTGGGACAGTCCTGAAGAAGGTATGATTTGAGGCAGTAGCAAAAGGGCAATGCCAGCATGTGCCTGATTACGAGGCTGCTTCAGCTGCTAATCACAGGGATAGAGGGTGTTGAAGAGAAGGTGAGCTCACCGTGCAGGAGCTGGTGTTACCCCGGATCCTGCCAGTTGCTTCCGAGGCAATGAATCTAAGTTAGTCTTTGATGTCGATTGATCTTGTGTTACTCGCGGCGAATGTGAGGATTTGCCTTGCAGACCAGGAAGGGGTGCCAAGTCGCGATTGGTTGTTGACGGCATTGTCCGACTGGCAACCGGGATATCTCATCAACAAAGTGTCATACACTGAGTGCATTGTCTCTCTTGTGACCGTTTGTCAAAGTGAAAGTAAACTATGACACCTTTGTTGTCTTTGACAAGAGGTTTATCTCACTTATACTTGATGGAGTTTCCGAAGAAGGAAGAGGCTATTGCCCTGCCATACGCGCCATATGCTGCAGGCGTTCACATATGGTTTGAACGGGCCAGTATATCAATACCACGGCACCGCTGCATAATGAACAGGGAATCGGTAACTTTAATTGATCTATGAATGCGTGCTGACCGCCTAGTCGTGCATTGAATCGCAAATATGGGGAATGTGTTATCGAAGTGGCTCGCACCCCAGCCAGCAGGGGAAAGTGAGAAAAGGGCCGGGTTGGGGCCTCCAGAAACAGCCACGCCGCCCAGCCCAGAGCAGACGCCGATCCGCATCGACCCTCCCCAAATGTTGTTAGCATCACCCACAGAAAAAAGTAAGTCGTCTTGCTTCTCTTTTAGTTGTTGATTGCCTGTCAAGTTTGGATTTATTTTTTTGAGGGTTGCTCCATGCTCTCTTGTTTCTCCATCGATCCTTAAGTTCCTTTTAATTTTTTTTTTTCACATCCACTTCCCAACCCCACCAATCCCGAAACTTGACCAAACCTGTCAACGCGCGCCCGGGTAAAATCCCTGGTTGAAAAAAAATCGCGAACAGACAGGATAGTCAGTCAATCAGACAAGAGGGAGGGAGAGAATTGAACACTTGCTTTCCCGCCGGCAAAGAATCTGGCCAAGCGGAAGTTCTTTTCCAACCCAATCCCATTCCATCCAATCCAATCCAATCCACCTCTCCCCTCTTCGAACTAAAAAATCTACTGTGTACTCCTACTGCTACACCCGCAAAGTGAACGGACTGACTAAACGTTTTCGTTCCTTTTGCATCGCTACTCTTCTAGGTTCTTCCCTCCACATCCTCCCATCCTCTTCCTCCACCCACCCCCCCGGTCTGACCAACACCAATCCAGTGTCGAGCTCAGTTTCCAACCCATCTACCGTGCTACCTCGAGCTGCCACGAAACGTGCGCAGCTCACCGTCACGACGTCTTCCACAAAGCGCCGTAAAGTAGCAGAGCCTCGCAGACCAGGATCGCTTCCGGGTTTGTCGTTCGCCTCGCAGGCCGGAAGACGTCACGGCCATTCCTCCTCCGACAAGGCCTCGCCCTCGCGCTCCTCCCGTCACCCTTCCTCTCCTTCCCGATCGCATCGCAGCACTCAGAGCTCCTCGGCTTCACCGCCTCCCCGCTACATTCCCGCCCATCTGCAGGACGAAGTCCTCGCCTCCAAATCCCAGTCCACCGCTCGTTCCCCTACCCCGGACTCCGCTGGAAGTGTCCTCGACTATCCCGCGGCCGCCTGCGCTGGTCTGACCCTCCACAGCGACCCTGCGACCGATATGTCCGGCTCTGACGACAAGGGAGACTCGAACCTCCCGCTTGCCGGGTCCGATGCTCGCGAAACCTCCGCCTCGGAGAATGAGGTGAACGATGTGGAGATGGACTTGGTTCCGACAGAAAAGGACAGCCAGACCCGTTCCGACCACCCGGATTCGATGGAAACCACGACATCGGGCGATGACAACGTAACCAACTCGGCGTCGGATAGTGTGTATCCCACTCCTTCCAGCATGTCCACCTATACCGCCCCCACAGAGACCCGGGCCCATTCTAAAGCAGAGGCCGGGGTTGCGTCAGCTGATCGACCATCTTACGATGACCAGGTCGCACAGGTGACCCAGTTTATGATGCAGCCGATGAAGGAGAAACAAAAGGGATATGTGGTGTCGAATTCGTGGCTGAAGCGAGTGTACTCGCGGAGTGCTACTCATGCAGACAAGGCTGATAAGACGGCGATGGAGGGAGATATCGGACCAGTCGATAACTCGGATATTGTTCTGGTCACCGACCCGGCCAACACTGGTTTCAAGGACGAGGAAGGAGAACCCTTTGTTCCTTTGAGGCCTGGCTTGGAGCTTGGCGAAGATTTTGAGATTATCCCTCAAGGGGGCTGGGACCTGATCATGCAGTGGTATGGTCTGGCAGAACAGTCCCCGGCCATCGTCCGTTACGTTCACAACACCGCCGCCGTAGGCGACCAGGAGAACCTCCAATACGAGATCAACCCTCCGATCTTCACGATCTTGAAGCTCACGAACCCCTCTGCCGGCACTTCTATCAAGACGATGAAGGAGAAGACGATGGCCCCAGTGAGGACACTGGCCAGTCGACACACCAACTTCCAGAAGTGGCTGAAGAACGCCAAAGAACTCGCTCAAATCGACATGTCGACGAAGGTTCGTGTTTGGAGGATTCTGGGTGGTCTCGGTAGCGCCACCGCATCGGCAGCAGCCACCCCAGCTGCATCCCGCAGTGCTTCTCCAGCTCCGTCCGCCTCCCTCATCGCCAACGCTGGAAGCAACCTCGTTCTCGACCTGAACACCTTCCTTTCCCTGTCGGAGGGGTCGCAGCGTGAGGTACTTGACGAGCCGAAGGACCAGACGAACAATCCCAACTACAATGGTAAAATGACTCTGGGCGTTGCGGGTCTCAACAGCAGCGAAATCATCGTGCTGGAAGAGAAGCTCCCTGGAACGAGCGGAGAATGGGTATCGGAAGCCTCCAAGCAGACACTTAACCGTCTGGGGGTGCCGTCCGGTAGCCTAAAGAACGGAGCTCCCGCAAAGGTGAAGACCAAGAGTCCTGCTACCAGCGGGCGATCGTCTCCGGTCTCAGAACCCATCAGGGGTCGACGCAAGGACGGGAAACCCCGCGGCTGCACTGGTTTGAGCAATCTTGGAAACACTTGTTACATGAACTCGGCCCTGCAGTGCGTTCGCAGTGTCGAGGAATTAACCTACTATTTCTTGAGTGCGTCAGACCTCCGCCCTAAGAAAATGTACTCCGCTAATTATCTATCTAGATGACGTTTACAAGAAGGACCTCAACCCCAGCAATCCTCTAGCTCATAATGGTGATGTGGCTAAAGCATACGCGAATATGTTGCGTCAGATGTATGATGAGGCAGGACAATCTTCGTTTGCGCCCCGTCAGCTGAAGCACACCATCGGCCGCTATGGACCGGCCTTCTCCGGTTACGGACAGCAGGATTCCCAGGAATTCCTTCTCTTCCTTCTGGATGGTCTTCAGGAGGATCTGAACCGTATTATGAAGAAGCCCTACATTGAAAAGCCGGACTCGACGGACGAGATGGTGCATAACAAGGAAGCTCTCGCAGAGTTTGCGGACAAGTGCTGGGATATCTACAAAGCCCGTAACGACTCCGTCATTACCGACCTCTTTGCTGGTATGTACAAGTCGACGCTGGTCTGCCCTGCTTGCGACAAGGTCAGCATCATTTTCGACCCTTTCAACAACCTGACCCTTCAGCTTCCGATCGAGAATCTCTGGGGTAAAGAGATTTTCTACTTCCCTCTCAACAAGAAGCCGGTCCTTGTCGATGTCGAAATCGACAAGAACGCCAGTGTCAAGGCGCTGAAGGAGCAGGTCGCAAAGAAAATGGGAACCGACCCTGAGCGCCTCGTGATGGCTGAGATCTACAAGAACAAGTTCTACAAGATGTTCGACAACACGAGCTCGATTGCGGAGTGCCAGATCAGCGGCAACGACGACATTGGTATCTACGAAGTCGAGTCAGTACCTACGAACTACAACCCCGACAAGCCCCAGAAGAGCTACTTCTCCTTCAGTCGCTCGGATCATGAGGAGATCCCCAGTTTGGACTCGCCTCGATCTGACCGCTTGCTCGTCCCCATCTTTAACCGAGTCGAGAAGAAACGGGGAAACAACCCCAAGAATGCGCAACGGTCGCTCTTCGGAGTTCCATCGTATGTGGTCATCAATCGGGAGGAGTTTGGGGACTACGATACGATCTTCCGCAAGGTCCTGTCGCAGGTCGCCTCGATGTCCACCCGTGACTTCCTGAATGAGGAGAATACGACCGAGGTCAGCCATGAAGACTCAGACACCGTTATTATGAACGAGGATGATGCGGAGTCGGCTGACTCGAAGATCAAGACTGCGTCCGTTGACGGCGAGGACGGCATGGTCGATGTCTCGATGCGTGACGCGGATGACAGTTCAAGCGACGCCCCAGCCCGCTCCGAAAGTGCTATTTCCCCTAATTTGCGCGGTCTTTTCGAGATGAAGATCATCAAGTCGAGTAGCGAGGTTGTTCCCACTGGGTGGTCAACCGTGGATGACCACAAGGAGTATCCGAAGATGTCATTTAGAATCAAGACGCCGGTGAAGAAGCAGAAACAGGTAAGTCGTTCTCTTTGTTTTCATTTGGAACTTCCACTAAACGATGGTCAGTCCGTGGACAGCACGAATGGCACGGAGCAGAAGGATGAAGAGTCCGGAGATAAGAGCTCCGACAGTGCCAGTGGTGAATCGGCTTCTAAGCCTAAGGCTCAGGACCGGCCGATGATCCGCCCCGGTGAGGGTATTGTAGTGGACTGGACTGAGCAAGCTCATGACGCTCTCTTCGCTGGAAGCAGTAGAGACAAGAACTCCCTGCGTGGGGCGCCGACATGGACGGACGTCGAACGCGTGCCTGACCCGGAACTGAGCAAGCGCCGTACTCTGCGCCAAAACCGGAAGAAGCGGGGCGTGACGCTCTACGAGTGTCTGGACGAGTTCAACAAAGAGGAGGTCCTTTCCGAGAACGATGCTTGGTACTGTCCCCGCTGCAAGGAGCACCGTCGGGCCAGCAAGAAGTTCGAGTTGTGGAAGACACCGGACATTCTGGTCATGCACCTCAAGAGGTTCAGCGCCAGCCGCGGATTCCGCGACAAGCTGGATGTCCTGGTCGACTTCCCAGTGGAGGGCCTCGATATGACCGGCAGGGTCGAGGCGCCTGAAGAGGGCAAGAGTCAGATCTACGACCTCTTCGCCGTCGACAATCACTACGGAGGCCTTGGTGGCGGACACTACACAGCGTACGCCAAGAACTTTTTCACCGGGCAGTGGAACGAATATAACGGTAAGATCGCCTGAATCATAGACGTTTTGGACAACAACTGACTGGACTAGATTCTTCCGTCTCGCGCCCGATTGATCCGCAGAGTGTGGTCACCTCGTCGGCGTATCTGCTGTTTTACCGGCGCCGGTCCGACCGGCCGCTGGGCGGCAAGGTGTTGGAGGAGATCACGGAAGCGTCGACACGGCCGAACAGCGACGTGGACTCGCAGACCGAGTCTCGCGGACAGTCTCCGTCGGGGGAAGGCCGGCGCCTCGGCGGCTCCTCCCGCAATGGGTCGTCGAGCGCCTTAACCGGAGTCGGAGCAGCTCACCAATCGGGAGATGGTGGTTTGCCAACTGGAACCCAAACGAAGAGCGGGGATGATGACTGGCCGCCGGGATATACCAACGTCCCATCATTTGGCGAGCAGAGCCTAGATCGCGCGACGCAATCGGAAGGTATGAATTTCGAAGATGAGGAGATTGGCGGGGGCATGCAGCCCAGCCCGTTCCGCCCTCAGGACGACACACCCTCGTGGTCGTTCAGTCGCGCCACAGATGCTCACGGCCCTTCACAGATGACCACAGTTCCAACTGACGACGAAGATCTACTCGACGATGACGCGAGCAACCAGGCCGTAGGCGGCGGCGATGTCAGCGACCCGGACCTTCGGATGGCCTCTTTGATGGACAGTCCACGCGGGGCCGCCTACCCAGGTACCCCGATGGAGGAGACGTCATTCCCGGACATTTCGGCATTTGCAGCGGACGGTGACGATGACGAGGAGGATGAGTTGCCGGTGGTAGAACTCCAAGTGCATGATGAAGACCAGACACTGCCGTAGACAGGGGGGATGATTCTCCCAATCTCTCTTACTGTCTTTTGGAAATGTGCAACGAATGATTACAGGTGTTTAGATCGCCCGACAGGGGATGGCGATAATGATCTTTCGCAGAGTGGATGATGATTTCGAGGAATGAAGTCGACGACCCTTATAATAGCCATGGTGTTTTGTTTTACTACGCAGCCCGGGAATAGAGAGGGCCGTGGATGGTTGCATGCATTTTTACGGGATCGGATGGCGGGTGCCGTCCTGCATTACATGTATTTTCGGAGCAGTTGGAGATGTTATAACAAAAAAGGTGTGTTGAGTGAGATGATGTTTTGCGGAGGGATGATATGGGGATGAGTGAGTGTATGGTTGAACCACGTGGGAGGTCATGGCGAGTCACACGCTTGTGGCAGCTGTCATGCGATGCCGCAAATGCGAGGCTACTGCTAAATATATACTACTTTCATACCAGCCGGCCATAGAATTCAAGATTATGTGGTCTTCATATCGTTTCTATAGTGCTCGGTTCTCTAATGTAAACTGCGTTAATACTTATCCTTATGCAATCCTGACAAACTAGTCAATCACAACGAGTAAAGTATTATTCCCGACAGCCTCGCCTGCCTAATCCGTTCTTTCGATCCGTCAATCTGTCCTGCTCTGCTTAGATTCCCCTCCCTGATGTGCTTACTCTTATCCTTCTCTCAACTACTACCTAGTCCTCCAGCGGACAGACACATAGTCTTCAGGCTGACATCTTCAACACACCCTCTTCCTCTTATAATCAATCCAACTCGTCTCTCCTACCCTCTTCTCATCTCAAACTCAGCCAAGCCAGTTTTTAAACTCAACCCACATAATCTCGAAACCCAAAATGCGTCCACCGATGGCACCATCAGAAGCACAGAAGCCCAACAATTCCCCAAACGGATCCGCATCTACATCCACCACGAACGTGAGAAGAAAAGTCCTGATGGAGTTCTCATCCCTCCATCCGTGCTCTGCATCGATGGATGATGATGATGAGGATAATAGTATACAATCATCGCAAGAACATACCGAATCCTCCCCGGGGATGCATCCAATCTCGCATTCACACTCTCATCCATTGTCATCGTCGTCGTCGTCTTCAACACCTACTCAGACGCAGACTCGATCCGTCGATCATGCTAATCGGAACTACGCGAAGGGCCCAGAACACGAGTCAACACCCACAACCACCGCCCCCAGTATCACAGCTAGATTCAGATCGAAATCAAAGTCGAAAGCTACGACTGCACATGTTAACTTCCTTGACGAAGAGATCAATGAGCCTGCTCCATATACGATCACGAACGGGAACAGAAGTACAAAAGCCGATATGAATACAACTGAAGAAAGAACCACTCTTGGTCCTCGCAGCCGGGATCTCTCTCTTAGTGAGAGTGAAATCAGTCTGCTCGATTTGGGTCCGAGTCTTGTGTATGGGGATGATGGGTATATTCCCTTGTCTGGGGGTAGATTTGGGCATGGGCAGGGTGGTGGTGTTTCGGTGGTGGGGAGGGGAGGTGCAGGGTTTACACCTGGAGTGAGGGAGTAAGCATAGCTCGTTGGTGGTTCTGTTGTAGATGGATGGAGTTTATGGTCTCTTATTCGGTCGGGTCTGTGGGATAGAGGAGTTGTTCCGGTTTGTTAGAATAGTGTAGAGTACGTTGCTTTCCTTCTGCTTCTTTGTACTATGGAGATGAGTATTCGCGGTGTTTATAGTTGAATGATTCTAATTCAACGTGAGGTATTACATGCAATTATGCTCTATATACTTATGATCTATACAATAGTATCCACTATAACAGAATACTACCAACTTCAATACTCACAGTGGAACCGGCCACCCATCCACATACTTCAAATAATTATATCCCAGCCGTGCTTCCTAAACCACCATTAGCCCACATCAATACCACCCCAAAGATAAAAACATAAACATACCTTAAACTCATACCCCACAGATATATTCACTGCCACACCCATATTAGCACCAACCGCCTCTCCCAAATCAACGAAAACAATTCGATTGAAAGAAAGGGGAGAGGAACTCACAATAATGATAATAAAGCACATCTCCCTCCACCTCCCCACTCAACACGCCCTGTCCCCCAGGCGCATAAACATCCCCATTCGACCCATACACAATCTCCCCTCCTCCATCCACTAGATCTTTCCCTTCTTTATCCACGAATGGACCTTGAGGAGAACTTGATCGTCCGACGCGGATGCTGTATCTATTTCATACAATCTTCATTAGCTTATCACTTCATTGCCTCTCAAATCAACAGGAATAGATGATAGCTATCGATAAAGGGGAGAGGAGGAAAAGAAGAAGGACATACTCAAGACCAGCCCTCGGCAACTTCTCCGGATCAAAATGACAGCACTTCCCCCAACTAAACCACAAATACCACCACGGCTCATGATAGGATATAAACGCTCCCTCGATGGGATGCATGCCCGTCGTATCGCCACATAATCCATCTGCTTTTTTGGTTGGTGGGTGGATGGCTGCGGGCTCGTGGGCGAGATGTTTAACCCTTTCTTCTTCTTCTCCCTGCTTGTCCATATGAAGCAGATTAGGCTTCAGCGGGACTTGCCATATTCCCGTCCAGAAACTGCCGAAGGTCATGTATCCTTTCCCTTTTCCTTTATTTCCCTTTTCTAGAGAGATCTCTCCTTCGGAGGGTTCGGTTTGGGCCTGGGTGTCAGTATAATCAACAACAACACTAACATCAATCGCATTCGCCCTATCAAACGGAAACTCCTTCGCCCTCTCCCCTCGTCCGGAGATTGCTATCGCCCCATGGTCCTCCCATCCCCCAGGGCCCGGAGTAGTAGAGGTAGCCACGCCGATAGCGCTATCGCGACATCCACTATGGCTCGTCGCGTAAAAGACGTAGAAGGTACCGTCGTGGACGAGGGCGGTCGGTGCCCATGGGGCTTTGCGATCACCCTTTGGTAGGATGCTATCTGCGTCGAGGACGGTGCCGACTTTGGTCCATGGTCCTTGGAGGGTCGGGGCGGAGTGGATGGGGATGTGAGGGCCGGAGCCGTAGGCGTAGTAGGTGTTTGTGGGCAGGTCGTAGAGGATGCTGGGGTCGTGGATGTGCAGGGGAGGGATGGTGGGGTTGGTTGGGGGGTAGCCGTAGATGGATTTGTATGAGTCTTCTGGGGAGGGAGGGAGGTCTGGGTCTGGGAGGTCTGGGGTTTGTGGGATAATGGAGGGTTGGAAGTGAATGTAGAGGGCGTAGAGGAGGATGGAGAAGACGGTGAGAAGGGAGAGGGATTTGATTATGCGACGGAGTGTATATGGTGATGGGGAGCTGGAACTGGGGTCTTTGGGGTTGGTGATGAAGGTCCATAGTTGGGACCAGTTGGGGGTCATTGTGTGGTGGTGAGAGGGTGGCTCATTGCTTGGTTGCTTATTCCAGGATTGATAAATGTATGCTCAGTGCATGTGAGAGCGCCAACTGGTGAGGATGTTGCAATCCAGGATGGTGATGATGCGATTTCCAGGATAGTAACTGAAAGAGGGGTATGGCAGCACCCTGTATCCTGGCAAGTGACACTCGACACTTCAATTATTCGTGGCCCGATATCATGAATAGATGATGTAGGTCTTGGCGAACCCCTTCCTGGTGGTTCTCATCTACATTTCCAATTAGTCTCGCTCCTGTGCTTCTGCGGGAAATAACTTACATATCTGATGCTAAAATCACTGCAGAAAGCCAACTGCATAACGAGAGCAGTCAGCGCTAGCGGAGTGGACGGGGGAAGGGAGTTCAATAAATATCAGGAAGAATTGGCCCGTCCGTTCGGCGTTGATCGTCGATCGCCCCCAGTAAGACAACGGGCCAATCAGCGGGACGGCATGTGATGCCGTCTCAGCTAAAGTGAGGTGCCAGGATCGACATCAACTACTTTGTAGAGATGGAGAATCTGGCCTCTATTCATTTACATCCACTACGTGGCCATGAACTTGGGAACATCCAGAGTTCAGTTGATCTTATTGCGGGTAGAAATTACTTGATCATGGCAGTTCAAGTAGCCGGAACATCATTATACGCATCAATAGCATACAGGGTACTGGATCAACGCATGACAGTCTTAACCAGCTCATCAGGATCTCCTCGTCATCAATTGGCAGCTGGATGTCATGCAAAATACAAGCCAACGCCCTCGCTCCATACCCTTTAACATAGATAGATATCCTACCTAACTACAATCTTGTCCACCTCATCTTTGGCCTCCGTCCACGTTTCCAGATTCTTGCGCGCCCAGTCCAGATGGCACCGTGCATATGCAACCTGTCCAGTCAGCTTGATTCTCGATTCCCGAGAGGAGATCAGTATAGACTTACCATGTACCGCCGCAGATCCATCTCCTTGTCCTTCTGGAATCGCTTCAGATCCTGCAACACTCCCGCACTGGCATCTTTGACATCCTTTTCGGACACCCCAAGTGCTTGCTCCAGCTGCACCAAACTCTCTTTTGTCTTGCCGATCTGGTCTCGACGGGTTCGCTCCGGATCAACATCCACAAAGCCGTGGACCGCGTGGCTGATCCGACCGAAGATTTTGTTCGCCACAAAGGTCCCACTAGACGTCTTGCGATGCGCCGGCGATGCACCTCCAAAGTCCGGACGCCGCTGTGCCGTTGGAGGCGGGTTAGAATTGATGGAATCGCCGTGCGTGGGAGGAAATTCCGATTCGACTGATGCACCGTCTTCAGAACCAGCTGGACGGGCTTCACCCTCGGTGCCTCCTGGCGCACTGACGGCCGACGATGCGGACAGAGACCGCTGCGTTCTCGTGGCCCCTCCTGGGGGCGAAGTCCGATTGAGGTACTGCTCAATTCGTTTCGCCTCCATTTCACTGCGCTCCAAAGAGTCGAGCAGCGTCTTCTTCTTGGCCAGCTCGTCTCGCGTCATCTCTTCCTGCACTCGTTTGAGAACACGATACCGTAGAACACTGCGCACAACGCTGGCAAACTGGGCGCTTTCCCTCATCGGTTCAGCGAAGCTAGCACTAAGTTGCGATGACAGCTCCTCCGTCTCAATGTAGGAAGTATCAGCGGCTTGACCGACCCGTTCGATGGCCGCTGCCACGGTCGGCGAAGGCTCTGATAGGGAGAACCCGTTATACCGTGCCCCAAGCTCCATCAGATCGGCCGACAAGGATGACAGATGGGCCAACGTGCGACGATTGACCTTTTCAATGTTCCCTTGCAGAAGCAACTCCAACTCACGCGTAGATGCCTCGAAATTGATAAAGTACGGATCTAGCTCCTTTTCACTCAGCTTCCGTGACTCTGGCGGGAAGCGACCGAGAACATCAGGCCCGGGCGTTTCTGGAGCGGGAGCAGGCGCAGGCGCAGCGCCTCCCGCAGACTTGAGCTTCGCGGATGACGATGGCACTGGTAGCCAGGCATGAGCGGGGGTGGGATTGGCGGGGTCAAGCGGAGGGGCCTTTAGATTATTCTTCGGCACGGACGATGCGGGATGGGAATGTAGGACCTCGCTCTGAACCAAGTCAGTATACTACAGCTAGCAGTCGAGCTATCGTCACACCTACCCAGCTAACATTGGGGTCCAAAAACCGCCACCAGACTCCATCCTCACGAACCTCCTTCATCCGGCGACAACGATTCAAAAAGACGGCCAGCATGCGTTTGCGGAGGTCGATTATGGCGGTGTCTTCCTTCGCCTTGGTGGGCTTGGCGGCATAATCGGCCATGGTATGTTTCTCGGGGATGGGCGGGATGACGAGGGTCGGATGAAGGTTGACGAGGGTTTGTCGCAGCGACGCGAACTCAGAGTAACGTCTGCGGACCTCGAGATCCTAGAATCCATTAGCACAAGTACCGATGCAGCTTCGATGATCGTTTTGACATACTCCAGTGCGTATTGTGTACACAATGAAGCTGCCGCCGCCTTCGTGGTTCTTCCCAGCGTCTGTGATGAGGATCGGCATCTCCGGGTTTTCGTAAAGAATCTGCTCTATCCGACTATCATATACACTTTTGCGGAGGTAGCCATGGCCAGCTTGTTGGGTAGCATAGTCTGGAGCCTCGTCTTCGTCGCTGAGGTCCTGCTGCTGTGAGAGGAAGTCGGGGGGATTGTCGGTAGATGATCGGCTGGAAGGAGATGGAGGGGTATATTCGCGGTCATAGAGAGCTGCAAAGATCAGAAAACACAGCTGGATAATTGATGGGTGGGAGATGGAGATCGACCACTTACTAGGAGAAAGGGTGGCCGAATGCAGCGACTCGGAGAGATGCGCCTCGTTATCGAATGCGCCGTACGGGTTGTTATCCTCGTCGTTCCACATGGCGTCGGGGGCTGATCAAGCAGCCTAGATACTGAGAGAGTGGGTATGACAGATCAAATCATGAATCAGACAGGAGGATTAGAAAGCAAAGGCTAAGTTCACGAGACTAGGGACAGAAACAGGGAGGACAGGAGGAGGGAATGAGCTGGGGAATCCCGAAGGCATCGCCGGCTCTCTCGCGGGGATCAACGTCACCGCCTCGGGCGGCCGGCAGCGACCATCTCCGTCGCCTTAAATTGAACTATCAACACTACAGGCTATTTTGCACACTTCACCTCCAGATTATTCCACAGCTGTCCTGCTACCATCCACTCTCTGGTTCTGCAGGCTCCTCGTTTGTCTCCGCATTCGTCTGCTGCAATGCTGCTGTCAACGCATTAGGATCCACTCCTCCGTGCTGCTGCTGCTGCTGCTGGTAACCTTGCGTATCATAGGTGCTCCCTCTATTGGAAGCCGGCTTGTCATCAGCATGCCAGCTCTTCACTGAACCCCGCTTGACACCCCCAGATGCAACAAATGGCGGATCGGGCGGTGGAGCCCATCCATTATCCGAAGCCACCTTACTAGGAGGTTGAGGTTGAGGAACAGCCTCCCACTCGTCCCGCGACGGAGGCTTATTTGGCACTTGAGCAGCCGGAGTCGGTGCAGCAGGCGTTGCACGCTTACTGGGAGCACGCTTGCTGCCACGGGATGAAGGTGCAGGGGCCCACTGCTCCGGCGTTGGAGGCTTGTTGCTACGTGCAGGGGGCACAGAAGGCCACTCCTGCCTCGACGCAGGCTGACTGATATGGCGTATCGAATTACCGCCACGAGCAGGTGGGGGAGGCCGGGGTGGCGGAGGTGAAGATGGAGGTGGTGGTAACCGCCGTGGAGGTGCAGGAGGTCTTTGGCTGCTAGGTTGAGCCGGCGTCCTTCTACCTTTTTGCCAGTGTCTCTTTCCGCCTCTTTCTGCAAGCTCTATCTTCTCGTGGGTGGTTTGGCGTTGGCCCGTCGGAGTTCGCTCGAAACGGTTGTTGTGGTAGCTGGCGCGCAGACTGTGTCGCCACCAGAGTGTGCAAAGACAGACCATTACTGCAATGAAGAGGACCATGGCGGCCAGGATCACCACGATTACAACGTTAGGTGACATGGTTCGTTAGGCTAACGAGTGGTGTTAGTCATGTTGTGGCTTGTAGGTTGGATGGATTCATGCCTTCGTTGGTCATGTCAATCTCGAACTGTTGGAAGGTAAAGAGTAGACGACGCGTTGCATCCTCATACAGTAGTGTTATCAAGAGATGTAAGTGGCAGATGAGCGTAAACAAATCGCCCAAATGGATGCCATGACAGTGAATGTAGCCGGCTAATGTAGTGATGGTTTGCACCACAGGAAGAAACAATCGAATTCTAATAGAAGCGTAAATTCATCTCTATACTTTTGTCTATCCATATTCATCGATCATGACAACTCCAATGCAGCCTGTATCCGTGAGACCCAATCATCATGCAGCAAGGACGCCTCCCCAGAAGCAAGCAGTGCCTGAAGCTTCTCCTTCAACACCTCAACCTGTCCCTGACCCAAAAGTCTCGACGCCGCAGAGTCCTTCGAGATCACAGCACCCGCAACACTGAAAAGCCGCACGCCCAGAGTGAACGTCTCAGGCTTCGAGGCCCAGCCCAGAAGCCCATCCTTTTCAGCCTCCTTCGCTAGAATCTCCCCAAGTGAGGACAGTCCGTTCGACGCCCAGCTGAAAAGCGCGTTGAGCGAGTCCTCATTGTAGGACGATTCGCTGAGTTGACGCAACCTTGCGGACCAAACATCTACTTCGCGGACATCGTCGATGAAGAGGTTCTGCTTTTCTTCTTCGAAGAGGATGGTGCTCTCCTTGCGGAGCTCGGAAAGACGGCCGAGGAAGGATATGAACTTAGGGGTGGCGCAGCTAAGTCTGGGCTCCTGGTCGGCGATGTACGCCATGGTCCGTTGGCAGAGGAGTCGTGAACTGGCGTAGTTCTCGGCAATGAACTTTGAAAGGAGATCGCTTGCGTTCAGAGGAGAGAGCGCAACTGCCTTTGTTGGGGAGACAGAGGAGCATGACAGGACCCAGGAGGCGGTCGATGCGGCAAGATCGCGCAGCTCCTCATCGTCGTCGTTTAGCATGTCGTAGAGAACCAGGTAGATCTCCAACAAGACACTGTCCGTGCGAGGTGGGCTACCCGCAGGGCGTAAGATGCGTGCAAATGCCGTGACGGATGAGACAGCAGCAAGACGCGTGGTGAATTCCTGTGAGATGTTAGCAGGACTCGATACAATGTAGAAGATGGGTTGAACGTACAGTCTCCTCTTGCATGGCAGACTGGAGCCGTGTGGCCCATTCCAGGATGTCGAGCTCTGAGCCCTGGCCGCCGGAGATCGTCTTCAGGGCAAGAAGACATCCTTCAAGAACCAATTCGGCGTCTGACCGATCCCTGTTCCATATATGCTCAGTGGAAGCGTGCTTAAGGTGCTTTTCCAAGGTTTCCCATGAGAGACCGATGTGAGCGACACTTTCATTATGGAAGTCGAGGACAAACGAGAGAGCAGATGCCAGGCATGTGATTGCTACGGCTTTGACTTCCTCGGGATACACACCCAGGATAACGGTATAATAAAGGTTAATCAGAGCCTGTCTGTACTGGTCTCTCTCACCGAGAATCTCCTGGATGCGCTCCAACAACCACTGACCAGCATTGGGGTCGAAGCGCGAAATAACACCGAGAAGTGGCTCAACTTCGGATACTTTGTCCGTAATGAACATCTGCAGGACAGTGACCCATGAGATAGCCCGACGGAGGAGAGAGGGAGCGCGTGTAGTGCTTAGAGTTTTCCAAGAAGGATGCGAAGAATCGAACAAGAACTCCCGAATGGCGGCGAAAGCATAAGTCTCGGAGAGATAGTTCAGCATCGTAGCCATTTGTCCTGCAACTGTTAGCGCGAGTGTCATCGCAATTCGTATTTGACTTACCTTCTGCTCCCGATTCTATGCACTTTTCGATGACATCGCCAAGAATCTCCAACAGAATACTGGCCACGAATGGAGACTCCGCATATGGGAAGGATGCCGCGAAAACGTCTTTCAAGGTAGACAGCACCTCATCAACGTGCTCTGAATAGTGTTAGCAAGGTCAATGAATTCAAGCAAATTCAAGAACATACCGTTCCAGAAAGAGAGCGAGCTCGAGGCAAATCTCCGAAGGGAGTACTTGATGCAAAGGGCTTCTCCGTGGAGATAGTCTTGCGTCTTCGCGTCTCTGTTATCATCTAACAACGCCTTGATGCTGGTCAACACATCTGAACGGTTCAACAACGAAGCATACACTCGGGCTGCATGTTCCCTGATACCCCACACGGGGCTCTTGAATTGTTCTCGGACAAGTCCACGGAGCACATCGTCATCAACTCCAGTGACATTCGGGACCTTCTCTGCGATGAGCTCCAAGGCCGGGAAAACACGCTCCGTAACCATAGCGTTATCGCCGTCATCAGCACTGCTCTGATCCGAAGGGCTGAGAAGAGTCGGCAGGAGTTCAAACAGGCCGGGATACTTCTGGAAGGAAACTCTGGCACCTGGTTCTGAGCCTGAAGCTCCACCGAATCCTAGTCCAGTACCGGTGCGGCACATGCGCGTCAACAACGCACGGAACAGCATCAGTCCGGAGTTGCGGAGGGCCCATCTGGAATAGTCAGCATAGAGAAAAGACGCAGCCGTAGATAGTACATACATAGGCGACCCCAGCCGTTCGGCGGAGAGCCTCAAGGCAGGCATGATGAAAGGCTCCGTGTGAGGACCAAGCTTGTTGTTGGTGAAAATGTCTTTAAGACAGTTCATCGCATGCACCTGTGGCAATGGTACGTCTTGTCTCGACTTATCGTGTTCCGCAGGCAAATGGGATATTTCATGCAGCTCGTTGATAACTGTTTGGAAGAGCGGACCGCCAGGCTTTGACGAAAGGATACCGACAATCAAAGCTGGGAGACCAGCTGAGCGACGAGTAAGTTTCGAAGCGGACTCGAAGATGATCTTCTTCGCTTCCTGTATGATGGGTGAGCTTTGATCGTTTGGTTAAGACGAAGTGCTTACCTGGTACCACCGACTAGGCAGCGCAGAAATCTCCTCGCTGGTTGACTGACCGCAACGCTGACAGCAAGTAGCAAAGGTCTGAGACACGGTCGAAAATGCGCCTCTGTGCCGGAGTTCAGCGAGCTGGATGAAGCTGAGTGTTCCGATTTTCTCAAAATTCTCGACCGTCAACCCAGACTCGCCTTGCGGGCCGTACGTTTTGTTGGACAGCGAGGCATGCAGGAGAAGACTATAGAATTAGTACCACCATTTACTCTAGCGCAAGAGGCAGCATACCTTGATTCGCGAAGAGCGCGCCATGAGTAAGACAGGATATCCTTAGGACCGACACCAAGCTCTTCGATGGGCTCATCCGTATGGCCTTCAGGTGAGTCGATGCAAAGAACAGGCTTGACCTCGTTCCAAATTTTGTCGCAGACTTGCACGACCCTGAGATGGATTGACTTCCAGTTGTCATATGAAGCTTCCTTGCTTGAGACAAACGAATAGAAATTGGGGGTCGCAATGATGTACCTGTTTTCTGTTAGCTCCACGGCGGGCATTTGCAGCATCGTAATTACCTCAGAGCGGATACATATCCGTGCAAAGGCGCGTCGCGCATAGACGAGTTAAACAGTCCGCCTGCAAGGGAGAGCTTTTGCTCCAACTTCTTCAGAAGCGTATCGACAACCATGGACTTGTTCTCCCACCAGCGTGCAGCGTCACTTGCACCATCTATGGCGGCTGCGCGGAAGAGGATGTGGTATAGACGCGCAACGGTGTCTGCAAAGTCGGCTCTGCTGGTGTTGCTTGCCAGTTGTTCGGCCTTTGCGAGACCTTCGATGATCTGTGGTACGCCAGCTTGCTTGTCGTTGTCGAATAGAACCTCGCGTGGGAAGAGGTTCAAAATGTAAAGCGAAGTAGCGCGAACCTCCTCAAAAGGATCGAGCAGAAGATCCACGAGCAGTCTCAGCAAGGTAGGCTCAAACACCTCCACGTTGCAGAGCCACTTTGTCTTAATACCGTCCGATGGGCTGAGTCGAGCATCGAGGCCGGATTGGAGGAAGAGTATCAAGGTCTTCAGCGCGGAGACGTGTCGAGGGTAAGAAGCCGTGGGGCGCAGGTCCGCCTTGAGGAAATCCAGGTACTGTTGCATGCACGCCCGAGTGGTGGTGTCGTTCCTAGCAAGCTTGGGCTGCTGCTTTTTGTTCGCTGGGGCTTTCTGCTCAGTCGAGCCGTCCTGATCCTCCAAGAGTCCACCCTTGAGTCGGATTATCAATTTGCGAATCATACTCAGGATCTCGCCTCTCGAATAGGAGTCTGACTCGGTATGCATAGATGGCAGTCCACTAAGAATAGCGTTCATTGTTGCAGAAGAGACTGGCCTTGTCGTAGATGGAGCAGTGATCAGCAGTGAAAGCGTTGCAATCCTAATAGTGATGTCGCGATGGAAGAGGAACTGGCCGATGGTCTCGCTCTTCAAGACGAGCACATCGGACTCGTTGGCCCCAGCCTTTGGGATATAATCTAGAAGAGGTAAGTCCATTGAACATCGGGCCCACCACACAGCGCATACTTACGATCTTCGTGGATAAGCCCAATTTTCTTGGCAATTTGCAACGAAGCAAATAGTAGCATGAACTCCGCCAGCGGCGCATCGCTCATATCGCCCGCCAGAAGACTGTCCAAGGGGAGCCGCTCAATAAACAACTTGAAGCCAACCGGATCATTCGCAAACGAAGGTTGGAGGACATAGTTCGACATATATTCCATGTTATCCAGGTTCCGCAATGACACATGGCGAACGGGAGCCACCCAAACAGACGTCAATTCCTGAGCGTTAGGCGAAGCCTTGACTTTCTGGAGAAATGCCGCTAAAGTGTCACCTGCAGAGGCAGCAAGCTCCGCCTTGGTAGCGCGAGCCAGCATTCCCAGGACCAGAATCTGAGCTGCTATCTGGTACGTATCCCTTCCAGAGTCCCTCTGAAGATACTGAGAGAAATCGATAGACAGAGCCTTGCAATCCTCCTTGAAAAGCGCCGTCCAATGCTCGTAGTGATTGACAAGCCACTGGTCGGTCAGCGAGACCAGCTCTAACGGCGTAATGGCACTCTTGCGGAGCAGCATCTCCAACGAGGCGAAAGATGCCTTCAGTCGAGCACGAGGCTCACCAAGGACGATGCTAGGGATGGTAGTCTCAACGATCTTCTGGCGGAGTGCTGACCGATCGAGCTCCTGACGGGTCTTCGCCAGCAGGGCAACCAGCGACTCCAGTACCTGCTTCATCGGCTTGGGCTTGACATCCTTGTACCTGGTCATGAAGACCTCGAATACAGATAGCCAAGTCTCATCGGAGCGGGCTAGCTGCCTCGTTCCCTCACAGGTGGAGGTGCGCGCGGCGTCCAAGAAGGCGCTGATTGCATTACACGCAGCAGTAGTATGCGGATGAGAAAGAGAAGCCGTGGAATATGTCTTCAGTAGGGACTGGAAGACTCGGCTCACTTTCCTTTGGGAATAGTCAGAATAGATTCATATTGATAAACCACTTGCGCACACAACAGACAACTTGATAAGCAACTGCTTGGAAACACTCTTACTCAATATCTTCACAAGAATTGGTGAACTTCACCAGCGGGCCTTTCCCGATGCGCACGAGTGTCTCCTCGGGCAAAAGTTCTATATTCTGCGATACTTGGTCCATTTCTGATAGTGGGAGCCCGGCATCCCCGGGGGGGCCAGACGCAGGATTACCGACCATACTTTTGATATTCTTACAAGTACAGCATGGCAACCTTAACGAGTGGGTTCAGATATCAACCATTTACAAGAGAAAAGAAAAAAAAACCCAAGCACGAGCCCGCCCCCGCGTTTCCAATCGCGACTTTTGCCTCTTGTGGATTTTCGAGAGCGGGTCTCCGAATCGGGTTAGTGTCGGGATAATGATAATCCCTATAAGCTCGGCCCAAACGAGGAATGTTCGATAACTGCCGGCCCGGAAATTCTGGCAGAAAGCTGGACCAAGTCACGGGGCTGAAGTTTTTGTTTCTCGGCCTGGAATTATTACTGTCACCTTTCTTTGCTCCGACGAAACCGCGCAGTCACCAGAACCTCAATCCCAATCACCCTCAAGCTCTCGGATTGTTCGCCAGTGTTCTGATATTCTCCTCTTCTCCTTTTTCCTTTCTCTTTTCCCTTTTCTCTCTCTATTCTCATCTGTGTATTCATATTCTCTATAACCAGTTTAATAACCCACCCACACCTTCCCGCCAATTCAACCACTTCACCTAGTCAACATGTCGAACATCTGGGACTCCATCACCGGTCGCAAACAATCCAAGGTCTCCGAGGCCACCGCATCAGCACCAGATGCTACCAGCTTCCTGTCCGATCTTCCCGACCCTTCTCAGCTCCATCCCCTCGCCGGCCTGAACCAAGATACCCTCGACTACATCACGCTCGAAGACTCCGCGCTCGACCAAACACCCGGATCGCGCTCTGTACTGCCCTCCCGCGGTTGGTCCGACGACCTCTGCTATGGAACGGGAACGACCTACCTTGCTGGTTTGACTCTCGGTGGTGCCTGGGGTCTGGCGGAGGGACTGAAGAAGACGCCCGTCACCGCTCCGCCGAAGATCCGCCTCAACGGTGCTCTCAACTCCATTACGAGGCGTGGACCTTTCCTCGGTAACTCGGCTGGTGTGGTTGCGATGGTCTACAACGGGTTTAACTCCGGTCTGGGCTACGCGAGGGGTAAGCACGATGCTGCTAACAGCATCGTGGCGGGTGCGTTGAGTGGAATGGTCTTCAAGAGTACGAGGGGTCTTAAGCCTATGGTGATCTCTGGTGGTATCGTTGCTGGCATCGCTGGTGGTTGGACTGTAAGTTTGCTGCCATTCTTGTTCTTGTTTAATTATCTTCTGCTTGAGCATATGACTAATATGTCGTGTCTCTCAACAGGTCCTGAGCAAGGCTATCCTGTAAACGCCTACAGCCGCCTTCACTCTCTCATAACTGTATTCTAGCCCTCGACTCGCTACCTCCACTCACATCGACTGAGTCAATCCACCTGATCCGTCCACGCGTTTCGGAATCCCCATATGATTGTATGGTATATGGCCTCTTCACCGAAGACAGAGACAAGGGACATCGGCCTGCCTGATGCCTAAACCTCTGTTTTGTTTTGTTTTCTCGCTGTATTAGAACGGTTTCTCCTTATACTTTTATCCTCGTCGACTCACACACATCTTCCCTCTGGCGTACAAAGCATCGTTTGTCGCATTACTTTACAGTCCATGGGTTCGGAACCGGCATGGCAATGGGTTTATTCTTTACTTTTTTTAGTGTTTATCTTCTGTACATATAGCGTGAGTTCTCCTATGGGGTTGCGGGTTAGTCTTTTCTTTGCTGGCGAGAAAATATCCGTTATTGCAAAGCAGGAAGCTAGCTTAGCTACCTTAAGTTGAAACCTTAATGTGAAATTAGGGAGTAACAATGAACAACAACTACTATCTTACCTATTATCCATCATCTAGATATAACACGCCACAACAACAGATTACCCCTCTAAAAGAATTCATATATCTCCCCACCACTACCATTCCCACCCGCAGATTCCAACAACCTCACCACTCCCTCAAGCCTCAACTCCCTAACTTCCTCCACCAATTTAACCCCAGACCTCCTCCCCAAATCCACCCTCACCCCAATTTCCACAACCAAGAACCTCACCACCCCCTCATGCCCATTCCTCGCTGCCACTCTCAGCGCCGTCATTCTCCTCATATCCATATGCTCAACATCCACATCCCCTCCACCAAGCCGGAACAACTCCCTCACTACCTCCGTATGCCCCTTCTCCGCAGCAGCGATCAGCGGCGTGCGGAGGTACCTGTCCGGCGCATCGGGGTATACCCGTCCGCTTTGCAGAAGAAATTGCACCATATCCAGGTGGTTGTTCTCCGCCGCGTGGACGAGGGGCGGTGTACCTACTATCCCTCCTATTTGAGCTCCCAAGTGCGGGTTTGTTGCTGTGTGCGCGAGGAGGGCCTCTGCTATGGCTAGATGGCCGTGTTTGGCGGCGTGGGCGAGCGGCGTGTCACCGTTGCTGTCCGGGAGGTTCGGGTTGATGGTTGGGTGGCCGAGGAGGAGGAGGGTTAGGGGGAGGTTGTTGGTTATGGTGGTGAGGATTAGGGGTGTGTATTCGGGTTCATGGTTCTGAGAAGAAGCAGAAGAAGAAGGGTGGTTTATGTCCACGAGGAGATGGGAGAGGAGAAGGTCTGTGGCGATGAGGTTGTTTTGCTCGATTGCCAGACATAATGGTGTTGTTCCTTTGCGGTCTGGGAGTTGGGGAGAGATGGTTGGGGTTTGGAGGAGCCAGATGATGGCTTGGGTGGCTTTGTGGAGGATGGCGCAGTGGAGGGGTGTGAGGCCTTGGGTGTTTTGGAGGTTGGGGTTTATGGTGGTGGAGGAGAGGAGAGCTTCGAGGGCGAAGGTAGTGTTGGTGATGCAGGCGATGTGGAGGGCTGATGAGCCGGTTTTGTTTTGCGCGTTGAGGTGATAGTCTGTGGTGCGGTTGAGGGCGGCGTGGAAGACGGTTTCGTTGTTCTTGATGATGGCATGCATTAGGAGTGTCGTGCCGCTGATGTCGCTGGTGTCGTAGCGGGTTCGATTGTCTTGTATGAGCAGGTGGATGATTTCATGGTTGTTGTGGAGTGTGGCGAGCATGAGAGGCGTGCTGCCTTGCTTGTCTGTGAGATTGGGGTCTGTGGTGCTGTAGGCGAGGAGGAGGCGCAGAATCTCTATGCGGTTCTTGATGACTGCTATGTGAAGGGATGCTCGGCCGTCGCTGTCTGGGATGTGTGGATCGATGTGATGGCTGTTGTTTAGCAGTGTTCTCACGATGTCTGTCTGTCCGTGGGAAACGGCTGAGTTAAGGAGGTATCGAGACTGGTCGGGGGTGAAAAGGGAGATGTCAGGTCTGCATTGCAATAAGCTCACTATATCTGCGTGTCCGTTGCCTGCTGCTGCGAATATTGGAGAAGTCCCGTACGTAGAGCGATTGATGTCGATGTCGGGGCGCTTCAAGAGCATTCGGACAATACGGGCTTTGCCCTGACTAGCAGCGGCCACCAGTGGTGTTGGGATGTTGCCTGTGCGTCCGGTGTCATTCAATTTGACTTCGCTGATCTGGAGAAGAAGGCGGACGACTTTTTCGTGGCCTTCCTGGATGGCTGCTAACAGGGGTGAGATGCCATGAGAGTCAGGGACATTGGGGTCTATCAGCCCGGAATGGAGCAGCAACTTGACCACATTTGCTCTGCCACTTCTTGCGGCTAGGAACAATGCATTCCTCTGCATAGGAGCAAGGTTATGAGGAGTCGCATTGTGCGCTAAGAGCATCCTCACGACTCGATTACATCCTGCTGCTGCTGCTGCATTGAATGCACTTCCAAACGGTCCATATCCCGGCGTAGTAGCAAGGGTAATGTAGTGTCGCAAACCCGGATCAGCCATCAACATTGTGTGGACAAACTGATCGGACCCTCTGTAGGCTGCAAGCTGGAAAGCGTCACCGAAGGCACCTTCTCGTTTTCTTCGATTGACACCACGTAGGATAAGCTCCTTAGCAAGATTGATATCGTTGTTGTAGGCCGCAGCAAACAAGGCATCCCCGAGCAAAGGATGGCTTGTATTCGCGTTTATGCCCCGATCCAGGGCTGATGTAATGATATTCTGCAAGCCCATCCAAGCTGCCAGAAGGAAAGTAATGCAGCTTTTGTCTTCATTCCACGACTCTATCCAAGGAATCACGGCAGTCTTGTAGTTCTGGAGCACCCAGTCCCGACCATTATATGTAGTCAGGGCGATACTAATGGCTCTCAAGCAACATCTTGTGGTGCATTTCTTGCGGTCAGTCTCACTTGCACATGTTCTTATATAGTTTCAAATCTTAGTAACTTGGGCCTTGAGTGCTCTATCCTGGCTTAAATATTCGAGTAGAACCCGGGACAAGAGTCGATTGCTGATGCGCTTGTCCACTGTTGTAATGTAGAGAAGGTTCACAACAATAACCTCATTCAAATACCCTATACATGATGCTGATTAGTACCCCAATTGAGCTAGTATCGACTATACCGTCCGGGAAAGAGAAATCATACGACAAACCATCCTCAGCTGCAACAGTTCCTCTAGACTGAGATAGCCCAGGAACTCCAGGACCACGTCCACGCAGAGATCCGTCAGACCCATGATTTCCGACTTCTTTGCAGGCCTGTATCGAGGCACACGCTGGACAGAGGAGGAACCAAATACTCTCCATTGCTATTTATATTCTCCCTAGGCATGCAGGAGTAGAATGGGTGGCTGATAGATGAAACGTGCCAAGAATGGAGATCAAACCGGGGAACTGTGAGGTTGTAGCTCGCTCTTGCTAAATAGTGTAGGGTTTAAGCATAGCATCGCTCATTGCGGTGAAATTACAATGTAGATCTTGAGCTGCCAGTGGGACGATCTTAATGTTTGGTGTTGTACTCTGGTTGTGTTGTGGTTATTGGTAGCGGATCGTAACTTGGTCTATATAAATATGAAATCTGCTGGTATGTGTGCGGAATTCGTGCTTCCTATCCAACACCACTGTAAGGCATGGGGTTTAACCAATTATTAATGCAGTGGAGCTTGGGCCAAGGCTCTGGCAAGAATAAAAAACGAATTGAGATCAACTGTGAGGTTCTTGTCTCTCCAGGTCGGGATCACCGGATCAACTAGTTCAGATATAATTATGCTGTTGTTGCGGAAGCTCGGGACGTCCCGAACGCGATAGGTTCGGGAACTAAGTTGGTATGCTGAGTTCAGCAAAATTCCTGATATCTGAAACCATGAACTAATTTTGATCGACCTATAACACAAGTCGAAAATGGTCATATAAAAAAGCACCTGCTATTGAAACCTATTCAGCACACATCAAAATCCCCCAAGCCGTAGGATTGTCCTCAGAAGATCATAATTGGTCAATACTTAGGGTTCACACCCAACCGAGTAGAAAGTGACAATGCATGCGGTGAACGGTATAGACGCTAGAAACAGTTTCGTATGTGGCATTGCGCTATCGGATTGCCAGCGTAAATTCCTTGTGCGCCGGGAGAATACTACGGTGGCTGGGCATTTAGATAGGAGTCGGGACTGGAACTAATAGGAAGAACGGAGCAGCAGTCTTCTAAGGCTAATTTGGCTGTGTTGATATCTTCATTGTTTTGAGTCGGTGATCGTGTAGATTTTGCTGCCATACTGTCCTAGGTGATAGAAAATAGAGGGTCAGAATGGTGATCAATCTTGCTGTGGTATACCTTTTGCTTGTTGACAAAGACCCGACATAGAAGGACATGAGTCATCCAAGAGGCAACGCCGAAGTTCACTAGAATGGCATTATTGGTCAATCTCATGTCGTGTCCGCCTTAACAATCTCAGCTTTCGCTCGAGTGTGGACCCAACCTTCAGCTATACACCACACCACGTTAGCCGAGCACCACTCGATCCCCTCTTCAGACCTGTGCTACTAACTAGTGCGTACACCATCCGACCAAAGTTTCCCCGCCAGCCACATTATAACTATCTAACAGATAGTCAAGGAGACAACGGAAACAGAATGTCTACTTCTTCGGGTCTGCTCTATGCAGCCTCAAGAATCAATCCTCCATCGAAAATATCAGCAGATGTCTTCAACGCCTGGTATGATGGCGTCCATGTGCCTGATGTCCTTAAGACCTCAGGAATCAACACCGCAGTTCGCTATGAAACGGCTGTAGTGCCCCAAGACAGTTCCCCGTGGGCGTTCCTTGCTCTCTACCCTGTTCCAGACATTGAGTTCTTAAACACGGAGGAGTTCGCGAGCATTCCAGCGACTAGTGATGCTCTGCCGGGGCCAACACACAGTTGCATGGATATAGCGCAGTTCGATATCAGGCGATACCGCGAGGTCGGGAAGCGACACGACTTGGATATGTCAACAGGTGAGTATATGTGAGAGAAGAGAAGGGAAGAGCAAAGCTGATTCACTTTTTCTAATAATGTTGAATGTGTTAGGACCAACGTCTCATCTTCTTACTGTGGAATTTGACTTGCCTTCACACATTGACATTTCTGATGACCAGGCTGTACTGGACTGGTTCTGCGGGATATACAGTGCTGGCACGCCTCAGCGGGTTGCCATTCATGAAGTCTTCTGGGCTATGTTGTACCCGAACGAGAAACCAGCAGAGGTGCCACGTTGTTTGGCTGTGGTAAGCTGTGGTGTTCTTTCCCCATTTGCCATCATCTTGACTGATAGAATGATGATAGCTCGAATTCCACGGCGATGAGAATGTGTACAACGAAGCCATCAAAGAGATCCAATTGGTTGCGAAGGTTGGCCAATGGAAACTGCACAAGGCCTTTGGCTGGCCATAAGTTGTCTGCTGAAGACCCGACTTTAACGTTAATTCAATGCTATATCTTTATTATTGAACGTACTATGGCTGTGTCTGTTGTTGGTATCTTGCGTTCTATGTCTGGGTTACTTGTTGTGTTCCGGAGTAGTGAAATATGTCTCAAATTTATGGAGGCCACAGGATCTTGACGCCCTGAGTTTTGCCGCTTAGACGGAGGACCCGTCAAGTCTAAACCTTCGTACATGAAAAGATAAATACTCGACGTTATTCTATGACTGAGGGTTTGTAGACCGACGGATCGACAAAGGGCGTCCCCCTCCGTCCTTGTTTGGAGAATCCCCAGCGAATCTGGCCTGGCATAGCAACCTCGACATCAAGATGCTGCGCAAAGGTCCAAACCAATCCGGGATCTTTCTGAAACCCACGCCCAACAAGGACTACATCCAGTCCTTCTTCTTCAAGCAGCCGATTTGCCAGCTTGCCGTCTCTGATATGACCAACAGTCGCAACAAGCATCCTTTCCCCAACCGCCTTCTTAACCGCAATACCAAACGGTGCCTGAAACCCAGGCCCGGATTTCACCTCTTGACTGGAATGTAGACCGCCAGAAGAAACATCAACCAGATCGATAGCCCCTTGATCGGCCAATGCTTCAGCAAATCGCACCGCATGCTGCAGGTCCCAGGTTTCAATCGAAGTGCTACCCAGCCAATCCGACGCCGAAAGGCGCAGAAAAACAGGTACATGCTCACCCACCGTATCGCGAGTCAACTGCGCAATCTCTAACGGCAATCGCATTCGATTCTCAAAGGATCCACCATACTCATCCGTCCGCTTGTTTGCGTAAGGGGTCAAAAACGATGCAAGCAGATACCCATGCGCATTATGAATTTCAATAAAATCTGCTCCGGCGACAAGGGCCCTTTTCGCAGCTGCAACCCATGCCTCCTTGAACTCGCGGATATCATCCTTTGTCATTGCTCGTGGACGCGGGAATGTTTCGCTGAAGGGTATATCACTGGGTCCTTTTACGTTATCGGGCCATCCACCGACGTTCTCTGTTGCTATACTGCCATGGTTCAGCATCCATGGCACAGTAGTACTTGCCTTACGGCCCGCGTGCGCAAGCTGAATGCCGATTTTCTGGCCTTGACTATGCGCGAACTCGATGACTCGGGCTATTGATGCGATTTGTGAGTCTTTCCATAGCCCTACATCCTGCGGCGAGATGCGACCTTCTGGTTGAACGGCGGTGGCCTCGATCATGATAAGGCCTGGGCCTCGCTGGGCTATACCGCCGAGGTGGGCGAGGTGGTAGTCTGTCATGTGTCCATCCTCGGCGGAGTACTGGCACATTGGGGATACCTAGACCGGTTTGTTGTCAGCACAGGCCAGTGATCTAGTGGTGACTGGTTATTTACCCCGAGACGGTTCTGGAAGGTTAGTCCTCGAATAGTAATCGGCTGGAAGAGTTTTGGTATTGCCTTCCCACTGGTCTGCGGGTTGGCTGCTGTTCCTGCTGGGGTTTCTTGTGCAGGAGTAAAGTAGGAAATGCCCTTTGCGGGCTCAACCTTGATGTCCTTCATCCTGTGTGCTCTTCTGTTGGTCTTTTTCGACTCCTTGAGGAGCTCGACGAAAAAGGATATTGATCACTTAACAAACGGTACAAGATGCCATTTGGCTGGGTCACATTCTTTCAGCAACAGTGAGGGGTTCTGCATCCCCATTCCGTGCTCACCTTAGTTCCATCCGATACCCTACTTTTTCCGGTGCGGGGTCGATCGACAATCTGTGATCCTACATTTGAATATACAGATAACTAGATAATGTGTTGTTTCCTTGCAATTAGTCAAGTATTATATGGAAGATAGATGATCTGAGCTAAGCTACATATGGTTTGAAGCAATGGAACTCCGCAACTCTTATCGACACTCAGAGTATGTAGTATTAGTACTCACAGCAGCGCCTTCCTCAAGTCTCGAATGTATTCATTTTCAGAGTATATATAATAAAATTTATGGAAAACGTCGAGTATGTATAGTGCCATCATTAGACTGACTGTAACTGCACACCGCATGATAAGACACAATGTATGAAATGAGGAAAAACATCAGTGGTAATATTAAGAACAAACAAAAGAAACAATATAATGCTAAGAAGGACTTCCGCTAGCAAAATGGTTAGTTCCAAGTTACTGTACAAGGCTTGCCCTGCTCTGCTCTATACAAAACAATATCCAATCCTCCAAACCAACATCAAGATATTCCCCCAGTTCTGCACAATCCCCAACTACCATCCAGTATTACTTCCCACCCTACAACAAGAAACCCGCAGTCGGACCAAAGAACAACAGCGCCAACACACCCACACTCTTCTTAGTAACCGCCAGACCAGCACCACTAGTCGAAGAAGCAGTCGAACCGCTCGAAGTACTCGAACCAGTGCTAGAAGAGCCACCAGTGGCAGTGGCAGTCGAGACAACAGTACCAGCGCCAGTAGTAGGGACGCTACCGGTAGCAGTAGCATTGGCGTTGGTGTTACACCAGACCTCACCGGCCTCGGAGGCCTTGATGAGACACTCAGCGAGAGTACCAACGGTCTGGTCCTGGGCCAGACAGTAGTAGTCACAGCTATCATAGGAGACGACGGAGGCGGAGCCACAGCAGCTGCTCATGATGGCGGAGTTGTTGTTGCGCATGGGCATGGCGCAGGCGGCATCGTGGACGGGGATGTCGTAGAGCATGTTGGTGCAGCTGGAGGAGGCGGAGGCGGCGGTGCCGGTCGATGTAGTAGTAACAGACATTGTGGGTGGTATTGGTGGTAAGGATTGAATTTGGTGAGGGTAGTATGTTGTTGTGGTTGAAGAGATTTAAGATTGAAGAACGAGTGTGAGAATGGTATATGAGCCACTGAAATGGATGGAGTATGGAGAATTGAAAGCCACAGAGGGTCAGGTTAGGTCAGGGTTAGACTACTACTTATAATTGCTCGGTACTACTCGTTATGGGTCTTCTTTTAATGTCAGTGCCTGGTACCTAACTTAGAAGCGACCCGGAAAGGGCTAGCCATGGGTTGGTTACAGACATTGCTGTAGGTTCACCGCTACGGCTCGCCCCTGATCCTTCTCTTCCTCTCTATCTCCACCAGAGACCCTCAGCCTCCCTAAGTCCCTTTTGGCTGAATCATGTCCTTTCTTCTATTTCTGGGTCTTCGCTAGACCGGATCGAGCCCTACGGGCTGGGCTGCATCCCTGAGGGTCAGCGCTACCGCATGGCGAAGTGCATATGGCAGGATTACGATTAAGCGCACATTGAGACTAGGAAGCGAGACTATAGTGATGCTGCATTCTATTTTTTGGCTCTCTTTGTCTCTAGACGATATTGATCATGGCTATTAGATGACGCGTCTGCACTAGACAGCATGATACTGCGATATACTTAGCTCTGCTTGGCATTGTAGAACATATACCGAATCAGAAGCACAACGGAGTGAGACATGTGGAGGCCATCGATCCTGTCCACTCTGGAGGAGCGGAATGGGGCGTTATGGGGGCACTGGGGATGAAGTCACTTCCATGTTGCGTCCAGAGCGGTCCCTTACCCTGGCCTATATTTCTCTTTGAGTTATATTGCAACGACAATGGTTAAGCGAATGATTGGGCTACTCGTGGTGACGTTCCATATGGTGCCAGACTATGCGTCAACTGCAGCCATGAGTATCATATCACAGTCCGAGAAAGATGATGCGTCCAAGTACATGATGCATGCATGGCAAGGCAGCAGCAGGTACAATGCACTCCGTCCCGAGTCATCAGCCACCCGTCGGAAACGAGCGATTTGCCCCAACGGGAGGGAGGCGAAGAAGAATTGAAAATTTCGGATGCCAGCCTTGGCAGATGAGCTTATGGTTGTCCAGTCAAGGAGTGAGGATATAACTTTTCCCTGAGTTGTGAGATCGCCGTATAGTCTTGGGATCTATTCGCAGTCGGGTGGCGTCGCTTAATTGTTGGCGACAGATAGCCAAGAAACTCCGCTGGCATCGCCAAAGTTGCCTGGTATAATTGTAACCCGTGGAAGAGAGACAACACAGCCATCCTTGGGGGTCTTGTTCTCTTTTAAAATCTTTAAATAGGCCCATCTATAGATAGGTGGTGATTGGGAGAGCGGGTCAGCCGGTAAAGAATTCTGGACGGTGTTGATCCTGTGGAGAGCCCGGGTAAAGAATATTCAGGGCTGCCTATCGTCCCACCTTTCCACAGTTGACTGTCTGCCCTGCAGTTTCAGCTTGATTGTTCAATCAAAGATTAGGACTGGGCTCAGAATGATAAGTAAGAGTCATATGCGGAGCTGGTTAATAATCCAGACTGTCGCAAAGTTATGTTAAACATAATTCACAGAGAAAGACACCGTGGAAAGGGCAGGGAGTCCCGCTCCTGCACGTAGCAATACAAAGCAAGTATGTTGCACAAGGGATTTCAGAGGCCCAAGCCTCCCACCTCAAGGTTACACAACATCTAATTGTCCATTCATGTCATGCACTGATTTGAGATTCGATGCAGGACTCAGATACAGACTGAATCAGCCAACTGTCTCCATCAGGATGCACACACCCCTGCAAAACCATCGTGCAAAAACCATCACCTGTAATCACAATCACTATATTATTCAATCAACTATCTCCTCCGATTAAAGAACTTAAATAAATTCCTAACTTACCTACTTAGCAACGGGAATACAGTAGTAGTATACTAAGTAACATTGACTTCTGGGCAAACGGACTCGCTCGCCCTTAAGCTTTAGGGTCCCCACTTGGGGGAGATCAACAGAAGAAGATCAGCTCCATTCCGGGAAGCCCCTTGGAAAACAATCACCCCGATGAGGTAGTGAGTTTGTTGCTTGCACAAGTCGCCGCCCTTTGAGAATGGACTCTTCAAGAAACAAGATGATCTTCCCGTCATCCGGACCAGTAATTACTGTTCCATGTAAAGCCCATTTATGAACAACCAATCTGATCATGTCCGATCAGGTCGGCATCCCCGGTGTGATGTTAGAGCTCAGCTCAAGTGATAACTAGCTTCGCTAGTTGCTTGCAGACCTGGAAAAATAAAAAAGCAATGATTAACTAGAGGGTAATAGTGCATCTGAGGAGGTGGAGAAGAAGAAGAAAAACAATCATTATGGAAGAATGCACTGTACATAAAGACCCCTACTTCGAATTTAAGCAACATTTCACTTTCAGATCAGCGAGTCTATCCATGCTTGTTCAATCCTACTGCATCACTCTCTAGCCTTTACTTTTTCTGAAATCTACTATACGCCACTGCAGCACAACAGCGATGTTCAAATACTCGCTTGCATGCCTGGCCCTCCTGGCAACCGGGTGTCTCTCATCAACCACAACCACAACCACTAGCACGCCTGGCTACTCGCGGAACATTACCTCGACCGTTACCGACCCCTCGTTCAGTTTCGGGCAACACTATGCAGTGCTTAATCTAGATCTTATCGATGGATTGGTGGCTAATGTGAATACCACCAAGGCCGGGCAGCTATGGATTGACAATGTTGCGAATTGGATTGATGCGTATGTACTCCATTGGACCTGAATACATTATCTCGGATCATACTCATGCTCTAAAAGCGTGCACAAGCAGGACCCTCCTCCCTTGAGTATCTTCACTCGCATCTTCTTCTCCAACACTTACCGTCCTGAACTCGGCAACGCACCCTTCGCCAGCGCAGTGACTAGCCTCGGAAATGCCACGGCATCGAGTCCCGATAGCCAGATTTATTCTGCTTTCAAGACCCTAGATGATTGGGATGTGGTGCTGCAGAAAGCGCGGTATTATGCCGGTGCTGGGAATCAGTTGGAGGAGATCCTCAGTAGTCAAAAGATTGATACGGTGATTCTGGTAGGTGCAGCCATACAACGGAACGGAAGTAAAGTCAACAGACTCAGTCAACAGGTTAGCTGACCACAAGTGTAACTGGTAGTCCGGCATCCGTACTTCGGGAGTAGTGCTTAGCACCGCGCTTCGTCTGTTGGACATGAACTATAATGTGTAAGCCAGCATCACGATTCAAGACCAATCAGGAGAGAAAACAGTGGGCACTGCTAACGTATCGTGCTTGACGACAGCTACGTTATCTCGAACAATACGATCGAGACTCCCTCGACATATGCGCCCCTGAATCAGAAGATTATCTTGGAGGGCATACTCCCCGAATTACCGGTCAATGTAATTACCATCGAACAGGCCATTGGGGCTCTCAACCGCTCCGGACCAGCTGTCTATTAGCTGACAGGCCGGATATCCTGATTGAAACGATAAGATCATGCCAGATTAGATGGTCATGATGGACAATGGTTACGGACTATGATCGATCTAGTTATGATGAATAAAATATAATGAAACGATAACCTTTGAAAGCACACTAGTGGCTGGGAAAGTTTGACCCCAACGACAGCAAGGACAAAGAGTCCCAACTGTATGCGTCCATTTCCCAACAGGACACGCGAAAGGACCATGCATCTGAAAAGCGACGGTGGTGGCGCATGCATGCAATATCACAGGGAGCAGCAGGTTGCCCTGGTGCCACACCGTGCATAAATTCCGGGTCTCGTAGGTCGGCGGCTGCATCGCACATATTTGAGACATCGAGGGCGCCAATTAATGTTTGTCTGGATGGAACCGGGGATGAAAGAAGGGCTATTTTGGGTAGAAGTACTTTGGAAACCCTCCCCAACCAATCTTCCCATCGCGAACGGAGCATTCCGTTGAGACGGTCGCCAACAGATGCCAGAAGGCGCAAACGCGGACATGCCGCATGGGCGGTGCTGGTCGCTCAGGGACCCGAGCGACAGTCAACAGCGAGTGGCCGGGAGACTCGCCGGACGGGTTCGGAGTTGACCCCGGTCGCAATCCCCCAAGCCGACCCGGACAAGACAGGGGTGGAATGATAGCATCAAATACCATCGCCTATTATTATACCAGGATGAGGAGAAGGGGGTAATTCCATGCCCGGAAGCTTACGGCGTGAGCAGCCCGTATCTATCTAGTCGGCAATCGGGTCGATGAAGCGCAGCAAGGCGGGGGGATGCCAAGGCTCGAGTGCGCGACGGAAATTGACGAGAGAAGCCCGAGGACCGGGAAACTCTTCAGACAGGCTTGTGGACTGGCGAAGACCAAGTCCGACGTTCGTCCTGAGTCAGTCATGACAGCTGAGCGCTTGGTTCGGGGGACTTGGCAGTTGTCGGTGCGTTTTCTTAGCCCATCAGTGGCTGCTGCCAGCTTTTCTGGCACGAAGGACCATGTTCCACATCCGAAACAAGTCGACAAAAACCTGAGGAATGATGAAATTCGGATAGCTTACGTAGGATGGGTGGCACAGCGCGTCGATCCGTTCACCTCAAACCTTGAAATGGGAACCAAGAGGAGGCCAACCAAAGATTGGCAGCAGAAGAATGGATACGGCCCAATTTCGATGGAAGGGGACACCAGACGAGCTAGTGCATGCGCTACAGTAGCGTGGTCGGCGATGTGCACAGTGCGTCAAATGATCGCGAGCAGATAGGAAATTAACGAGATTAAGCTGATGGCACTAATTGCGCTGGAGTCTTGTTGCTATTATGGGATCTTTTCGGAAAACTCAACCAGGTTTGGGATTTCAAACACCGGCGCATCCAGACCTGTCTGGGTCAACGATAGGAGTACTGTGCGAGGAGGACATCCACGTAGTACTAAGGCTACTAGTGTCGAATAGGTAGGTATAGAAACAGAATATACTGGCCATTGTTTTTTTGGTATTACATTCTACAAAGTAGTTCGGAGGATGAATAGGTGGATAGATCGATTCTATGAGGTGGAGGGGGGACGGACGAACCATACGCCTGGCTGGGAAGTGGGAATGAGAATAGTTACTGATCTCCCTGGTCTCGCTAAATAACCAAGGAAATACTAGACAGGTTCCGCTTCGGCCGTGGAGTTATATCGTGATCAGCTACGATCGCCACAAGTTGGTGTGACAGGTAATTCCACGATCCGATGATTGTCGCGACACCTCCCGCATTCTGCGAGGAACGTTTCTTTTTGGGAAGTCGTGGTGCCTCAATCCTGCCTCATTGGGCCACCACGACTGGCACATTTTGGGTTAGGAAGCGATGGCTGGTGGCTGTTAAGGAGAGAAGCAGAGAAAAAGAAGAAAGAGAGGCGCAAGGTTCGCAATGGCAGATCGTCAGCCCCCCGTTTTCACCAATGCAAATTGCACCCTGCAAGGAACCTGGAACCGGGCATGGAAAATGCCAAAAGGGGGAGAATACCCATAACAGCGATAAGATTTATCACAGTTTAATAGCCTATAATTTTAAAGAACTACCACGCTATCCTTTCTTCAACTTTTATTGATTATCAGACTACTATAGCTTACGCAGTGTTTTTGCCAGGATTCAGATTAAGGGAGAGAGAGAGAGATTAGAGTATTAATATCAGGTTTGGGTGGCGCGTCCCGTATCAGTTGGGGCGATACAGCGAGGACTGCGATAGGGCCAAGCCATGACAGGCTAATCCCGAACAGGCAAGATCCGGTCCTCTTCTGGTCCTTCCGCCAACGGTATTACTTAATGCGGGGTAGCGCCTTTCCTCGTGGCGGCTAATCTCGAAGCGGCCGGGTTTATCAGCTGACCCCGCCTGGATTTTTCGTTCGCCAGCGTCATCAGCGCCGAGCTACTCAAGAAGTTCTTGCTGGATCTGCTTTTCAGATTGGCTTTCCCTTCGCCTGCTTAAGAAGGTCTGAGGTTCTGGGATCATCTCTTCGGTGTTCCCCGCCCTCCGTTCCCTCTTCCCTGCCTTCCTTCTTCCTTCTCGTCTTCTCTCCTCTCCTCTTCTTCTCTTCCTCTCTCTCTCTCTCCCCTTCTCACTTTCTCTCACCTTTCATTCCTTTGAACCTACCTCGATTTACTGTTGTCTTTCCCTCAACCATATAGAAATCCCTCTCCTGCTAATGCACTGATACAACACTCCTCCCTCCTTCCGTTTATCTTTTGGCCCCCCAGGGTCTCCTTCAGTGCCAAGTGCCACGCGGTTTACTTAAGGTTGACCCGAGGGATTCGCATCTAGACCCCGAACTTGCCCGCTCCCAGTCCACCATCTCACCCGCGACGGCTCTCTTACGGGCCTTTTGTCAGCTGCAACAAAGGGAAAAGATAGAACAGCAAAAACTAGGACAAGAATCCAGGGAAAATATATACTAAAAACAAAATTAATACAGCCAGATTAGGAACGCTCCAATCTTCAGCTGCTCTGTTCTTTCCGTTCGATGGTCCATTCGGATTCGACCCAACCGACCGATAGGTCAGGATCTACTGTTCACCAACCACAGTTACACGAAGCCAACAACCCAACGGCTTCGGATGACAATGAAATTGGTGCGATCTCTGCTATAGTCCCCGGTCAAGGGAGTTTCCATACTCCTCCGCTTTATATCGAAAAGTCTTCAGCAGACCCTCTGCAGGATGTAACTCTGCAGCACCACTCACACCCACATCATCTGCCTTCGCTTCAGATTCGCACGGATCTATCAAACGCCAGCCAGATGAGCCCGCCAAGAGAACCCGAGTCATTCGTGCACCACAGCATCTCGTCCAGCAGCCTGCCCCGGCGCACTCCAAGCTTGCGCGGTCTGTTCGCCGGTCCTCCAACCAGCGCAGGATCCCTGACTTTGTCTCCCGCCTCGCTCATATCTTCCCCTCAGCTTATGGCCATGGGAGACATCACGCCTTTGCCATCGCCCATCGGTGGCATGTCGCCATGGAAACTACCACGGCGCAATTCCCAGTCCTTGTCTCGGACGCCTTCAGTAACCTCTCGCAGCGGTTCCAGTCTCGGTTTGCGACTGAGCGATTCCTCACAAATGCTCGGTACGAGCGAGTCCCGGCCACGAAGCAGGCAATACATGCTCCCCGACAAGCTGTCCGACACACCCATTGAGACACCCATCGAGTCTCCAACAAAACCCCGTCAAGGATCTGGATCAAAGCATTCTCGCAACCGTAGTCTCAGTGAATATGTACCTCCCGGTCGGGCTATCCCCGTCAAGCCACGGCCTATTGCAGTTTCAGGACCAGGAATGCCGCCGGGCATCACTGCATCTGTCAGTACCGACTCGAAAACGAACAACAACAGCAATAACCTTCATCGCGAAGAGTATCTGGCCGTCCACCGTGGGATCGCATTGCCCACGGTCCGTCCTCCTACGCCCCCTCGCAGCAGTCGCAGTGGCTCCGATGAACGCGATGACGAACCCGTTATAACACCGTTAGCCTCCGGCCCCGATGAGATATACTCGGTACGCTCTGTGCGCACGCAACAACGTCGCAAGTATCGCAAGATACGTCAGCTAGGTCACGGAACATTCAGTCAAGTCTCCCTCGCTGCACGTATAGAAAGACGAGAAAGCGACGACGAAACCATGTTTTCCAGTCTACAAGACGTGAATCTGGTGACACAGAAACTTGTTGCAGTAAAGATTATCGAGTACGGGCCGGCAGGTGGTGCAGATGAGGAGCGCTTGGAGGTTTCCCTCAAGCGCGAGGTCGACATACTCAAATCTGTCAACCATCCGTCGTTGGTACAGTTGAAAGCCTTTGGTAGCGACGAGAAGCGCGCGCTCTTGGTTCTGGACTACTGTCCCGGAGGGGACCTTTTTGACGTGGCATCATCGAGTCCACGGCCAATGAGTCCACAACTCATTCGTCGTATTTTCGCCGAATTGGTGGCGGCCGTGCGCTATTTGCATGCGAACTTCATTGTGCACCGCGACATCAAACTTGAGAGTGAGTAACCCCTGATTCTTCTCTCCTTTAGCGAGCCAGGCTGACAGCTGTTCCTGTAATCAGACGTACTTGTCAACCTGCCAATGCAAGCAATGGAAACGATCACGGATTGGCGCACGTACGATCGAGCCGTCATCACCCTCAGCGACCTGGGTCTGTCCCGACGAATACCCGAGCCTCCCGAAAGCCCTCTTCTCCAGACCCGGTGTGGGAGCGAAGACTACGCGGCGCCTGAGATTTTGATGGGACAGCCGTACGATGGACGATCAACAGACGCATGGGCCCTGGGAGTGTTGTTATACGCTATGATGGAAAATCGGCTTCCGTTCGACGCATTGCCGGGCACCCGAGGCGACCCTGCCAAACTCCGCGCGCGAACGCCCCACCGCATCGCACGAGTCGAGTGGTCCTGGTACCGATATGCCGACAGCGACGACGAATGGGATCCTGAGAAAGGCAAAGACCTAGAAGGTGCCCGCGATTGCGTCGAGGGGCTATTGAAACGCAACACGAAACGGAAAAGCCTGGACGAGATCGCGTCGATGGCGTGGATTAAGGAGGCGATCGACATACCCGGCGAACTAAAGAGGGGGGATAAGGAAGTGCCATAGAGCTGGTCTCTTTTCAGTGGTTTTTTTCCCCCTCCTCTCCATTACATTATCTTCTTCTTTTTTTCCCTTCTTTTCTTCCTCACCTTACACTACTTATTTACCCATCTTTCTTTCTTCCTTTTTCTTTCGTTTTAGACTTGCATCTTATATTTCTTTACTAACATTCGTTTACTGGCGCATTGCGACCATATATAATTCTTATTCTTGGGTTTGGAGACGGATGAATCCTGTTGTGTCGTCGAAGACACCATGCATTGCAGCATCGAAACCGCTTATCTTTACCTACTTACTGAGTTCTGTTCACTAACTAGCATGAGCCGACGTTCACTTGGGTGTTTCCACCCTGGTCACTATTACTGTCTGTTCGTTCCCTTTTAATGTTGACGATTATTCATACAACCAACCCTGTCAGGTTCTATATGCTATACTATACTATACTCTCATGGAAAGACGCATTCTCTCCATTGCGGGATCACCTAACTGTAACTGTACTATCGTGAACAAAGTACAAGTCAATAATAAGTACCAATACCACAGGTGTCGACGAAAAGGAGAGACACCGGTGTCACAGACAAAATAGATAATTATAATTAATTAAAGTACGGCAGTAATACACGATTTATGATATCACTCCTGATCCATTGCATTAAGATGATTGATTGATTGATTGATTGATTGATCGATCAATCTAGAAGAACTAATTACCGAGCAAGTACTGAGGGTCTGTCCGCCGGCACGTCTCCTTATCGGACTTAACTAGCTAGTTCAGTAAGTAGTAAGATTAGAGCAAACTATCTACTTGTTTACTTACTGTAAAGTAAATATTATAAAAAGTATTATTGCCGATCTGGAAAGAAGGCTACTACTGATCGTACTTTCGAGGGAGGGGGTCGGGAGGGGCATCTGCATATGCAGTAAGCAACTACTAACAACCGACATGATCATTTCCAATATTCTGTCTGTCTGGGTTAATAATTTTTCACCAGAAAAGGAAATCGGTGGTGCAGGTGAAGAGTCGGTCAGACGTGACTTATATTAGTAAATATATATTCTCGACCGCTATCTACAGTGTAGCAAGTAGATATTAGTGTTCAAGAAGGTTGAAATAATGAGCGCGGATGATCGGATGGCGGGCGGATCGGTGGCTTTCGCTTCCAGGAGGAGAACCCGAGAAAACCCCTGAAGAGAACCAATGTTTTTGTTCGTTTCTTCTCCCCCGCTGACGACGGCGCGCGTCCTGCACAACCCCCTGATTGGCTTCAGGCTGAAGGATGTGGTTTCGAGAAGACCAATAGAATGATGCGGCCCGATCAGCAGGAAAACTGAGTGGTTGGCCTTTTCAATCCTGCACTGTTTGTAAGCCCTAGACTCTTGGTACTAGTGGTAGATTGTCAGTTTGGACAAATGGCAGGCAGTGACTAGCTGCAACTGCAGCGGGAGTGGAGGCTGACGACAGCTGCTGCGCGGTCTGTGTCCTCTGATCGCATAAGATAGTGATCTGTTCAGTGGCTTCAGTTGTTGCCTGTCCAGAGAGAAGCATGGTAGGCAAAATGCTCGGATGCCCGCGGGACCCAGACTCCAAAGTGGACACGCAAATTCTTGAGGATCCAAAGCCAAAGACTGTTTGGCTATCGATTTAGTCCCTTTTCTTTTCTCACTTGCCACGTCCCAGGGTCTGGACGGATTTGTCTCGAAATAGGAGAAACCGAGTTGGCCCCGTGGACTAGTCTCACTAATCATATAGTGTGGAGTCACCCTGCAACTGCCTAAGCCCGCCGCCCCCCCCATTCGAGGCCAACGACAGCCTCCCCTGTGCTGCCATTTTTAATCTTCTGGGCGGGCCCCCCCGGCAGTCTTATATGGCGCATCTCTTCCTCCCCTTCCCGGTTTCATCTCAATTTCCTTTCCCCTCTCCCCTTATCGGGGTTTTGTGGCTAGGCTGAGAGGTTCACCGCTTAATGCTCGTATTTGATCGCGTTCTTGCGCCCATATGTAATCCCGCCGTATATTCCCTCCCTCTCACTTCTCTCCCTCGACTGGCAATGGTCATCTGGAACCATGCCTCTTGAGTCCAATGAACCCCTCGACCGCGAGGATGCCCCGTTCCTTGCCTCGGGTCAAAGGCCCTCGTCCCCTGTGGATGAAGGGGAGCCCAGTCCGTCGGATGCACAGAAAGAACACCTTCGGAAAACTCGCTTTCGCTTAATGTTGACCCTCTTTGCCATGATTCTGGCCGTCGAAGTTGGCATCTGCATGTCCAACGGCCCCGTCACCCGTATATACGAGTCCATCGCCTGTCGAGAGTACTACGCGCAACATGATCCAACCCAGATTGGGGCCGACGGCGAGGTCCAGGAGGAATTGTGCAAGGTTAAGGCGGTCCAGCAGGATCTGGCTGCAGTGAAGGGCTATATGGAGTTTTTCGATGGCATTCTCAGTAGGTCACGACGAAGGCACCACTGGTTCGGACGAGGCTACGTCGCATCTCTTGTTCCCTAGTCTCTACCGATCGGGCGCCTCCCTTTTTGCACTTCATGCGCGACATATAGACGAGGACCCTTATTCACGTTCCTTCTCATCCAGGTGCTGTGCTAGCAATTCCATACGGTCTGTTGGCTGATCGACGGGGCCGGAAATCCACCATTTGTCTCAGCATTCCCGGATTCGCCCTGAACTGCATTATTCAGCTGGTGGTGATGTGGCGCCCAGACGTCTTCCCCCTGCGAACTGTCTGGGCATCCTCCTTGGCTTGGTTGTTTGGTGGAGGCCCTGTCGTGGCCTTCGCCATTATCTGGACCATGATGTCGGATGTGTCAACCGAAGAGGAAAGGTATGCGTGTTCTAGATGCCACAATAGTTGGTGTGATTATGGCTAATGCTTCTCAGAGCGGCGATATTCTTCAGGTTCGGCGTGGCTAGCATGGGGGCCGATTTCGCCTCCAGTGCCGCCAGCTCCTGGTTGATGTCACTAGACCCGTGGCTTCCTCTCTTGCTAGGCTGGGGCTTGGCTGTTATTGGCATGTTCTTCGCCTTATCGCTACCGGAAACGATGCGTGTAGGATCATCGCAACCGACTTGGAAGCAACCGAGCATGGAGATGAGTCAGGTATCACCCGGAAACGCCGAGTATAAGGAAGTTCCCAGCAAGGAACAAGAACAGGAGGTGCTTAGCGATGAAGAGACTCTTCAAGGAGAGGAAGCTTCTTTCACGACCAAGACAGCACGACCAACCTTCTTCGCTTCTGCGAAACAACGGTCGCGGGCCTATTTCGCGCCCTACTCCTTCATTTTCAGGAACAAACAGATCATGCTCCTCCTTACCGCGTTTCTTGTCTATCGACTGAGCCGTGGCTCGTCCTGGTTTTTGGTCCAGTACATCTCCACGCGGTATAAGTGGACCCTGGCAGAAGCGAACTTCCTCATGTCATTCAAGCCGGCCTTGACCATCCCGTTGTTCTTGTTCATCCTACCGGCTATTTCACGACAGCTGCTCAAGACCATGAAGCCGACGCAGAAAGACCTACAGCTCATGCGCATCAGTATCGGGCTGTTGGCGGTAGGAACGTTGGGAATCGGTCTTTCTCCTAGCGTAGCCATGTTGATTCCCAGTCTGCTCGTTCAGACATCCGGGTCTGGATTTGTCTTCCTGACTCGTGCGCTCATTACCACGTTGGTGAATCGAGAAGAAACGGCACGTCTCTTCACCATCATCGAGGTTCTGCAGTCGGTGGGCAATGTCATTGCCAGTTTGTCCATTACCACGGTGTTCCAAATCGGGCTGGAACTCGGAGGGCCTTGGATTGGTCTGGCCTGGATGATGACGGCGACGGCCTTCACTCTGGTAGGTGTAGCTATCTGGATGTTTCGGATTCCTTCTCGTCAGTCGGATGACAAGATGGAGGAAGACAACGAGGTGTTTTGAACTAGTGGGACCTGAACAATGTACATATATAGAACTTTAAGATTTTTCACTTCATGTAAATAGTATAGATGAGAAAGAGAAAGAAACTTGCTTGAAGTCTGTTGATGTGAGGGATGAACTACTTACTTACTATAACTATGGGCGGTGACCTTCCAGCCTCGGTTTCCCGATCGGGGAAGGTGATTACCCAGGCAGGACTAGTGCGGGAGAGCAGCAGCAGCTCGCATGTGAACATCTCAATTCCATTCCTTCGTGCTGAAATCAACAAATCACTGGGACTTTCTGCTGGTGCCGCCAACAACCCCCCGGTCTGCTTTGAGTTGGTCGCCATATCTTCTCTTTGATAAGATACTATCGGCTTTGCTCAGCAGGTTCCCCCGCCTGCCGCGCCAACCGGACAGCTTTACACATCCCGTCCTGGTTCACAAGCTTACGGCAGTTTGCTGTCAAAGCCTGGTCATGTCCACTTTGCAGTTTCCCTAATCCCTTTAATCTCATCATCATCGAACATCTCTTGTCATGGAGAGATTCACTCAGTTTCGCGATCGAGGTGCGTATGCAGATCCCCGACCCTAGTCATCGTACCGGCGCTCGATTACTGACGATAATGCGCTGTGTAGGAACGGGTGTCTCACCCTTCTTCCCGACTCCTCGTCCATCGCTCAGCTACCCCCAGTGGGTTCTACGAATCTTCCTCTTCTGCGTCCGCCTTCCGCTCTTCATCTCCGTTTGCATCGGCTACTTCCTGCTTTTTCAATGGCTTCCAATCACATCGCTGGGAAGGAAGGCCGCTCTGTGGTGCATTCTAGGCGTGCCCAGCGTCTGGTGGGTTGATCTTCAGGTGGACGGTGTGAGAAAAGGGTCAGTTGCGCCTCTCTGCAAACTCTATGTCTATCTTGTAGAATATCTACTGAGCTCCTCGACTTTTAGAACCCTCAACAATGACCGGCATCAGAACCGTCTACCCGGTCCCGGATCCATCATTGCCTCCTCCTTCACCTCTCCAATTGACGCACTCTACCTAGCCGCCGTTTTTGACCCCATCTTCGTATCTTGCTACCCCTCCACCCGCGAAGTTGAACAACTATCTGTCTGGCAAGCAATTATCCGCGCCTTCGCTCTCCCACAAGCAAAGCCCCCGCCCCGAGCCCGTACGGTTGACCTGAAAACCATCATGCGGAAGTACCCCGGTCGGCCTATTGCCCTGTTCCCAGAGTGCACGACCACCAACGGACAGGGCGTCTTGCCGCTAAGCCCCGTTCTGGCGAGCGCTCCTCACAAGACGAAGATCTTCCCTGTGGCCCTGCGGTATGAGCCTAAAGACGTGGTGACTCCAGTACCCGGGTCGTACATGACGTTCCTGTGGAGTCTGCTGGGTCGACCGAGACATTACATTCGGGTGCGCATTGGACAGGCAGTCGTGGGCGTCGCTGCGGATGAACTGCCAACGCATGACGCTACCATATTTGATGCTAGTGCTACGGAGAATGGATACCCTCATGACAGAGACGATGAACGGCCCTTCAATGAGACCTCCGTGATGGTGCTGGAAGAGCAGGTGCCGAACTATGTAGGGGATTCGCTGGCTCGGCTTGGCAGAGCCAGGCGTGTAGCCGTTACGGCGCCGCAAAAGTTGGAATTTGTGAAGTTGTGGAAGAAGTCATATTGGACATGGTAATATGCCGTCAATCACGGCT